CTGTACGTGACAACAGGTGTGGCATATCAGCAATGGAGTATGCATCCCCAGGTACCTTATGTAGCAATTACAAAGGATTTCACCATCCTATCACACGAATTTTGTCACAATACAAAATGTAGTAGGTGCACATACTGCTAGGTCCTACCTAGGCAGTAGCAAAGCGGCGACCATGGACGTGATCCTTCGAGCCTCTGCCGTGCAATTCAACATGGAGGTCTTTAATACGAAACGGTGTTGCAGGCAAGCTAACCTAACCTTGGATGATTATGCGAGTCCTTGGATATTCTTCAAATTTACAAAACATAGCATAGCTTTGCTAACTCTCGTTGTGCCTCATCGGGCAGCAATCGCGACGTCCGTTTCCAGGGGCAGCTGGAAAAGACCAGGGTTTCTTCTTATGAGTTGAGCCGAGCAAAAGCGACCGTCGTTGAAGAAATCCATGCGTGTGTAGGTACGCCGGTAGGTAGGTCGGTAGGTCGGTAGGTCGGTCGGTAGGTCGGTAGGCAGGTCGGTAGGCAGGTCGGTCAGGAAGGTTTTGGCCGTAGATGTTGAAAGTAAAGCAAATCAAAACAGTTCCGGACGTGAGATGGCGAGTTGCCATAGGCGAATGTCACCAGCCAAGACCATCCAGGCCTACATGCCTCCCTAGATAGGTAATCACTCGTAACAGCTACGTCTACGACAAGCGACCTACAGATCCTCGCTGGAGTTGTCTGGTCGGCGATGCAAGAAGATTTTGTAATCGTGCATTGCGATGCATCAAAAATGGCCCCTTTGGAAGTTTAAGATAATGCCCGAGACGAGACAGCAGAGCAGATGTCTAAACCACGGCGTAAAAGACCCGAGACACCTGTTCATGGAGCCGACGATGCTTCCTACCGTACTACGTAGCACCCGCAGGTTGTGACAGGTTGGAAGGGTCCAGTTTTCGGCTCTCCTTACACACTGCCGAGCCACGGCTATTAGCTAAGTGCATAGTAGCCCTGGAGGCAATCCAGGTATGTAGGCATTAGGTGTATGTAGTATACCCAAGTAGGTAGCTACCATGTAAGCAAGTATGTAGGTATGTAGGTACATGTATACCTACCCAGGGTATGTAGGTATGTAGGTATGTATTGATGTTATAACGAACATTGAACCCCCAACCTCTTCGCGAAGTACTTGCCTGTAATGTCTTCCCCTCTCGGCGGATTTTAGTGGCAATCTTCAGCCCGATGCCATATACCCCTGAGCTACACAGAATAATGAATAGGCTAGCTAGGCTTCGACGATGACATATCATACACACATACATGAATAAATACATACATGCCTAGGTAAGCATATACACATGGTACAACACAAGTGCCTACCTTCCCTTATCACACACGATACCTACCTAGTCAATGTACCTACATACAGCCCTCGCAACCTTCGCAACCTCGCAGATTCGCAGATTCGCAGACTCGGCATTAACGGAAGCACCACGATAGTTCCCCGGTATCACCTGCAGACAACGTTCTGTTCCGTGACGCCACAAGGGGTGGGGGAGGGGCGAGTTGCGAGTTGCCTCGTCGCTTTTTTATCGTCTCCATTCTCATTCTCGTGCTCGTCAGCGTTAGTTTTCGTCGGATGCGGCACTACGCCGCAGATACAGTACCTATACGACAAATTCGCCATTAAGGCCTGCCTCATCATACGCGTTAATATAGTATCATATGCAAATCTGGCAGGCGGGAAAGTACATGTGTAATAGTTAGGTAGGTAGGTACATATTAAGCATGACCTACATATACTATATACTAGGTATGTAGGCTTCACAACATGCAACACAGTGTAGTGTCTCGTTCGATTCCGTCAAGGGTTCCAGTATTTCGTTCCTAACCCACACATCCACACACACACCTACAAACCTACACACCTACATACATATATACATCCATATTCACTTACGTACATGTCCATTTATTCACTTACTGACCTGGCCTAGTACTCTCAGTCGAGCAAGGCTCATGTGGAGTAACCTGATCTTGCAGTGCAGGATCTTGACAGATGGCGGCTTTGCATGTGAGTTCCTCGGATCGCTCACTTGTCATTTTCGCCATGACATAACATTTTCTGCTCCCTGATTTCCCTCTTCTCCTTTTTTCGATCTTCGCCCTGTCCGCTGTGAATGGTTGAAAATATATCCCCCCCCCCCTCCCTCCCCTTTCTCTGAAATGTGGCCAGCACGTAATGCTGTGTCACCCAACCTCAGCTGGTCGTGAGTGAAAGAAATCAAACCATACCGCAACAAGTTAATTGGCCCGATGTACGTATATTAAAATCCTGTATATACGCAATCTTTGGCTTCCTGGACGATCCGCTGTTGATTCGAAAACCCGTATTGGCGATCGCGTCGTGCTTCTTAACTCCGTGTGTTGTTTACCGGTATCTACGGTGGTCATTGCCAGCATCTGTTCGTTGGATGGGTATTTTGCTACCGGGTTCTTGGCACACCGTTCACGCCTCATGGCTGAGAAGCGGTACGTATTAGATATAGTAAATTGAAAGCCAATATGATGAGAGTGAATGATTGTGGCCCCTATCCTAGAAGCCAAGGACGGGCTGTCGAATTCTCGCTCGTTCGTTCGACCCCGAAGGAATAAAAACGAAGAGTCCAAGAGTTAATACGAAGTTTTCTTCTTACATAACCCTACCTACCCAGTAGTATGTGTCCAAGATAGGTCACACGCCCATAGAAGAAAGGTGCAAAAGGGAGGTGGCCACGTTCAGTCGAGTGAGAAGGCATATGAAAAGCTCCAGGAATAGAGTACGCTTGCGAAATCGTGGGGAGTGAAACCCTGGCGCATGTTTAGCCCAACTGTGGACAGCTGTCCACGTCTATCTTTTTGGCTTCGAGGAATAGTCGTTCGATAGTCCCAAGGAGCCACCGTCGAGCCGAGCACTAGATGAGTCCTAGACCAGTTTTCGAAAGATGATCCTTTCTTGACTCCTAGCTACACCTAAGCCATATCATATCATAGATACCTAATCAATCATCTTAGACCCTAATCGTAGCCACTCCACCTCTCCGGCTGACTCCCGCGTGAGACTACGGGTCTCTAGTTGAGGAGGTGGGTATTCACCAGCGAGACTTGCTGGGAAAAGCCTGGGTCGGTACTGAGACAAGGCAAAGAAGTAGGGCCTCACTGATGTCTATGAGGGACGTAATCGACTCATCTAGAACTAAAGTGCCCCCGCTGTTCTCGATCTCGACTAAGGGTCCATGCAAGACAGCATTAAGACCCTTCATTCCTAACTCACCGTCAACCCCTGGGAGGCCTACCATGAAGGTCTTCGAAGTCCCCTATCTACCCACCCCCCCATGGTCGACAGCAATGCCCATAGAACACAAAGTAAGCCAGTGACAATGACACTGGAGACGTAGACGATACCCGTGATATGTTTTACCAACAGCAAGCACTCTCTCCCTTCTTACACAAATAAGAAGTTCAAAAGTCGACGTCATAAACGGGCAAGTCGTATCATACCTAGTAGGTAGCATTGTGAAGAACTTCTCTTTCAAAAACCCCCGTTACTTCATCACACCCAGCACGATGACCAGGAGAGACTAGACTAGTTGAAGGTGACCACATCAGTTACCACTTGAACCCCACCACCTCTAATGGTTACTCTTACTTTAATCGATCTACGAAGTTACCAACTTACGATACAAGCACGTGGTAAAGTAAGGCCTCTACGTAAATACGATTACTCTTACGACCTTGAATCTATATTTCATGGGCCAGGGGTAAAGAAGAAGACCAACTAACACATGTCTACAGTAGCCCACAGCAGTAGTTGCATATGCCATGTTATCTTCCTAGGCTCCCCACGGCAGCTATTTACCAATGCCCCATTGGCCTGAGCTAAGAAAAGCAAGCATCCCCCTTCGCACTTCTCTGATGTCTTCGCAGGCCGATATCCGTACGGCCGTAGAGCACGCTTCCGGCCCTTGGCCCTAGACTGTCACTGATCGTCTGTCTATCTGTGGATCATGTGTAGTAGAATGAGGCGACGAACACGTTGTCATGGTGTTTGCTACTATACAATATTCTTCTTTTTTTCTTTTTCTTTTTCTTCTCCTTTCTTTGGATCTCGAGCTTTCGGGCAATGCAGCCTCGTGGCCATCATGCTACGTGGCGGGCCCTTGGACTCTGTACTCTAAGCCTCGAGCCATCAAGTATGTACTACCTAGGTGGCACGGGTATCTGGTACCTGGTAGCTTATAGACAGTGATCTGTCTACCCTATAGAAGTAGTATTAGAAAGAAGCCTTACTAAAATTCATCAAGCTGGGTAGCCATGGAAGTAGCAAGGAGAGGGCAGATGCATTAGGGGCTTCTGTAGGAACACATAAGACTACGTACCTAGGCAGATATTTAGGTACCTAAATAGATAATGAACTAACGACAAACCGAAGCAAATACAATTATCATTATACCTCGAATTCATTATTCTAGTCACTACTCCAAGTGATCGTCCACGCCAGTCCAGCAACTTTGATTTGATATGTAATAAGCAGTAATGTGCCTGCCCCCTTTACGTCACATCCTCGAAACGCCATGAACCTATCACACTTAGACAACTTGGCCTACAGCTGAAGAATCTTGCGCCCAAACTCGATATCATTCTCCCGTCGAGGTAACCGGCTCGGGTATCTTCTATGTAAGTCGCCTTATTAGAATCCATATTCCTCTTTGTAGATTTCCTCCAGCACTCACTACTTATCAAAAAGACCATTTGTTGGAGAACGTAGTTATGCTCCCTAATCATGCGTGGAATTAAGGGGTATAATATCATACTGTTTTAAGTAGTTTCCCAATCCTACCCATTCTGCAGCAATGCTATTCAAGCTATTGTGCAATAGCCGGTCCCGTTTTCTCGATAGAGGGCTATGCCATCGAGGAAGCTACTGTCGTAGCACTTGGCTAGTCTACGTCCTAGAAAGCCAGAGAAAAGCGTCCGTCTTGAACTTCAGCGACCATAACCAGGAGTGAACCCAGGTGGCGGCGGTGGTGGTACATTGCCAGGAGGAGGACCAAAACCTGGAGGTGGCATCCGGAAACTACCTGGGTGAAAGTCTGCAGGACTTCCATAGCCGGCTTGTGAAGGGGGAGGGCGAGCTGGCAGACCTGATGGCGCCGGGGGCAACACGTTGGGTCTGCCCGCACCAGGAGGTGGTGGTGTGCCATTGACCGCAAAGGGAGGTGGAGGACCGCGATGCGCAACCGATGGGGGAGCAAAGCCAACAGGTGGTCTGGTAGGAGGAATGCCGGCAGCCATGGAAGGGTCGAATCCACCTGTAGCCATTGCCGGTGGCGCAACAGCTGCTGGGGCGGCGGGAGCGGGTGTAGAGTTCTGAAGTAATGCCGGCGGCATGGGTTGACTTTCGATTGTGACATTATGCTTCTTTGCTTGTGCTGCGAGCATTCGTTCGGCTTCGTCTCCATGTCGTTCACCTTTGCCGTCCTTCTTGTAGGCATACTGGACACTGATATCCTTGTTCATGAGGAACTGGCCATTCATATTATTGATAGCATCATCGCTAGCCTCGAAGCTGCTATAGCTAACGAAACCATATCCTTTGCTGAGTCCGTTGTCGTCGCGCGCAACCTTGGGTGGTGCGATGAGAGTTCCGAACCTGCCAAAGGTATCGTATAGGACCTTTTCGTCTACCATGGGGTCGAGGTTGCCTATGAAGAGCTCTGCACCAATCTCTAGGGGTTTCTGCTTGTCTGCCGAGGCCTTGTTGACTCGGAGGGCCTTGCCGTATAATCGAATGCCGTTCATAATCTTGGCGGCATAATCAGCGTCGACCTCGCCATTGAACTCGACGAAGCCGAAACCCTGATGGGACTGAGTGACGCGGTCTTTGGGTAAATGAACGTTGACTACAGGGCCAGCTTGAACCATCAGCTCCCATATCAGAGCGTCGGTAGCGCGCTCGTCGATGTTACCCACATAGATGGTAGCTTCTTTATCTTGCTCCCTGTTATTTTAGAAAAATATACTGTAAGTACCTGTCTTTGCTTTGTTGTTGTAGGTATAATACATACCAATGCTTTGCCCCTGACATCTTGGATGGTTTATTACTCTGTCAATGATTGTGATTGTTGCTCTGTTTTACGTCGTCGAGGTTGTGAGGCTGAGAACTTTGTGACTTTTTTCTAGAAGGAAAGAAAGGAAAGTCGCGACGTCGCGATAGTTAGATATTATTGCAGTATGTATTTACTAGGTACTAGTGACATAGGTACTAGTGACATAGTACGAATGGAACATTGAGCCTTCAAGTTCAAATGTTCCTTATTCCAACCTTTTGATTGGATACCGATGTTTTCCCGAAGCCTACTAAACTCCACCTGTAGCGTTAAATTATTGATGTCTGCAATGACTCTGCATGGGTGGTACGTCCGTTTAAGTCACTTATCAAATTCTTATCGGTCTAAATTTTTGAAAGAACATACATATCGAAGCTCCTGCCTCTCTCTCCATTCACATCTTCAACTTCAAAAACTCGATTTAAATCTGATATTGGTTCTTGCCTTGCGCCATATCCAAGCACGACTACGGCAAAATCTCCTCCACAAAAACCAACAAAAACTCTGCGACCTTGTCGAACCATACCAATTCTATTCAAAGACTTGCTTAGCCTCTCGGCGCATCGCATTGCCCAACATGTTCGCCCTATCGGAAGAGTCCAAAGAGCGCATTGGAAAGATCATTGAGATTGGAAGAGTTGCGATGCACTAGTATGAACCACCTACCCTTCTCTTTGCTTTACTACAAGTCAGTGCAGAGAGATTCACAAACTAATCATCCTACAGTGGCTATCTACCTCTAATACTCTACCTCGGTATGCCTCAATGAACACTTTCATCGCTTATGAAGCAATCTCTAACTAATTACACACCACAACAGGCTACACTCGTAGCGACCCGCGACCTTCCATTATCCGGTATGACACTTCCTATACTGATGAATCCAAATCCATGTCCCCCGCTAGATCTCTAACGTTCCTACAGATTACTCTCTCCCCTCTCTTAGTTCATCCCGCCGAACTAGCAGCTACAACAATTCGTGTACGATTGCTTCAGTAAGCCATGGAGATGGGGGACTGGAAACTGGAAAAAGAAAGCAGAGGGGAAAACCCCACGCACACACGCCCCAGAAGCATTATGAGGATCGAGGGAAGAAGGGCACTCAATCGACATGACATTTCATGATGAGCATTTGAATTGTGCCGCCGGTGAGCCGGCCGTGTAAATTATAATGAATAAGCATACACAAATACCACTCGGAATACAAACTCTGGGTTTGGCATATGGAGTTGTGACACAAGTTGGCCCTGATCTAAGAATTAAGATTACTTGACTGTTAATCTCACTCATCATTCGTTACTCACAGTAGACATTCGAGGTATCAGCTCCATATTGAAAAGTGCGTAAGGTATGGACGAAATAGAAACAATATGGTTATAGATCCTTCACTGCTAGATACAGTTCATGTACAAAAGGACGTCGGTTCTCTCATGAGCGAGCGACATCACAGATCGGCAACATTGTGTTTCAAGCACCCGTGAAATTCCACTGTTGAATTACGAAGACATGCGGGAACGTTGTTTTCAGTTATCAAAAACTTCGCAATCAATCAATCAATCAATCAAGGACGATAAAGCAAGCATTCGAATCTGCTACGCCTAGCCCAGCCCAGCCCAGCCTAGCTTTACACTCCATAGACACCATAATGATGTATCTGCCGTACTGTACAAATGTATCAATCTTCTCCCTTAGTCTAACAAAAATCCCTAATATTATGGCTGTTCCCGTAAAGTCCGGAGCCTTTGGGCCTTGGCGCGCGTAATCTCGACCGTATTGCAACTCGCTGCCCAGTAGGATCTTTCCTTCACTCGCGACTAACCCTATGTAATGTCTCCTCGCTTACAAAGACAAGTTGTAGCTGTACTCGTCCTCCATGTTCTGGCTGACCCACAAGACGACCGAGCTCAGCATAACCAGGCCATTCGCAACGACGTTCTCGACACCCATGCCCATCATCGGCCAGTCGACCTCGGGGACGACGAACTTGAGCACGAACACAGTGACGCCGCCGGCCATTCCGCCAGCCAGCGCCGCGAAACCGAGGAACAGGACGACGCGGGCCTTCCACGCGACGCCGGACCCGCTGTAGCTAAAAGAGTCGGCCGACAGCCGCGCCTTCTCGACCGAGTTGATGATGAGCATGCCCAGCGAGCTGAAGATGAGCGGCAGCCAGTCGACGAAGGTGACGTGCACGTCGGACCCGTTTAGCGGCGACGCGGACCAGACGGCCGCGTCCATGAGGATGTAGAATGCGAGCGAGAACTAAGTTGTGCCCCAAAAAGGTTAGCTATAGTCTGATCTGACACCACACGCAGATTAAGGGACTGTCAATAGCTAGCTAGCTAGTCAGGTAGCGAGATTGCTAGGTAGGTAAGTACGTCAAGGACGACGGCGACATACCAAAGCACCCGCGGAGTAGACACCGGCACTGCGCGCCCAGGCGCTGTTGAGCCAAGCAGGCTTGCCGAACTTCCAGAGACGGTCGTCCTCCATCGCTTCGAGCGGGCGGGACGGACAGGAGACTCGGAGAAATTTGCTAAGTAGATGGATGAATTGTTCGGCGCAGATATAGGAGATTCGAGGTCGGCAAAAATTGCAATCAGAAGGCTAGCTGCTTTTGCGTGCGATGGCTGAAGGATCGAAACTCGAATGACGAAGTTGCTGGGAAAGTTAGAAAGCTGGAAAGCTTGGGAGATTTCTGGGTGAGGCTGATGACGACCGATAAAGGCTTGGCATTACTGGATAGTTACATATGCACGTTACTTCAATACTAAGTTACCTACGAAGGTTGTGGCCAAAAGTTTAGACCAAGATATACCTCCGCCCCACAGTGCGCTACTCTTTTTTGGGCCTCTATCAATAATAGGTATACATTTAACGTCAAATCCCCTACAACCCTTAAAAGTATAGCACCTTATAGCATACTTAAGCGCTATAATGTGCTATAAACTTAAAGCCTTTAGTCCTAAACAACCTTAGATTATTATATAAATATTTACATTAATTTAATAAAGAAAGAAATTACAAAAATTTCTATTATTAAATACACTAATTAAATAACGTAATAGAATATTTAATATTTATTAAATAAATTTATAAGGCTTTATAAGTAGGTAAGTATGTTGGCGATGATATTTCTTATAGTGGTAGAAAAGTGGAGGAACTGTGGGGCTGAGGTATATCTTGGTCTAAACTTTTGGCCACAACCTTCGTACACTGGTCCTACAGTATGTATGAAAAGGTAAGCGCATCACGTGGCTAACCCCCTGATTATGATTTGGCAATGCCCAATGCTAAATGGCCTCTTCGTTCTATCGTCACCAAAACTACTAGGTACTATCCGTACATAGGTACATACCCGAGCCAGCAGCTGCATAATAGTACATACCTAGTAGGTATAATTACAGAGCAATCTATATATAATATATATCACACGTACCTTAAGCTCAGCTCACATAAAACTCGGAAATCTAGAGATTCTCAATCATATTTCTTTTTATTGAAAACTGCACGGCCCCAATATCTATAACCTTCATTGACTATTTCTGATAGGCCAGTCCTTTGTAATGTATCGTCATGCTATTGGGTTTCGAAACTCGACCGAGTGCGATCGATGTGCTACCACCAACGCCTGCGAGACTCGAAAACTTAAGTCCTCCTAAACGCCGATTATGATGTTTTTCGGCGACATGAATCCCTGGTACAACTTTAGACTTCTCCCCCCTGTGAATGCTCGCAGTTGCAACCATATTCATCGCAGGCATTCCTAATCAACTATACAAATGTGCCCGACCCGACCGTCGTATCGTGTCCACCAGCGGATAGAAACAAACATGCCCATCGGCTATCGCCCCTGACGAAAATCCCCCAGGCTACCCATCGTCAAGGGAATTGTGAATAGAAGTACGTGGAGTTTATTAGTAACAACATTAGTAGCAATCATCGACTGCACTTGAATCCTCTACATGTCGAGGTTGGTGGTAGTGTACGAACTCTACGAAGAGCCAGCGTTTTAAACCCTGGTTCATCGACGAAAGAAACAGCCACGGCGAAGAGGCCTTGTGAAAATCAGAAATGAAGCGACTGTGCCCCCAGGAAAGCAAGGAACAAGACAACTTTGCTGAGTAGTTGTAATGTCGATTCGCAATAGGCCTGATCCTTGACCGCCATCCTCTTGCTGTCTATTAAGTAGTCGTCGTACAATGCCTGTCGTCGCCGGTCGTTGAACCTTCATATCAGATTTCAATGGTCTTCATTCCTTCTTCCAGCTCTTGCTGGCTGATACCATTTTCTGTTGTCGCCTTTGCTGGTGCTGGCTCCTTCTCTTTCTCCTCCGTAGCCGGCGGAAGTTTGGGAGTGGTTACCACCTCATTGCTTGGTCGAGGGGTTTCAACTTCCACAAGCTTTGGTGACTTGATTAAGTCAACGCCGAGCTTGGACTCTGCGGCGAGAGATGCTTCCTCAGTGACTCGTGCGAGAGGGCTGGGCTTCCCAAAGCCGGGTCGGTTAGGGCTTCCCAGGGGTGAAGGGCTGCTCAGCCGTTGCAACGTGCGGCCGCGAGGCTCCCCGTCAGCAGGGCTAGTATAAGGTGATCCTCCAGGAGAAGTGGTACTGCCGATAACTGCCGACCTTCGCTTTGCGATCACTTTTGCGCTGCGCCCATGTTTCTGGTCCATCCTCCACCTCAAAATATCGAAGTAGGGCGGCTCAACGCGGGTCGTCTTAAACTCGCGTAGCTTCAGATCATTGGTGTCCTCGTCCACAAACCATTTACCGCTGTTTAAATCATCAGCGACGATAGCGAGGAAGGCTCCCCAAGACCTTGCGACAACGTATTTGGTATCGTAATCCCGACCGAACAGGATGATCTGACCCCATGTACCGGCGGGTCCGGGAGCAAGATCCACCGCCAAGTTGTTGCCACCCCAGTCTCGTACAAGAGGAATCCAGGCTGGGTGAGCATAGGCTCGCTGAACAGCCCCTTGGGGCACAGAATCCTGGCGAGCCTGAAGTTCATGTCTCCACGATTCTTTCTGGGAACTGGGAGAACCAGGAGCAGACTTGGAGGATGATGCCTGGCTGCTGCCGCCAAATGCCTTGGAAGGCACAGCAGGTTTCGGGGTGCTCGTTTCCAGTAGATACTGCTGATTCACTTTCCGCCACTGGTCCCACTCCTGAACCATCTCCTCACAATCTAGGAGCATACAGCTGAAAATGATACCGGTAGGGTTACCACCACGTTCCTGTCCATCATGGATTGCCAGGGAGTCTCTAACATCCGGAGGCAGTGTACAATCTAATTGGTGTTCTAATTCGTTCAAATCATTGTTTGTGCATCCTTCGCATAACTGATCATACAACTCTGGATAGTTCTCTTCAGCCCAACGATCGATGCGCCTCCAAGAATGCTCGACGGGAGGCGCGGGTGGGGCACCATCCGCAAACGACTGCATCGGAATCTCTCCGGGACTACTGACGGTTTCGAATCCATCATCTCTGGAGCCTTGATGTTGAGCGCTTAAGGATCGTAACCCGGGGGAGTATGGGCCGTTGGAACCGGGGGACATGGGTGATATGCCGGCGCCAGTATAAGTAGTACCGTCCACGCCGGCAGATAACCGACCGAGTTCATCGATATAAGGCGATGAGATATCTGCTCGAGATTCCGAGGCCGTGGCGACGGATGTGAGGGTGTTTCGTCTATTTAAAGGTACGTGGCCACCTGTTCGATGAGGGGAATCGTACGAGGAGTCTAGCGGAAAGGTCAGCAATTTAAACGGCCAACAATTAACCTTTGGTACTTACGGCGATCATAACTGGTCATAGTATGCCAGAATGAGCGAAAAGTACCCCCGAACCTTACAGATTCAGCATGTTAGCAACCCTATGATGTAGCGCCAATGTTTTGCTAGAGGAGGACTTACATGATGGGCAGACTATTTCTGCTATGTTTATTTTTCAATTCTGGTTGGACGTCCCCTACGACGTGCTCAAAGAGCGAGGTGTTCCAGGCAAGAAAATATTAGGCAGAGGCGTTGAATGTTTAATTATACAGTACAACAGCCGGTTTGGCGTTCTGTGGCTGCAGGTAAGAAAGGAAAAAAGAAGAAAGATCGACGATGGGCCCAAGACGCGTCTCCCACGGGAGGGGTGGTTGCGTAGGGCTGGATGTGAAGGTAGAACAGTTCCCTTAATAATGCGGAAGTTTTTTTTGTAATTGAAGGAGCGCTTGTTTATGTTGGCGAGTATGGTGGAGGAATAATAAGTTCTTTCCCTTTTTTTCCTGTCGTTTTCCCCTTATCGCAAAAAGGAGGTTCACGGGACGAGATGGGACTAGGGACTATGTGGAGAACGAGCGGGTACTGGGCTTTTTTTGTCGAGACGTCAATGTCTTTGTCATTTCATTTCCAGTTTTTTTTTTCCTCTTCCTTAGAAAACTGGAAATTGAAAAAATTGGCAGGAGTGGCGTTGGCTCGATTTTGGCAGTGACGCGAAATTTGACGTGATTGTTCGATTATTCGATCGTGTCTTGGATGACCTGTAAAATCTTCCCGTTCCTGAATGACAGGTGTGTGTTCGATTCAGGAGGTGGATTAGTAACGGGGACTTTGTAGAACGAGTGTAAATTTGGCGTGTTTGCTTGGGGTGGGTTTTTGCGGTTTTCGCGATTCTGGAAATATCGCTACGAGAGAGTTAAGGTATCGTGGTAGCGATGTAGATCTTGAAGATAAATAGATAAAAAGCGAATGAAAAAAAAAGAATATTATTGTATTTGTAGATGTCACAAGAGACTAGAAGATGACTTTGTTTTTTTGTTTCTTCCCCTTCAATACTTTGCGACGGAGCTGGACATGGAGCCGGGGATGGAGGTTGGAACTGGGAAGGGGGCCTCGTCCAATGTTGAAATTCAAAGGGGATTGTCAAGTAAGTGACGGCCCCGTCTAAAGGGGGAACGGGCAAACGGTTTAAACGCTAGGATACTTAGCTGGGAAGGTAAATCCTACTAGCGCTGGAGTACCACCTACCTAGTAGATACTGTGTGTATAGCTACCTAGGGTAGTGTGTATTGTACTTGTGCTATAAGCCACCACTCCCCCTAATTCCCCTAATTCCTTCCCCCTTGAATCCCTCTCGACTCCTAATTGTAGGCTAATTGTAGCACATGTGCACAGTATGAAGCAGTATGAGGCAGTATGAAGCAGTACCCAGTACGTCTAAAAACACTACAACTATTTTCTAAAAACACTACACTTTCCTATTTGAGTCTAGTAATTACATGCGACACTCCACCACCTAATTTCATAACGTTTTTATCCAACTATATAATTTAAGAGTTTTGCTATATGCACTACCATCAGGTACGGTACATGCCCTAAATCTTCAAATCCGGGCCTAATCTAGCGCCTCTAACGGCCCCAGCTGCCCACATCAATTCAATCCATATAACCTTTCAACCATATATCGCAGCACGATGCAACCGGAATCAATTGAAAGCGCATTTAATTACCGATTGATTGATGTAGGTCTCAAATTGAGGCGATGGGTGGTCGCTGAGCTATTCAAGCAAAAAGGTGGCAGTCCGGGCGTCACGTGACTACCTTTAGAGCCACACTAAGAGCTGTTAGAGCCACGCTAAGGCCCTTAGAGCCGCCTAAAGCCCCTGGGGTTACGCTAAGTAGTATCACGTGACCTCCCACGATACATTTACACGATACATTTACCACAATAACTTTTCAACCACATATTGCCTCAGTTCGAGACCTGTACCAATCAATTGGCAATTGAATTACCATTCAATTGAACCCGGGTGCATCCTGGTGCGACATGTGGTTGGAAAGTTATTCAGGGTTGAAACTATTCAATAAGGTTTGGGTCTAAGGGCTCCAAGGGCGCTAAGGGCCCATAGTGTGGCTCTAAGGGTGATCACGTGCCTCCCGTTCCGCCACCTATTTACTTGAATAACTTTGCGACCACGCATCGCTTCAATCTGAGACCTATATCAATCAATTGGCAACCGGATTCTCTTTCAATTGAATCTGGTTGCATCGTGATGCGACATATGGCTGAAGAGTTATTTGGATGGATGGGATGGATGGGTTGGACGGGCCCTGGCTTTTAAGGTTTAGTGGACTTATGGGATGTACAATACTTAATGGTAGTGCACATAGCAAAACTCTTAAATTATGTAGTTGGATAAAAACGTTATGAAATTAGGTGGTGGAGTGTCGCATGTAATTACTAGACTCAAATAGGAAAGTGTAGTGTTTTTAGAAAATAGTTGTAGTGTTTTTAGACGTACTGAGCAGTACCGACTTTGTTACCCCTTCTAACCAGATTTGGATTAATCTCACAATCCTGAATTTTACCTGCGTACCTACCGTCCGTCGTCTGATAGTTTGTGTTTAATTAACTTCCTTATCTAAGTCTGCTTTAGGTCAATTTGGTTCCATTATCCTGCTCCAGCTTGACTTTTAACGTTCGTTTTGTTATTACTATTATTTATTATTATTAATTATGCCGGTACATTAACGCGTCGGTAGATGAGAATAAGTGGTACTACCTTGATAATACTTACATAGTATTGCACATTGTGACATACATAGTATTGCGCATATATCGTGGTAACATACGTACTAGGTTAGGTATGTAGGGCCTAGGTTAGGCAACTATTTACAGTACACCTACATAGTACACACATAACCTGGTTACCTGGGTGAGTGCTATGTAACTAGTTAAATAATAAGGAGAATAAAGAAATAGGAGTTGAGGCTCTTCAATGTTGCTATACTGAAACTTTCCAATGCTACTACATATTAATAACTACCCACTATGTATCTAACCTAGGATAGTGTGTTAGTCAAGTCAGCAGCTTGGGCCTTCTGTGTAGTTCTAGAATAATTAATTATGGATGGCCTCTATTATGTATGGGGTTTCTCATTTCGTTGTTGTTCTGCATGAGTTTCACCAACATAGGGAACATGTGCCTACCCTAGGTAGTATGTAATACTATGTATCAAGCAAAGCATAAATGATATTCGAGATACATTTTAGGTAGGTAATATCGGTTCTATTCTACTATGTAAGCAGTTACCCACGTCATTGAACATCATAGTGTTGCTGTTAGTAGCTATATTAGTCGCATTAGCTGCATTAGCTGCATCAACTGCATCAACTGCATCAACTGCATCAACTGCATCAACCTCTAATTAACTAATGCTAATTTCTCATCTTGTAACTTGAACTTTATGTACTTATGCATATTATCTCTTACATATAACTGCCTAATAACTACCCTACGTATCTGCCTCTAAGGGATTCAATCTTAGTACCTACCTATCAATAACTTCATTGTTCAATGGTACATATTCCCATATTCCCATATTCCCATATTCATGACTATGTATGTATTATGTCAACATCGTAGCAAGCTGGATTCAATTGCCTGCTGTCATCGTGCATTGGACCATTCCAATTTAGTAGCAACGTTGCGCCTTCAATCCTCTTCCTATTGGGTCTTCCAGGGAACTCATTTCTCTCGCCTGCGGTTCTGACCAATTACATGTCACTGTTTCGCGTCAGACGTCGCTTTGGAACGCCACATGGAAGAAATGTATGTGTGCGTGTGTCGTGTGTGTGTCGTGTGTAGTGTGTTGACCATTGCCGACGTCCTTGTGATTTACCTATGAAGCGCTCATGCACATAACACACAACTTGAATGTATGTAGCTTAGTTTTCATGGCAAAGTGGCACCAGCCCTTGAAGATTCGGACATCGGCATGCAACCTGCCCCGAGGACCAAGGAAAAATAGACGAAGAAAGAACTGGAAGAAAGGGAAAAGAAAAGAGAAATGTAAATTTAGTAACCCCTTACGCGCCGGTTGGATGCATCGTAAATCTTACTACCTAGGGTACCTAGGGTACCTAGGTAGTTATTGATATAAGACGCATCTTCCTACTACACATGTAAAGGACTTTCAATGTTAACCTTGGAAGTATTACGCCAAAGTTAAGAAAGGAAGCGAAGTCTTCGGCCAAAAACCTGGGATGTCACTCATCTGAGCTTTGGCACATTAAGCTCTACCGACAAACACTTGATACTACAATCGCCTCCTCAAATGCCACCCATCCCACCACCCTGCAGTAGAAGTTTAGGAATATGTAGGTATGCTACATAGTTACTAGCCAGTAGCATAACTCCGCGCACCGCCACATCGAGAGGATGTGCCAAGGTTTTGTCTTTCGCCCACCGCCGATCTAAAGCTATCCGCAGCCAGTCAACCGACGGTGAGCTCCCGGCCAGCTGCACCTTTCGGTATAGGAGAATAATACATAATACCTAGTAGCCGCCCAAGTGATACGCTACATAATAACTATGTATTGTCCCCTAGGTAGGTGTGCACACTAACCTAGATATGTAGGTATTTTGTGCATGAGATTCACAGGATATGTATCTGTATGTATTCGTAATTGGATATTATACCGCCGCCATACCCAATCTCTTCGTATCGTATTATAGTCGCCATGCGAGATCTTCTTTCAGAGGATATGTAGATATGTAACCAGAGTCATGGGACCTTTCTGAACCTTCCTGTCCCTCGGATACAGCCATCGTCATAATGTATGTAATGTATGTAATGTATGTAGGTATACCTGCATACCTACTAAGATTTTATCAATTGTAAAGGTAATTTATGCGTCAAGTGTAGCCACAGGGCTTGATCGTTCAATCCGTTAAGACTACCGAGATAATAGTACTAGGTACTATGTAGGCACCTGAGAGGGACGAGCAGGCAAGGAACAGCCTTTTAAGTCTAGGTTCGCCCCTATTTCCCCATCTAGGCACGGAGGTAGGTAGGTCAACGATACACCGACGTTTTCCTGCCCCTTATCTCGCCTATGCCTTCACCGCTCTCACTCAATGTCACAGCAAGTACCAGGCACGCCTTGGTGACGTTAACGAAAAAGCCACTTTAGTTAATTTGTACACGTCTTTTTTCAGCATAACATAACATTGAATTTGGCTGGGTTGGCTCATGCTTAGCAGACAAGTGGCACTCATAAGGACCAGTCAGCCTGTCCAAGGAATCATTTATACCTAGGTATAGTTATATTGCACAAACATGCTTAGGGACATATATATATGTATATATATACTTGTCAACTACAAAAACAAAGCAGCATGATAGCAATTATCAATCAAATATGTCGCTGTCTAGTATTCCGTACCTAAAAATCTTATAATATCGGGGCCGTGGAGGCAAAACACTTTCCGTACAAGTGGGAGGCCTTCGTTCCGGCATGTCCGCCACCCACCGTAATTATACACGTAGGCTAGATCACACGAGATAGTGACTAGTTACCATCGTACGTAATGCTCATGTACATAGAACCCCCTCAACTCTGCCACATGGATTCGCTCAACGCCAGCATTTTCTCGCCCATTTGTCTCTTAGCAGCTGAAGCAACCCCCCGCTCGGGATCCGCCAGCTGTTCGCTGAAACATAGCTCAATGAGAGCTCTAAGTTCGTCGTAGGTAAACCGTTCCGACTCCGGTAAGGTGGCGCCGCCTGACGTCTCGCGCTCCTTGTCGCGCTTGGCCTTTTCGACAATTCGATCTGGCCCTTCCTGGAATAGGCTGAAGTAGTTCGCTGCCCGCGCGAGGTCTACCCCTGCCTCGATATTTTTGAGGTTTTGCTGCAACACAAGAATGTTGAGTTGCATGCGCTCACATCCGCGCATATTCATGGGCTGTGTAGCAGATGCATTGGTCACCAGGTACGACTTGACGAGGAGGCCTAGGCCCGTCCGCACGAATGCCGTTTCGCTGTCGCGGAGGAAACGTACGACAGTCTCATCGTAGGCAATGAGCTCGGCATTCAGCGAAAGAATTTGCGGGTCCGGCTCCTTTATCTCTTGTTCGCCTAGGACATACGGCGCCGTTTTCGGGGAAAGCGCCACACCCAGAGATTGGAGGATGCGGCACCGTATTTCCATATGTAACGTTAGGAGCACCGTCCCAGCAAATTCCTCGAAAGCCGATACTATGTTGTCAAAGGATCTAAGGCAGCCTGGTTAGGTGACCATCATAATTTAGCCAAGGTGGAAGTAGAGATACTTACTGAACAGTTTCCTGTGTCATGGGCAGGTACACAGGACCTTGCTGCTCGTTATTTGCCTTACTAGGGTCATTCAATAGAGTCCAGCGGCGGTTTTGGTTCCTTGGTAACGTAGGCCGAGAAGAATCGGTGTCGAAATGAGTGATGTGTCGCAAACTAACAATCCTCACCGATAGCCATTTCATACTCGTATACAGTAGACACAAGGAGGAAATAACGTCGCGGTCTTGGATAACATCGTTTGGCTCAAGAGACCGTTCATTGGCATGCTTAATAAGCAATACGACTTCCTTCTCTATAAGATCATCTTCAAGTTCGTCCGAGGCCCAGAGTCTTTTGACCGTCTCCTGAAGATCTCCTTCTCCAATGGCAAGCTCAGCGGAATACCGCAACGACTGCGGTGCCGTAGACGGCTCTTGAGCTTTAGCAACCAGGGACTTAAACCATATAAAACATCGATCGTAGTACCTGACCATCTGAGAAATAATCAGAGAACTTAGCGCCTGATCATGTGGAATTGTCCCGAGCATGCGGCAGAAAGCGGTAATAACTGCAAAGAAGGCGGCCGTCCCCTTAAAAATAGGACGACGGGCTACCAAAGCCCAGTCCGGATCTTGTTGGAACGAATCTGTTTCTCCAAATACAGAGTCGCTCAGCTTACTCAGGGTTTCATCTAACTGCGGCTGGAAAACATTGACCAGGAAATTATCCAAGAACGATGTCAGAGTGCTCGCAGCCAAGTCCGAGCCAGGGGGAACAATTGCTTTCAGGCGTTGTAAGAAAACCAGAGTTGGGGGTAGTAGAAGACTCATGTTGAATACGCTTGGTTCCACAAGCGACTTATAGGAGCCGGGTACGTTCCTGCGGTCATAAGCTCCCGCGTATGCGCTCTTCCTCGCCTCTCTACCGGCTGCTCTTTTGTCCAAATTCGTTGTTTTTCGAGAGGCAGACGTGAGGCCGGGCACTGCAGCTCGTATGATGCTGTCAAGCGCTTCGTACTCGGTTGTCATCTCGACAGACTTGGGGTCTGCTTCAGAGAACTTGAAGAGATGCTCCCTGGATGTATCCATGCCACCGTTAAGCATTCCTCCTTGTCTCACGGACGTCTGGAATTGATAGAGGTCTGCGTCTGTCGTGACATAATTGTGAAGAAGGGCACGTATTTCATTTTGGTAAAGGTTCCACAGCTCCCTAAAGCTCCCAAGAAGGGTGCTGTTGTTACCAGCACCCTCTCGTCGTATAAGCGCCTTGATTGCCTCGTGAAAGACTCGATGTCCTTCAGCAATCGCTTCGAATTTGCCAAACAACGTCCATAAAAGATCGTAGATGACATCTGCACGCATTTGGGTTTCTCTGCTGCCATACATTTGTAAGCCTTGCGTGTTGCCCGAGCCACCTCTTAATGAGCTGGGATGTCTCTGGTCAACTTCATTAATTGTCTCATTCACGATAGAGAACAGCTCAACCGGGAGCCGTTGCTTCAAGGTATCAACCACACTTTCCAGCCGTCCAAGTTTATTGAGGGACTCAACAACAAGGCTGACATAGTAGAACGTATCTGATTCGGGATTTTTTGCCGGGTCTTCAGTAACTGGTTGTTCGAGGTCCATCGTATCCAGGACCAGGTGGAAGGGGGTTAACACGCCTGAGTTGTAGTTTTCGTTATAAGCACCCTGATTCTTGGCCAGATTCTGCCATCGCTCCTGGCAGTATGGCGACTTCAAGTATAGGTGCTCGTGGAGTTCTTCAATCAAGATATCCATCAACGCGGTCTCTTGGTTGGCAAGATAGCTTCTCAGGTCGCTCAGGGCCCCAATACCATCTAGTTCCGGTCTTCGCAGTTTTCGCAATGCATTTTGCAGGACCTCAACGGCAGTCAAAAATCGCTTCTCCGATATGCGAGCCTCGAGTTGATCTGGCACTGTTCGCAGATCTTCCAGCTCGTTCAGCGTCTGCAGTACATCGTCATACATCTGCGATGTCCGATATAATTTTTTCAGTTCGGGGTCTGTTATGCAGAGGTTCGTTCGTGAGGCGGTCAGGGAATCCTTCAAATGGCGAACCCGTTTCTGGGAGGACTGTATGCTCCCTTGGATCTTGTGGAAGGTACCAATGGAACTATTGAAACCCTGATGATGCTCGTGTACAATATTTTTGAGTGAATCCTGCAAGTATTGATGTGTTTTCTTGAAATCTCGATATTCGTGTGCTCGACCGACGGAGCTGTTATCTAATAACTGAAGAGCGAGTGATACGGGTATGCAGTCGTTCTGGACCATGGCAGGCCATTCGGCCTTGATGAGTTCAAGGACTTGGCTAATCTGTCGCTCGGCGTTTGTCTCATCCACACGTTGGGCTCTAGATGCTAGAGAAGTACTTCCGGCACCTCGGGAAGAATCGAGTGGTGTCCTTCGAGGATTCGGTTGGCGAGCAGGAGCGGCAAAGCGATCACTTCCGTAGCCATCGCCAAAAGGATCGTAATCGGCATCTGGTCTAGCAGCAGAGCCATTGCCATTGCCATTGCGGAATGATCCGCCATATCGGTTGGACATGGTGGCAGTGATGCATTCGGCGTGGTAGCTTGGCCGGCACGTAGAAGCTACCTAGTATGATGTCGAGTTCTGCACCTATTTCATTTATTTGGTGGGGACGTAGCTATATGGGCAGGTTCTTTGGTTCGATCGAGGGATTCCTCCTGTTTTCCTCATACAGGTATGTCTCCTCGTGAAGGATGGAAGTACACCTATAGTTAGGTGTCAGGGGTAAATACGGTTCGCGGTGTATTATAGTAAATCAAGATGGTATCGTATATCGTATCGTTTCGTGTCGTATCACATGGATCGCGGGGTCCTGGCCGAGATGAATGGGATGTACATAGAAGTGGAAGTGAATGGAAGTGGATTTGTTGAAGTTGGCAATTGGAGGTAATAGTTAGTTACTACTACCTAACTACCTAACCTAGGTAACTATGTACTACTAGTAGTAGGTAGTTAACCAATGCTTGTTAAGGTTACTACTAGGTACCTAGTAGTGTATAATGAACCCCACTAACAGGTACCTAGAGGTACCCTGTACCACGCTACTAGGTATGACATATGTAAAGCTTCACTACTAGTTATAGGTACCTAGTTAAGTACCATTGAAGGCCAAAAATACCTAGGTATGTAATGGGGGCCTTGCAACCTGGAAACCTTGAACTTCAACATTGAATTCTACACATATCCTATCCTAGGACCTACATAGGTAGGTATTGATAATAATATCATGGGGATAACATATGTACATAGTATGTTCCCTATTCAGAACCAAGTTTATTACTTTTTGTTATATTCCTATATGCTACACCTCAAACCCCCAGCTGCTTAACCCAGGACTTACCAAGATCCGTAAAGAAGCTTGCACCCTTCACAGTCGTTGGCGTGTCGTCGGTAATCGTAACATTGCAGTTGGTAATCCAGTTTCCTTCCGAAGCATACTTGGCTTTGATATACCTCGCATAGTCGCTCAGCTTACAGGACGATCCTGGCCCATTTTTGCAGGATTGGATCGGATAAACCGCATCGTTCAAGAGGATGCGGACGTATGTGGTATTGGTCACAACTTTTTCCAGCCTGGAAGAGCTCGGATGACCCTCTCCAAGGCAGTTGAGACGCTCGAATGCGACAGTGCCCCTCATCGACACGTATCTCGAGCCTACCCAGAGTCTATTGTCGTCCTTCTTTTTAGGGGATAACGGTGGCTGTCCGTCGAAAACTCCACTTGCGGTGACAAGTTCTGTCAACTGACCATCATTCAAGAACGACATGATGAGTTTTGGCAATTCGAACAGTGATCCGTCAGCCTTAGTACCATTGACAGTTCCGTTTTGCAGTATGTCAACGAGCTCGTTTAAGAACGGGGTCATCATCTTTTTGGGAAGATCCGTGCCTGGCCCAATCCCATAGTAATATCGAAGATCGTTCGAGTACTCGTACTGCTTCAATTCCTCGTCGGTGAACACGCTACACCACGGTGAAAGGCGGCCGGTGATGTGACTCTCGAAGCCACATAGATATGGAATCTGGTTCACATCGCTAGTTGTAAGAGTCAAATTACCCTCGATCAGGTACTGCAACCGTTTTTGGACGGGTGGGATCCATATGTTATCCCATGATGTCTTATAGTCTCCTCCCTCCAAGTCTTTGAAATTAGGACACATGTCCGAAGGGGCAAGTGAATCCCCAACGCTGGCAGGGAAACCTCGAGATGTTACCGAGATGACGCTCCCTTTCTTGGACGCAGTAGCGCCTAAAAAGCCATGAACAAACATGGACGCAGTCTGAAGTACTCGAGTATAGTTATTAGCCCATACCATGAAGCCATCTCCCTCACGATACAGGTCAGGGTATCTGCAGCAATTAGTTGACATCCTTTTAGACTGAGCCAACACAACACAAGAGAAGAGCAACCTTGTTCGTAGCGTGTATCCTAAATCAAAGGACTCCTTCGCACCAGTAGGGTTCTCGAAAGCGATTTGCAACTCGGGATTCGTAAGAACAGGTTGCCAGGTACGTAAGAAGGACAGACTCCCACTTGGTGTGTAGTTGGCAGATTGAAACTACGAGCATTTAGCTGGCATTAGGTTTCTATATCGGCATTTCAAGCACTAACCCGTTCGTACATGGATACCCAGCCGTTGTAAGCTCCCTGGTCCGGATACCTCGAGCCATGTCTCAAAACGTACGCAGCTCGATCAACATGACAATTTTCAGGAACCTCAGATGAGATCTTAAAGACGTCCGGGCCTAGATAGGTAAATGATGAGCTCAACTTGGCATCCAGTATTTTCAATATTTCCGCTTACCGGCGTACCAGGGGCCATTAGCACCTAGCCACTGAAGGGGATTTGTCGCAGTCTTGCTAGAAGGGAAGAGTATGTCTTGTGGTGGAGCGAGATAAGGAGTAGCTGCAGCGGAGATTATTACAACTTCCAGGGATATAGCAATAGCCCACGAGAAATACATCGTGTTATGTTGTTAAGTGGACAAGCAGAATTATCATCATTGAACTTGCAAGTAGGCAGACAATATGAGAAGAGAAGAGCGCTCTGTTCGACTAGACACTAGGACTAGGAACTGGACATGGTGGTCTGTATTTATATATCTACCTTAATAGATATATATGTATGCATCCCATACTTACATCGATGTAGGCTTATAATCCAAGCCAAAGCTGTTGAACATGTGCGTACTAACTAAGTCAAAGACACTAGGGGGGGGGTACAGGGTGTCGATGTTGGCATGGCAGCACGTGTCAAGTGATGGCGTTCTGGTTTGCGCAGGCTGTTAGGTAACTTAGGTTCTAGCTTCCCAGAGGATAACTACGAAGCCCATCGGAGATTGACCTGCCAATTCGGACAAGAAGCCCATATCACGTAGTAGTAGCCTCGGAGTCATTATGTACCTCCTAAGGCTGTTAATACTGCAGTTGCAGTGGGTTGTTACATAATTTGGAAAAGATCAAGTAAATTCATAGAATCTTGATTCTTTACTTACATACCAGTTACCACTTACCACTTACCTGGCTTAGATGCATGTGACATATGGATAAATACCTAGTACTAAAAAACTTAAAGGTCGTATTGTACCTGACATTAGTTAATCCTCAAAAAGACTAAACCACATGTGCATTCATTAATTCCCCATCTCCAACTAAAGCCCGGCCCCGGAAGTCAACGTCAACCATCCCCGTTGTTGTATCGGCCAGACACGGCCTTGATAATCAGACAGAATTAAGTACATCAAGTTCAGCAAAGGAAAGGAAAAATAGAAGGAGGGAAAAGGGGGGGAGAAAGGAGAAAGGAGAGGAAAAAAAAAAAAAGGAGAAACAAAACGATGCCTACCAGAATACCTAAACCGGAGGACTTCAACCATTTATCAGCCTCATTGCATATATCACTGGTATTTCCCGAAGTCCCAGAAACCACAACCGCCATTCTTATCCTCTTTCACGGCCTCGGAGATTCAGATGTATCTTTCGCTACATTTGCTAAGAACTTGAACCTGCCTGGTGTCTTGTCCATATCCGTCCGCGGTGTCTCCCCACTCCCACCGACCTTACTCGGCCTTCCGGATTCTGATCTCTCTCGCCCAACCAGCCACTTTCACTGGGGGGATGACTTGACTCTATCGCCGTCGACCGGGGACTTGGACCCCGATCCTGGTTTCTCCAAGGCCGAACAGTTAGTACTAGGAAAACTCATCCGTGAGACACTCGTAGAGAAATGCGAGTGGGAGACAAATGACATCTTGCTCTTTGGCTTCGGTCAGGGAGGCTCTCTGGCTCTCGGCTTGTCGTCAAGGATTTGCGTAGGTGAGAAGGTTGTCGATGTCACTGAGAGAGATGTGGCTACGGGAACGGCGTTCAAGGGGGCCATATCGATTGGTGGCCCCTTGCCTGTGAGCATGATACCCACGCTGGGTGCTAGGGAGAAGTCTCGAACCCCAGTCTTAGTATGTCATGGCAGGTCCACCGAGTTGCTTGATGAGGACGCAATGGATAGTATAAAGAAAGAGTTTGTCGACGTGCGAGAAGTCAAATGGAAGAAGAGCGATGACAGCATGCCTAAGAATAGGGATGAGATGCTACCAATCATGCAATTCTTTGCGGAAAGATTACGCGGGTGGTAGAGCAAACCGTTGCACCGATCGCTTACTGCTAGAAGAATGTTAAGTCTCTGCTCCGTGGGCTATATTATACCCTCATTTACAAAGTTATAACACAATACTTAGAGGCTACCTAGGTAGGCTTTAACCTTTCGATGACCATCTATACTATCATCTCTTTTGATGCTCAAGTACTCCTGCGTAGTCCAACCACGTAGTATGTACATGTGTCTCTAAGATATATTTATATTCTCAATGTTGCCCATTCCGGAGCAAACCGGATACCAATCTATGCTCTATGGCATACTTATTTAGCCTAGGCCAATAGGTACCTACCAGGTACTTGGTCGTGCTGCATCCGATATTATTCATCCCAAGACCATCACTATCCGACGAACACAGGAGGAGATATAGTTGGCACAATCACACTCGCTGCTAAGGCTAGCTGAGCTGGCTCTGAAAATGAAATAATAAATCCAGGGCTATCCATCCATAGTCCATTCCACCAAAACGCCATGGCTATGCGCAGAAAGCAAACCACCATAATACACGCTCTGCGCCAACTAAGACCTAGCTGCTACAGGAAGCTAGCTTAGTTGAACACAAGTCTTTAGCCCCAATCGTGGTCATCAACTATTAGGTCGGTCAAGTGGAATACTAGGATCCACTCGTTCACCATCGGCTAGAAATGGTATGAGAATTGACCCGGTGAACTTGATTTCCTGTGGGTCTTCGGTGGATGTCTTCTCGATAACAACATGCTCAGGGGAAGATGCCGTGATACCGTCTTTTATTTTCGTTTCGTGTTGAAGTGAGGAGACGAGAATCTGATTGGGATCAACCAGGTCGTAGAAAAGCATGAACACTCCGCCTTGTGCTAAGACCGATTCTTCGGACACGTCCCATACGGTTTCGTCACTCAACCTCCACCATTTCATGCCTGTGGCCGACTCGGATTCTCCATCATCATCAGCATCATCATCATCATCATCCACGTCGACTGGCGTATTATTTGTATCCTGGGCATCACCACCGTCTCCATTATCAACTAATTCTGCTTCCGCTTTCTCCATGAGGTTATCGTCAGGCTTGGACGGTCGGCAGGGATGCTTCCGGTAGCAGATGTAATGGCCATTTTCGTGCCGGCCTTGATGGGTTATGACCGCGCGTAACTCGTAAATTGGACCGCTAATCTTGGAAGGTTTTAGATCTCCAGATACCATAGACGATTTCGGGTCCGTGATCCACTGCTCTTCGTCCTCGGCAGCAGTATGATTATTATTGTTATTATTAAGAGAACTAAGCGAGCCGGCGCTTCCTAGACACCATGGGCCAATGTCAAGGGTTTTTGGAAATCGAACATCTGCGAAATTCTTGAACATGGCGCCGGTGTTCTCGTCGAACACTGACCGGTTCATATGAATGGCAAGGCTTTGAGGCGGTCGTGCAATGACTAACTGCTTGGTCTTGGTTGAACTGATTTTCTTTGAGACTTGGCATCTATCTTGCAGAGTCTTCTCGTCAAAATCATCTTCTTCAAGAGCGAGTTCGGTAGCCTCTAGTCGAGAGACAGGCCCTCCTGGGCTGGTTGGATTTGTGCCAAACTCTTTGCCACGAGCTACGATGATTTTGAGCAGACCCTGGAGTTTTAATAAGGTGCACTTGGCGCACTCAACTCCTTGAATGGTCTCTAAATCGGTGTATGAATCTAATCTCTCGTAAAGATCATGCTCTGTTTGGTCGAGTCCAAGATGGAGGGTGAGACAGTTGAAGGGGATCATGGAGAGCCCATCGGAATAGCCACATTGAACACATGCGACTCGTTGTGCGATGAGACCCTCCAAGGGATTTCTCAGAGCCCTGGCGTCTGATCCGGCTTTGGCAAGCACTGGCAACGACTGGTACCCGCTGTCATCGCTATGCTGACTATCCTCAGTTTCGTCTCTGGCGTTAATTTGTTCGAATCCGGATGAACAATGTTGAAGATCAGTTGCACTTGTAATTTCTTTTTCAACCTCATCGAGTATCTTGGAGTAGTACTCCTGCGCATCTTGCTGCTGCCATGTGTCTAAAGACTTCAACTTTTTGGGCGTCCATAATGTCTTTCCATTATAATTGGGGTCCGTCAATTTCGATATGAGGTCCCGTAACGTGCTAGCCGAGCCAGGTTCGCCATCACTCCTAAGTTTATCTTGCTCCAAAACCCTTGCCAGGTAATCAGGGAATGGCTTCAGTGACGAGAGTCCCTGGAGGATGCTATTCTGGAAGCATGAATTGTCATAATTGCCTAAGCCGGGTGGCCGATCGATCTTGGGTTTGACAAAGGTATTGCTGGACAAAGTAGAAAGGCTTCTTCTACTTGCATCCGCAACAGTTGTCATGATACCAGCTGACCCATCCATTCCAAGTATTCGTCGGAGGAGTTGGGATTTCGCAGCGCGAGAGCAGGATCGTGTCGCTAACACAGGCCCTGGGATCGGAAAGGTCGGTGGGTGGATCCAGTCGTCGAGGGCATAGAGCAAAGTCCCGGGAGTGATGGTTACTATAAGACTCCAGAGAAGCTCGCCGGGATGTCGTATGCGAGAGAAGGGTGAAGAATGTAAAGACTGGTACAATAGAGTGAATAGAAGTAAAGCTAAGGACATAAGCACGCTAGGCTGTTGCAATCGCTCTGAAAGTGTATTTTGAGCGTGAGCTTGGGCGTGTGAAGAATAGTAGCTGCCGAGGCGGTCGACTTGTCGCTCTACGTGATGAGAGGGCATCCTGTTATTTGTATTGGATGTTGGATGTTGGATGTTGCTAGCGCATATGTATTAGGTATATATTATATATACTTATATATGCTAGTGCGTATGTGAGCGACTGAAGAAAACCAGAAACATCAAGGTAAGGTGTGTTATGCGAGTTTATCGTGGACGAACGTAGCCATGGCAGAGAGAAGGTTTCGACATGACTCTCTTCTCTGATAGTCTAGTTGATAAATTCCACGTATTGCGACGCGATACGTAAGTAGTAGTAAGGTTGTGCCTACGGATTACTAGAGTTGTATCTGTTGCGATGACACCTAAGGTATGTGTTTTCTTTGTAGATGAATGTTGGACGGAAGTCAAAAAATAAAGAATAAAAAAAATCAAAAAGTGATCGATCAATCAATGTAAGAAACCTTAAAGGTCATTAAAGTTGCTGTACTCTAAACTTCAAAGGTAGGCGCCTCATCACCTGGGGCGAGCGGATGCAATAGTTTATTTTTAGCGAGAAGGTAAGGGGCCAAGTAAGTACAGTGGAAGTTTCAAAAGTTAAGATTGAGCGCAAAATATGCCTTGTGATTACTACTTGTGATACTTTTAGTGTACATCTGTACTTACTAGAGAAGGGCAATGGCGGAGCCCTATCTCCTGCAATTCTTATAAGTTAACTTTGTTGGCCAAAGCTGCCACGCAGGTCCGTTCTTGGCATGCCTTATCAGTTTTAGTGCATGTCGTTATCGCCCAACCCTGCGGGGAGGAATTTTAAGAAATTATTCAAGTTACAAAGTTACAATTCCTACAATAGTGAAGAAAGACATTTAACACAACCAAAAATTTACAGAACCTATAGCAACCATGGGTAAAGGGGTAATCGCAAAAAAGAAGAAGGGTACGACATATACACTCAATTCGTTCTATCAAATCATCTATTAGGTAGCTAACAATTCGTTATTACGTACAGGCCCGTCTCTTCATTCTCGGGCTGCGAGGCGTGCGACGTCCCCAAGCATCAATACTGACAAGTCGCTGAAGAATGCTCAACCTCCTGTGGAATCGATCGACCATCGCCCTTCCGTACTCTCCATACATCAGGGAGCAGGCGTTTCGAAGAAGACAAAGAAAGGAAGGAACCTAAGTACCAAAGCACGGAGGAGACAAGAGAAAGACCAAGACCGAGCTGCTGCCATTGCGGAGAGAACAGAAAAGAAGACGGCTAAAAGTAAAGGACAAGCCCGCACAATTGAATCGCGCAGAAAGGCTTGGGATGATATCAACAACCAAATACCTATGCCAAAGAAGATACCCCAAAGCGCAGCGGCTGACGAGGACAACTCAGACCAAGAAGAAGAGGTTTCCGAGTTTGATGAAGAGATGGACGACGCACATGTTGAGAAAGCCAAAGCCAAAGCTTTCAATAGTGTAGCAGTGGCGGCAGCAGCAGCAGCAGCAGCAGCAACAATAGATGGGGCTCCTGCTAATGAAGCTATGGATGCATATGACGGGATTTTATGATTTTCTGGGAAATTTGAAAGAAATTCCATAAATACCTATTTTAGGCGTTGTTGGCGTAAAGGCTTAAGACTGTGATAGCTTCTCTAATGTCCAGACTTTAAGTTACATACAGTACTTCACAAATGCGACGAATGCGACAAATGCGCCGTCTCCACTAAAAAAGGGCGGACTTGGTCTACGACGTACTAGTGCTATGGGAGGCTATGGTAATCGATTATCGATAACACTTAACTATTAACCTAGGTATGTAACTACGTCGTAGTGTGATATGACCCACTTGAAATAAATACCCCCTGATAGCTTGGTACACCCCTGTAAACCTTGAAATGTTTTTGGTACTACATATTACATGACCATGTATGGTAGGTAGTTATTGGATGTACCTATGTAAGCCTCTATGTAAGGTAATATGTAATTATTGAGTTAAACGACCTAAACTTTCTTTCTTGAAAACATTCTCATCTTCCATTTCAACTTTTACATTTTCCTAACTTGATTTATCTTTTCGACCCTAAGCCACAATGCAGTCAAAACGCATGACAGCAAACCCGACGCGTCCGTCGCGTTATCGTGCCGGCAAAGCAACAGGCGCGGCCTCAGACTCAGATTCCGATTCCGATTCAGAACCTGGCAGCGGCGAGGCCGAGCAGCAACAAACCCAACGGAAGATTGCGCCGCCCCCAAAAGTACCTAGTGCCGGCAAAATCATCAGCAACCTTGGAAAAGTAGACCTCAATGGACGCCGAAAGCAAGAGAATGAAGCAGAAAGTCAACGCGTGGCGGCCGCAAAAGCAGCCCGCCTAGCAGCAGAGGAAGGGTTTGTTACCGAAGAAAGCGAGGGAGAAGAGGACAGCGAAGAGGAAAGCGGAGAAGATGAAGGGGAAGAGGAAGAAGAGAGCAGCGAAGAAGAAGCCCCACGGCGACTCATGTTGAAACCCAAATTTGTACCGAGGAGCCAACGGAACGGGAACGGGAACAAGGAGCCTACCGAAGAGCACGACGAAGCCGCCAAGCTAGCCGAAGAGGAAATGAGAAAGAAGCAGGCCATGGATGAGATGGTCGAGGAACAAATGCGCAAAGCAGCTGCGGCGCGCGCAACCAAGAAAAAACACTGGGATGACAACGTGGAGGACGAAGACGACGTTGACACCGAGGATGATGTCGACCCCGAAGCTGAGTTTGCAGCATGGAAGTTGCGTGAGCTGAAGCGCATCAAGCGGGAGCGCGAGGCTATCGAAGTACGCGAGAAGGAGAGAGCGGAAGTCGAGCGGCGAAGAAATCTGACAGAAGAGGAACGAAAAGCGGAGGATGAAACCTTCCTAGCCATGCAGAAGGAGGAGAAAGACGCCAAAGGGAAGATGTCATACATGCAAAAGTACTTCCACAAGGGCGCGTTCTACCGGGATGAGGCCGAGGCCGAAGGCTTAGCCAACCGAGATATCATGGGCGCGAGATTCGCAGACGACGTGAAAAACCGGGAATTGCTTCCAAAGGCACTACAGATGCGCGACATGACCAAGTTAGGAAAGAAGGGTGCCAGCAAATACAGAGACCTCAAGTCCGAGGACACGGGCCGATGGGGAGATATACGCGATATGAGGCCGGGCAAGGAGTTTGATCGATATAATGTAGACGACAGGTTCAAGTCCGATCGCGCCAGAGAGGCATCAGGGCCCGGAGGGGCTAATGCGGTGCCCCTTGGGGAGAGGAAATCCGTTCCTGGTGCGCCGGAAGGTCCTAAAAGTTCGGATAGAGACAGATACCGCAACCGGGACCAGAATCGAAACAGCTACCGTCCAAGTGATGACCATAGACGTCACCGAGATAGGTCTAGGTCCAGGTCCAGGTCCCCGAAGAGACATGATCGAGATAGCAATAATAGCCGGAGGAAAAGAGACTCATCACAAGATGTAGACCATTACGAAAGCGACAAGAGACGAAGGATAGATACCAGATGAAGGATCTCAGTCGTTAGGCAACTTCATGTACATTTATGCTAGTCTCTGGAAATAGATATGCCAGTGTTAATTTTGACAGAGGAAAGGCACCTTTTTGGTTGATGTCTTAAATTTTAGCCCAAAGTACGTCCACATCCTGTAAAGCTGAGTCCCATCTTAAGCTATATCTTGGTGATCTCTACCCTAGCCCTCTTAAACACCTCATGGATAACCATGCCTCCACTAGCTAGCCCTTCCTCGGTCACTTTGGGTGGAAACAATGTCATTCGAGCATATGTGCCTGCGCCTCTCCTTTTCGAGAGGTAGCCAGGGTTAATAACCAAGACGCTTTCGACAACCTAGTACGACTTAGTATGCTAATGAAAGTACTCTTGAAAAAGTACATATCTCGGAGGATTTCATTCTTACCTTTGCAAAAGGAGGCAAAGCACTAGGTGTGATGATGACGTCGGGCCTCACATTCAACATCTCGCCGAGCTTGAGGTAACTCAGGTCAAGCATAGCTCCTGTAGGCAGTCCATCTGCCGCGCCGACTTGAGGTAGCTTCTGCCGATCTGCTGGAGGAAAAATAGGAAAGTAATGTCGCTGTTCGATTAGATATTTGGAAAGTCTCGAGAACAAGTCTAGGTTGGTGGGTCGGGGACCAATTAGCTCCTGGTGACGCAAATCCCATAAAACATCCTGAGATGAAATTCCAAACATAGACTCGTTCATAAACAGCATCATCGGGTTACCGATGATACGCGCATTCTTATGTAGTCCCAGATCTTTCCGGGCGATGATGTCTTGGGGCCAGGATACGTGTTTCTCAATTATGTCTCGCACGGATGGAACCAAGAGGATGGTGATAGATGGATTCAGTGCCACAAGCCGGTTTAAGATCGGGGAGATCATATACTTGAAAGCGGTAGACATGTTTGCTGTGTCTGGGTTGACATCGGCATCTTCGGGGAGATCAAAGTCGCCGGTAGCAATCAAGGGGTGATCGACGTCGATAAAAGGTCCTATTAAAATGAGGGCATCGGCGTACGTATCTGCCGCTTGGTTACAAAGAGCGTGGAGAGGCTCAAAATCGAGGTTGTCATCTGCTGAATAGGGGCCCGAGGCAATCATCATATTTAATGGGGCCGGCTCATCATCCGAGTCCATTGCATCTGGTCCGCCCCGAAGTCTTTCCCGGTGCGACTCAATCGCCGACGGCGCAGATGCAGCATTAGGTAGCAAGGGGATTTCCAACACCTCCTCCACGACGAATTCGCTGCCAGATGAGTTGATACCCCTGAGCGCAACAATCTGGCCGGGAAAAAACTGGTAGCGACCGTTGAGCTTCCGTAAATTTAACAAAACCCTTCGACCACCTCCGGTCCGCCTCGAAGTCTCCAGTACAAGAGATGCGTCATTCAGTTTTCCTTGCAAAGAATCAGACGCAATGCGGCCAACGGCGATAATGTTGGTGGTGCTCTGACTAGCGGCACTACCGAACTCGCTCTCGTCTATGTTATGATGGTCTCTCACAAAGCCTAGGAAATCATCTATCCGGTCATCTAGAATTTCGGAAGCTTCTGAAGATTTCATAGCAAGCGTTTTGTAGCCTAATTTCTTCAAATCGGAAGCCGCACTCAATTTGATTCGCGCCTCACCATATGGCGCAATAGGAGGCTCAGAAGCCTTGAGATGATCATTCAAAACTTCTGTCACTTCTCCTGGATTTTGACGATCGTTAAAAGAAGTCGCTCTATATAACTCCTTAGCACTTTTCCAACAGCAGGTATTCACTACAACTTACGAGACAGCATTCATAGAGTCCAGTCGATCCTCCTTTTGCTTGGGGCTCTTTTGGTCAGGCGAGCTACCAAGAGCACTGCCCTTCACTCGCGCTAAGGAGGGAGTCTCTGGTTGGCTTCGTCTCTTGGAAGCGCTCTTGTTCAACTTTCCTGTAGCAGGTGTGCCAGGAACCATTCCTTCTAACCTAGGGATGATCAGTTTCGTGTCAAGGTAGTGTCAATGATAGAAGTGCCATCGAATACAGTACTTACATGTCATATACATCGGTACCACTTTTGACGGCAGCACGGGGGGTTGCACCTGAGCGCTTCTCTGTCTTGATATGAGAATGGTGTGTTCGATTACTTCGTTCCAAGGCATCTTGGATATCTTGCTTAAAGGCTCTTAAGCTTTGCAGGGACAAATTATTCCCATCCATATCCATTTTGATACAGTAGGATTCCCACTTAAAGTACAAGTCTTGGACGGGTAGTGAATGTATCCTCATGATAGACTGCAACTCGGAGATAATGTCAGGCTCCAGTTCCTTATTTGGCATGCCGAACTGCGCATTTAACTCTTCTAAATTTGCGTCCGCCATGATGTATGATCCTGCAGTTTTTTTGTTTCTTTTGTTTCTTTTGTTTCTTTTCTTCTTATTCTTCTCAAGAATTAATATGTATTGCTTCTTACTCGACAGCTGTGGGTAGAAACAAAAAAGCAGGCTTGGTTTTTATCCTCAATGGGAGTATGCGAAGACTTTCAGACGCGCTTTTCGTCCTATGTACTTGTATGTACCTAGGGTGTGACATGTGTAAGTTAGACGCGTTCTAAGAATGTTCGTGTTAAGTGGTTTCGTACCTAACTAGTTAGTACTATGTACATACATACATACATACATACATACATACATACAGTGCCCGCATTTGCAGTTGGCAGTTGCCTGTAACTGCCATCAATTGTAATAGGCTAGATTTATTTTAACATAAATCACAGACATCCATTAGCCAATAAGAAGACCAAATTGAAATTATTGGTTTATCCACCTAACATTCATGGATAATACAGCAAGCACTGCCGCCTGCCAATCTTAAGCATTCATTCATCACTAAAAGCAGTCACCGCAACATTTAAGCTAGCTCTCTTTTCTCTCTAAACTCCATCCTTTTCTTGTATGCTCTTGTTAATCTTGCTCCCTTTTTTTTTTTTTTTTTTTTTGCTTTGTGTAAATCATAAATTATTCAATACGACTTAAAAATGGCCACTTCGAAGACGGCTACAGCGTCTGGGAGTGCGGACCCTTCTATCCTAGAGGAGAAAAATGAATATGGCGTGCTCAAGACACCGCTTCTAGCTCCCACCGCCAGCAGTTCCGTCCCGGCAAAGCCGGCCCTTACCGCTGACCAGCAAAGCAAACATGACTGGCTCTTGAAGCGTGTAAACGCCTGGACTGAAGTCCAATGTGCTGACGGGAAGAGCGGTCCTTTGACCGACAGCGAGAAGATGTGGCTCACCAGAGAATGTCTCTTGAGATACTTGAGGGCTACCAAATGGCACGAGAAGGATTCAGAAAAGCGACTGCTAGAAACTCTAGCTTGGCGGAGGGAGTACGGGGTCGAGGAGTTAACTGCAGAAAACATTGGCCCCGAAAACGCGACTGGGAAACAAATCATCCTGGGCTACGATAAGCAATGCCGTCCCTGCCAATACCTTAACCCAGGACGCCAGAATACAGACGTCTCTCCTCGCCAGGTTCAGCACCTGGTTTTTATGCTCGAACGGGTTATCGAAGTCATGCCAGCTCAGCAAGAAACCCTCAGCCTTCTTATTAACTTCAAGCAGGGCAAGAACCGCACAAATACAGCACCTGGCATCGGCCAAGGTCGCGAGGTCTTGCACATTCTCCAGACCCACTACCCTGAGAGGTTGGGTCGGGCGATGATCATCAACGGTAGGTTCCAAATAGAATGGCTCATCGTGGTAGAACTAGCTTACACGAGATTGCAGTTCCATGGGTCGTTTGGGGCTTCTTCAAGCTTATCACACCCTTTATCGATCCGTTGACCAGGGAAAAGCTAAAGTTCAACGAAGACATGGCACAGTACGTACCGAAGGAGCAGTTATGGAAAGAATTTACAGGTGGCGAGTTGCAGTTCGAATATGATCACGACACTTATTGGCCCGCATTGCAAAGCCTTTGTGCTGAGAGACGTGCCGAGCAAGTGCGGAGATGGGAAGCTGGAGGGAAGCAGATCGGCGAAAAGGAGGACTATCTCAAGGGTTACGATACCCAAGGGATATCGTCATCGTTTGGATCTTCGACTGAAGTAACCGCCTAGGCCAATGTCGCAACTTGGAAAAGAGGTAAGGCTCTAGCAAAGATTTGACCATTCCTAGACGGGTTGAGCGGCCGAAGAATCGAACCGTATAGAGGAGGCACCCCTTCATTGATAGAAAACTATCCATATTAACTACACGCATTAGCAATAGCATGATGATAACTACCACTTTTTACAAGTGGTAGATGGCTGAGCAGGCAGCCAGATGTATACCTAGCTAGATATAATAGATAAATATTCACTAAAAGTGGTACATCATTGATAGTATTGATTTATCAGCCCCTATCTGATTCTAAAGAAGTGACGGGTAGTAGTGTAGTACCTAGTACTAGGTAGTATGTAACTATGTAGTATGTAATACATATGTATGCACTTGGAGTCAATACTTCAATGTTTTTAACTTTTATTCGTGGTCCCCATAGTTAATTCAATGTTATGTATGTACTTGCAGATAACTACTATGTAGTTCGGATAGGTACACACTACATAATAGTTATGCACTTACGCTAGCTGACTACGTAGGTGGGTACTAGTAGTACCTGCCTAACTACCTAGTAGTACTGTATGGAGTAGTATTCCAGAACACACAAAGCAGTGAAACCACTACAACGCCCACTACACCCACTACACCCACTACACCCACTACACAGCTCAGATTCAGAACGAGGGGGTTTAGTTACCTAGTTTTGGAACTCGTATCGCATGTCTCGACATAACGGAAACATATTTGTCCTAGTAGAAAGAAAATCATGTCAAATCTACAATCCACAAAGAGTAGTGGCAAAGACCACCCAGGATTACGCCTCCCGACAAGCGGAAAGACCATCTACCACCGACCGCTAAACCGCTCCAAGGCATCAGAGCTCAGCGGCGCCAGTTTCGCCTACTTGTTTTCTGAGATGGTGGGATACGCATCCAAAAAGATTGAGAGCATTCAGGATTTGGAGAAGCGGTGAGTGAGGGAGGCTCGGCTCCTTTTTTGCCAACAGCTCGGAAATGCTAATGCGATCATTCTCTTCCTAACCCCAGGCTCAATGTACAGGGTCATCCGATCGGTCTGAAGCTCCTCGATTTATTACTGTACCGCGAAGCACCGCGCTCGCAAACGCGCTCCCTAAACATCATCACGCTCCTTCACTTCATCAAGATCAACGTCTGGCAGCACCTATTTGCCCGGGTGGCGGACGGGCTAGAAAAATCCTCGGACCCCAGCAAACCTGACGAGTATATGATCATCGACAACGAGCCCCTCGTCAACCGATACATCAGCGTGCCCCGAGACATGAGCCAGCTAAATTGCGCTGCCTACGTGGCCGGCATCATCGAGGGTGTCTGCGACGGCTCGGCCTTTCCAGCCAGAGTCACAGCGCATAGCGTGGGGAAGCAAGAAGAGGGTGAGATGTGGCCTGGTCGAACCGTCTTCTTGGTCAAGTTTGCGCCCGAGGTTATGGAGCGAGAAAGTTACCTAGGGAAGGGATGAAAACATCAATATATATATATATATATATATACCTACATATATATTGCTCCATGGATGGAACTAGTGGGCTTGACCGTTACGGTATTGCATGGCGTTCGGGTTGGTTGATGGGTTGTTGGTGTTCAGGTAGGTTTAAATTCATAGGGATACAACGATATCATGGAATGGAAGAGAAGAGCGCATTGTCAAGATAGCCTAAGTCAATAATAGGTGGTCTCGTAAAGTACTGCCATTACGCCGGCTCGCCAATGTTGATGACCATATTCGCCTACCAGCCTAAACGCCAGTCCATTGTAAACGAAGTTCTCTCTCTCTCTCTCTCTCTCTCTCTCTCTCTCTCTCTCTCTCTATATATATATATATATATATATATATATATATATATCATATCATTGATATCCAATCCCTCAGGTTGGTTGTTTTTTGGAGGGGGGTTTTTATTATCTTGGCAGACCTTTGTATCCTTTGCCATGCGTTCGACTTGGACCTCCACTCGCGCCTCCGATGCCAGTGACGGACGGTCCTTTGCCCATGAGTTCGGCCAGACCTAAATCCTTCCAGACGGGCTCTTTGCTGCGCTGGGTAGCCTTCTGGATGCCAAAGGCGGCGTGCTGATCGGGCACCACATCGTCCTCATCCTCAGGGTTGATGGGTTGGTTGTAGGGCGGTACGTAGATCTCGTCGTCGGGCAGCTTGTCCTTGAAGAAGTCCTCGAACATGTCGGCGTCGCGAGGCTGTTGCATATGCACGTACGTATAGCAGCCGTCCTTGTTCTAAGGCAGAGTAAGTGATGTGCCACGAGTCTAGGTAGGAATTGAAAGAAGAAGCCAAGCTTAGGGGGGAGGGCTTTACCATTGTTGCTATTCAGTGATTGGAGTGATCAACCCTTTTTTTTTTATTAATTCGTTGGCAGTGTCGGCTTCAATTTTGGTGTTTACTCAATGATTTGTTTTTATGTAGGTGCATAGGTATGTGTACATTGATGTGAATTGTGTATTGTAATACGTTCTATATATAGTTATTGATGTATTCAATGTTTGTTGACTTAGGCCCCGATCGGAATCTTTCTTAAACTGCCTCTTAGAAAGTGGAGAGGTACATTCGAATGCATAAAGAATATATAGGTCCAGAATATATCTTTTCATCCCTTGCAATTCTCTTTCAAAATTAAACCTTTGGAATCAAAATTCAACCTCTAAAGTTACCGACCGCAATATTCAAATTCAAATAATCCAAATAATTCAAATAAAATTCAATTTCATAGCCACCTTCATATACAAATATTCATTAAAACGCTATTAAATTAAATAATAAATGATTCTTTTTTCAAGAATTTTACCTATTTAAATAGATTTTATATATTTAAAAAAGTGTTTATTCTTAAAAATAAAAGGCATATTTGACCCACTTTATAAGGTCGAGTTTAACATAAGACCCTACCTTTCAACCGCCTCTTAAAAAAGGCCTTATTTTTGAGAAAAATGAAGACGCTTTACCTGTTATAGTTTAGTTTTTAACCCAATTTAAAAGATACCTGCCAAAAGACTCTTAAAATCGTTACAAAGATCTTACAGAATTTATACAAATAACTTCCTAGCTGTTTTAAGTAAGGTGTTGTTTTTATGTTATGGCTGATAACTTTTATAACCAAAAACCCACTTTATAGTAGGGATATTTAAGTAAGAGGCAGTTTAAGAAGGATTCCGATCGGGGCCTTACATACCTACATACTAATGTACCTACCCTAGTAGGTTAGGTTAGTTACTACTATGTACCTACCTCAGTGCTGCACTTGGTGGGGTAGATCCATGTAGTTACAGGGGCGTAATGTATGTATGTACGTATCCAGTGTAGAACTATCAGAAGACTCAGAGCTTACTATTAAATAGTTACCTATTACATAAATATATATGTTAGGTAAATATAACTTATGTAGATAGTGTCTTGCAAGAGCCGCAACCCCTTAACCTAACCACATGCTCCTAGCCTACATGGTACCTAACCTACCTCTTATAGGTACTCAACCTCTTTACAATGGGATTCCCTTGCCCCATCAAGTAATCATGTATATCCATGTGGATATATACCTAATATATTATATCTTGGAACTGAATTGACGCCTTCGAAGCCTTCACATAGTACTAAGCACTATATAGCCTAATTTGGACATTTACATCATTTAGTCCATCCATCCATACGACAAACTTCAATGTTAGTGGCAAGTCGCATGATGTGCTACTGACGATATGGCACATGTCATTCCTCTTAGCGAGCTCGTGGGCAGCAGTGTCACCTGGTCGGATATTATGGGCATCGTTCACTAGGAGTGAGACGCATAGGACAGGTTTCAGAACAACTTATCTTGTTCAAGAATTTGGTTTCTAACGTCTTTGGTGGAACATGGGTTTGGAGCACAGGTTTCCCAAAACGGCCGAGTTACTTTACTATGTCCACGTTCGGCATCCAACTCATGAACTAGCCCCTTATAAAGGCCCATATACCTACCTACCTACCTAGGGTAGGCAACTACCGGGCCCAAATTCGAAAAGTCAATATAAAGACATGAGTTATAGTTTATATCGTAGCAATTGGATTTAACTTCGTGGCATAGAGAGAGGTTTGTCATTCTGTCACATAGGTATGGTTTCTCCTTTCTTTTTCAATAGCATCCATTGATCCCATCAGCGAGCTATGAACCCCCTATTCAAGGCCCTGTTTTGATATACGTTCCCTGAAACAGATATACCAGATACGACAAGACCCTCGGCGCTCAAGTTAGATAGATACCGACGCCGTAGTCTCGGTCCATATACCATCCTCGCAAGCCATTGGCGATGCACTCAGTCATGATAGTCTCGGTCATGTGCTGAGCAGCGATAGAAGGGGAGATGGTAGATGAACCAACGCGTTGCGGACAGACGGAGCCGGTGCAGTTGCCCGATACAACCCTGTAGCAGCCCTCGACTAGCTTGACGGTGATGTCGCCTTGGACAGCCTGGAGCTGTTTGATTGCGTTGCTGCAGTCCTCTGTCGAGGGGGCAGGGCCCTTAATTGCTGATGTATTAATAAAAGAGCCATGCTGTGAAAGATGAATAAATTACTTACAAACTCGGGCGTGGATTCATGACAGCGGTGGACTGCATCTCGACGCTTATTAGCGTGCACCACGGTTGGCTCGGTCAACTCAGTACTAAGGTGGGCAAGCATAATATTTGGCATGATATCGGGTGAGACAGAGGAGGCCTTTACATCCTTTCTTTGCTCCATGGGAATGGTAGCTGCAGTAGCCCCAGAATTCAGGAGGCCGGTGGCGATGACAGCCAATGTGACCATTTGTGAGAAAAACATGATGGGTTGACATGTAAAGTTCACGGTGGTATTGGTATTGGTGTCAGTGTCAGTGTCAGTGTCGATGTCGATGTCGATATCAGTCTCAAAAAGTAGGAAAAGAAAATGTCCGCAGGGCAAGTGAGGTAAGATGGTTTCGTCTTTGTGGATTGTGATGCCTGAGGGCAGATCTTGGACCTGCAATGTCGGTGTTTGCTTTCTAAGATTGCTCCTGGGAAATACCTGAGGTATGTACTACCTATGTATGTAGTAACTGCCATGTGGTACTAGGTACTAACATTGTTCGCGTGAGACAGAGGAAAGTTTGAAAGAGGAAACAAGTAGAAAATTAATAATAACTGGCAGCTACGATTTATATATGCAGGTGCGAGTGCGAATAAGTAGGTACGTATAAGTATGTGTATGGCCTATGTGTATGGCCTATGTAAGGAAGGAGCCACCCAGAAGATTCAGTACTAGGTAGGTACCCAGTACTATGTACCTTGGGAATTCCTCTTGATTTTCGAAGTAACTTGATGTTGACGTTGATAAGATGGTAGATGGCAGTTCCGTCAGTGACGCAAAGACGATTGAGGGCATATGATTGCATTACAAGGCCCTAGTTAGTCGTGGTAAATATCAAATGAAAGAAAATGCCACACTATATATCATACATAGTCACAGAAACGCAACATATCACTTACCTAAAGGTTACAATGCATTTGCATTATAGAATATCCATATGCAATGCTAGATATATACTTGTAGGGGGTTAGTCCGGTGTTCACCAGCGTGGTTTGTCGTTCTCCTGAATCCAGACGAGACAAATATATATCTCAACTTTGTAAAACACTACGACCTATATCTAATCATTCACAAGTCTTAGGTGAAGTGAAGGCACTAACTAAGTTGGCGTATTTAGTGACTACAAGTACATATTGATCACTTCCTAATAGCAGTGCCCTATGGTTTTACATATAACTCCAACCTGTTTGAGCCTTTCAAGGCTAGTAGAATGTCGCCCAGGTTACATCTCTCTTGCCAGACCAGTTTCGGCTGTTTCCTCATCGCATCGCATAAACCCACCATTAAGATACCCATAATCGGTAGGTACCCGCATGACTGTTAATGTTAGGGTGGTCACCCAAGACTCCCATCTTCCCCTGGCTGATGCAGCTATCTAGCAATGGGGTGGTTATATAAGTGGCCAGCCACGCTCCAGTTCGGTTCACGGGCTTGGTGACGTAGGGTTGGGCACAAAATCGAATCTTGCAAGTTCCCTTTTCCCACACGGCACAAATGTTGGAGTAGAGCTTGATTCCTTGCTGACTCTCAGCCTGTATGGAGTCAATGGCTGTCTGACAGTCCGCGACGGAGGTGTTTGTGACCTAAGTCAGAGTTAGGGCGTGTACGGTCATATACCATAAGGTGGGTTGGGTGAACTATCATTACTTACACCATAACAAGTGAAGGCGTCTCGTTTCCCAAGAATAGGTGGTGGCATGGGAGATGCGACGTCAGGATCAACCGTGATAGCATTGGCCATTACACCCTTGCCCAGACAGAAGCCAAAGGCCGACACAAGGACGGTAGTGCTGCACTTCATGACGATAACTTGGTCTTAAGTAGGAAAGAAAGCCTTGTGGTTATATTCCTCGAGTCACAGTATCGACTGAATAATGAATGTATGCTGTTGCTCTAGTATTTATCACATTGAAAGCATGAATGAAGAACTTGAGGTGGTGAATGTGGCAGGAATAATGAAATAAGAAGTAGATAGATTCTTGATTTGAAGAAATGTGGGTGCTAGATGGGAGTTGCGAAAGGAGGCAAGAACGTCCTGCCTGGTTGTACATGTCCCAACGTGAAGAACTTCAATGTTCGATCATTGATGTTGCTACTATGTACATGTACAAGTGTATCTCCCGCATCAATACATATGTATGTATTAAGAGTTGGACGTGAGATGCTATGTATATCAAGTATTAGTTAGATAGTAGGACACCAAGTACCTAGTAGCAAACAACCAAACCCTATCGGAAGACCAACGGTTGTCTGCAGCTTTTTTTGTTTTTTCCCCAATCTCTACCAAGAATTATCTACTCATGGCTCGATTTGGTACCTTAGATTTATCTCTTGGGCACACATGTGTAGTCTATACTTGGGTGTAGGTGGAACCTATTTCATTTGAAGTCACCGTAGCACCATAACAACACCTAGATGTAGAAAATGAAAATTTCAAATTTGGAAGTGGCAAGTATATATGTAGGTTAAGTTGGTACGTAATACCTAGGGTAGGTTGAATATTGGTGATTTTCCATGTTGTTTAAACAGATGTCGTCAACACGATCTTAAGCCACAGATAAGTACCCTAGGTAGGCACGTACCATGTAGGGATCGCCATTAGAAAGCCTATCACATATAGTTATGTACTTACATAATATTACTAGTACGTATGTAATTAGCCTTGAGGTGCATTAGTAATTTAGTATGTATCACATCAATGTAGTTACATATCAACTGATAAGTTCATAACCTACCTAGGGTACATATGTACCTAGGTATGTACATACATACATACATATGCATGTAGGATTATGCTCAAACCTTGGAACCACTGTAGCTCGAAGTTTGGTACAATACGATAAATCTCTGATATCCATCAATGATACGTCGTACATCTATGTACTACGTATGTACCTAACTATTAGCCCCTCGAGTAGATAACTTGAAAGCGTTAGGTACATCAAAATCAGAGTTTGAACTTGAAAGCGATCATTATCTCTTCGCGTAACTATGTACTTGAACCCTAGCATTTGACAAACATCAAACGTTGACGTGATTTGGCATTATGTAGGTATCTACATAGGTACATATGTAGTACATACCCTTGATAGTAGTAGGTATGTACTTTTAATATTGTTCAACCACATGCAACTCTCATTGCTACTCAAGGGTATCTTATACCTACTACCTACCTACGAACCCTTAAAACATAGGACATTGATTTCTTATCTGAGAAAAAGAATAGGAAGAACCGGCTCTATATTTGTATTTTTGAACTGAGTCGGAATTATCCGTTATGGTGCGATAATGGTGTCTTAGTACAACGTGCTACACGTGTAGGTTAAGCTAAAAGATCTGGGACTAGGAAGAGGATCCTTCATGCGAGATCACTTATCCTAATTCAATCGTATTATCTGTATTACTACTAGGTAGTTTACTATGTTACTATGTAGGCAGTGTATTGCAATTTGCATGATCTACATAGTATACCTGATCAGAGCAGGAAGCGCAAAGCATCAATTGATATGTATACACATACTATTTTCCACCTAGAACGTTGAATCTGTGTATCTTGTGATTTGGTAAGAATAATTTTGAAGTCGTAGCATTCAATGTTGATCTAAAGGTGTGTAGTACAATATGAGCTGCACTTTGTAGTAAGTTTGTACCAACTTCAAGCGCATAACACTGCATACCTTAGGTGCCTTGGTATATGTCCTCATCGCTACCTAGTATCTTCATAGATGATAGTACTAGGTAGCATTTAACATTCAATGTTCTCGTCCGCACCTAGTAAATACGTACCTACATATGTATGTTACAGTATATAGATAGATTGGTCTAGACTAGGGTGAGTGCCACATATATACATACATAGTACTATGATAGTATACTAGGTTAGTAGTATGTATGCACTTAGTTGTAGTGTTGTGTTAGTGCAGGGCCAAGCTTAAGAAAGGGAGCAACGCTAATACCAACTGAAGGATTTAGGCCGGTGACTATCCATACCAGCTACATACAGGAAATAATGAATTTATCCTTATCCATGTAGGTTAGTTAACTACTTATCATTTCTATTCAAGTATATAATAGTGGACACCTATACATACGTCGTAGTATGACTGGATATATCATATATGTACTATGTATTATGTATCATGTATTATGCACCTACTAGGTATATAAATAGTATGTGATTCCCACATGGATTGGTGAAAGAAAAAAAAAACATGTGATCAATTAGATCATTGATGAACTGACCTGGAAACTTAGTTGTGGGTTGCACTCTACATATTAAAAAGACGGAAAGGAAAAGGGAGAGTGAAAAGACAAGAAAAGAAAAAAGGTCACGTCCAAACGCTATTCCCTGAGCGCTTAGACCCACATCTCCAGCTTTTAGCACGGGTGTAAGCGGTAGAAACACTACTGCATCTACTAACTAGGTCCCTGGTACATGCCTAATTTGGCCAGGTAACCCCCTGTTCCCCCTTTTTGATTGAACCAGAACTCTCAGGCCATGCAGCCACCAAAAACGCACCATCCCCAGACCGTGACTTCAATGCTCTATCTGTAAGGCCCAGACCATATTCATTCGACCTTTCCCTCATTCAATTTTGCCATTCTTTTAAACTTCAAGGTCGCTTGTTCCTTGCATGATCACGTACGACCCCCCTCAACAAGACGACGTCCATTCATTTTTCAATCCTTTCTTTTGGGTCGTACGTAGTTGGTTGTTGTAGTTCATCTCAAAGAGATCATTGATACTACCTAGTACACATAATACATACATACGTACCCTTTCGCTCGTTCCTACATATTACATACATGTAGATAGATCATTCATTTACACAAACACACAAACACACGAACACGAACACACACAACAAAACGAGCACACAACACATCCCACACCAATACCGGAATTCTTACCCAAACCCAATCAATTCATCTCAAACTTTGATACCACCACCCGAACATACATACCTAGGTATTCATCAATGTATTGAAAGAACGAGCGTCCTTGGTCATATACAACATCCCCAACAATTAGTCGGGAAGAACCTAATACCTAAGGTTTAAGCAAGTCGCAAGAGCACAGAAATAACCATATCCATCACGCCAATTCGAAGCTAGTCCCTCATAGGCCTACTTGGCCGAGTTGTGACCTCTCCCACTCCCATTCCTGTTTTTCTGGTGAGTTCAGCTCTTGCCATTTGCGATGTTTGCATCGTTTTACTCTTGTATTGACCCTTCAGCTTAGTAGTCATCCGCCTCTACTTCCGGAATGACTGAATAGGAATACCGCCAAATCATTTCACTTTCAACAACCCCTCCTTGTGTCTGGCTTCCTCAACAAGCCCGATCCTGAAACCGCGACGCTTATATAGTAGCGACCTCGACTTCGACTTTGCTCTCACAGACCGTCTCCCATTCACACCTCCATAAAATGGCTTCCATCACCGTGGATGAGAAATCCTCCAAGCCCAATCCGTTGGCCATCTGTACCCAGCAACTGCTGGCACCCGACCACAACAAAAGCCCCGAGTTGGGCATGGAACTTCGTCGAAACTCAAGCCTATCAACACCTAATTCTGCCTCCGCCCCCAATGGATTTGATACTGATGTCGAGGCAATGATGCCCGTAAAATCTTCCGAGTACCTCAACAAAACCACCACCTCCAATCCCAAACTAAAATCGGATTGTCAAGTCTGGCCCGGCCAGGATCATTGGCGACAAAAGGCACGGGCTGCCAAGATGAACAACAGATCTTGCCAATGCCTGGCCCACCTTAGTCATCGAAATAGAATCATCGCCAAAATCCTCATTGTATTTTTAATTGTGGGCGTTGCCGTTGGCGTGGGATTTGGTATCAGCAAACCGCTCGGTGCAGGCATTTGGCAGCCCAAGGATCACTAATTTACCTGTACCGTTACTATAAAGGGCGAGACCATGGTCTTGCGCACTCGTGGATAAATTGGATTGTCGCAGTGCCAAAAACGATATTCCAATAATCCAATAGACGAGGCTATTCTTGCGTGAGGTACAGCAGAGTTTACTCTGCTAGCTACAGCCGCTCTTCGAGGGATGTTCTACGTGAAGAAGCCGGAACCTTGCAAACCGCCGACGTCCACAACGTCACTTACCTTGCTTCACAATTGCTAGGGTTAATAACTGGTCGATACCCATCTGGACCCCGACTCATGTATAAATTCGCGGTTCATAACAGGTCATGGGAAAACGGAACCATATCAAGACTATAATATGGAAGGGCGTTAGGAGTACATATGAACTACGAAAAAAAAACGCATATTACGACACTGGGGTTTCTTATTCTTGTGAAACATCGCTATTGGAGCTCAGGAGCACGGCGTTTAAGCCGGTATAGAGAGAGGGGCCTTTGACATGGGATCGATACTAGGTGCTTCGCGGCGCGTATAAAAATGATCAACACGAATGGTCGGCTATGTAACGACCATCATTACGCAAAATTCAGGGTCTTCATCTTATTCTCTTAATCCAAGGGAATAAATATATCATGTCGTTTGACTTAAATTAAAGTTGCTAGGTGATATACCTAGTAGACAAATATCATAGGCCAAGCACCATTAACAATGTCCATCTGTCAAGTTCTATTACCAAAAAAAACAAGTAAAATTACCAAATATGGAGCGGATAGCATAGCATGTTCGTGTTGAATGAACTCGTCATTTTTTAAAGGGGCACTTCTTCTAAGTCTGAAAGGTATCCTCCCTCGTTGCCCAATGGCTTACGTTTTATACCAGTATGCATATTGGTTTTCGGCTTAGCCGTGTCAAATTGTGTGAAAGAATCCGTTCGTTTTCTGTCCGTGCTGGAACTCGTCATTATGGTGCCTCCCAGCCCTTCAGACCCCTCAGAGGCTGCAATAGCTTCTCTCCATGGGAACCATGCCCGCTCAAATACCGGGCCACGATCTGCCGTCTCGATGTCACTCTGGCGCCTGGCCATTCTATCGCGCCTGATGGAAATCAGAGAAACTGCCACGAAAGCAACTGGAATCAGGCTAAGCACAACATACATGAATGTCCAGTTGCTATTGTTGTAGAGCTGGGGATTTTCTATAGCCATATCACAAGCCTAGTCTTCTTTTGAAGTTAACGGTATGAAAACAAGGTGGGTGCCCTTACGAGGAAATTAAAAACCGAAGCAATAACGAAAACTGCTATCTATTGTCAATAAGGCTAGGGAGAGAGGAATAGGTAGGGAAAGGGGGCGGGGGCGGGATGATGCCTGTTTCTCTGGTAAATTTGGCGTCGAAAAGTTCACTTCTGCTTTGAGTCGAAAAAGTTCAACCTAGAGGCATAGCTATGACTTGGGGAGAGGTGGCGTTAAATAGCTTCGAGGTGCACAAAAGCCTTGTTCTGTCGGGCTCACGGTCTAAGGAAGCTATAGGGCCTTTGTTCCTAAGCTTGAATCATGTTGTAGTACTCTTCCATTTAGGCCTGCTGCCTAGTCTTTGTTTAGGTACAGTGCGGCTTGGAAGCCTTTGGAAGATTGTGTTCTGATAGGCAGCCCTCTGTATAGTCGCATGTCAGTGGCGGCTATCCTTTTATGCTCGTAGTGGCACAGAACATAATATGTAATATGTATATACACTACCTAAATAAGTACCCAAGTCTATAAGTATCGTATGCATCAGTAATGGTATGGTATCATCCCCGGTCTATTCCGAATGATTGGGGATCCAGCGAGGCCAATAAAAACCATGTCGATTACAGCCAAGCTCGAACAGCAGTAGGCGTCAAACATCCAATACGATGAGTAGCGATTCCTAACCCGGCAATTCCACGTCTAGGGAATAGTTACTCTCTATATCCAGTCTACATCCAGTCACCCCCAAACGCCGTCCCAAAGCCTCCATGACCCCCCTGTGTCTGTCCGCCACTGGGTACCGCAAACATATCGCCCCAGTCGATGACTCCTATTCCAAGCATCTGATCCCACGTCACATCCACGGGGGGCTGAGTATTTCCTGGTAGACCAACGTTGTGGCTATTCAAGCCAGGCGACTCATCAACGCGTGTGCTCTTACTCTCGTCTAGTGGAAGGAGGCTTTGGAGCCTACGTATATAACCTGGCGTTTCGGGAGGCGAGTTCGTGGTTTCTCGTAGCATCTTTTCTCTAGCCTTCCAAGCGCGGATCGTACACAAGGCGGCCGCTACATGTGCCTTCACCGATAGGTCGTAGAGTTCTGTATGGAATCCGTATATGATTTCAACGGAGGCCCATGCTCTTTCTACTAGCTGCCCTGATGTGCGCCAGCTTAGCTGCCCAACCATATACAAAAATATTTCTATTTGAAAATGAGACATCACTATATTGCCATGTTAGCAACTGACGATTGGTAGATGAAGCAGTTGGGTCATCCAGAAAAAGACTTACTGAACCATGAAAATTGACCATGGGTCTGAGGTATCTGGTACATCCTCAAGTTCTGTTCTCCGGACGTGAGTGATATTTTAAATAAATTATCTTGGGGCGTCAGGATCTCCGTCCCCCATTCCGGTTGACTCCTCATAGGACAAATGAGTTGGCGTAGCTTCTCAATCATTAAATGCTTGGTCTCAGTCGCTAGTACATGTATCGGGCCCATCGAGACATCGCAGTACTTGCTTAGAAGCTCCGAGGCGTCTTTGTCCATCGCTTCGATACGCCTAGACGCCTTTTCAATCTTCTCTCTTTCCGGAGTTTCGGAGCCCACCTCGTTCTGCAAGATAACGTTGTGAAGTTCGGGCGTATCAACCAATACTTTCGCAATTTCGCAGCATATCAGACAAAATATCATATCCGTCGGGCTGTCTTTGGGCTGGATGGTTGTCATGGTAGGATAAAGGTCAGAATCGCTGATATTTAGTGGCGGTTTGGTGTCCCAGGAGCGTGGAAGCAGAGAATGGCCGAGGCCAGACATCAAGGCATACATGGCATCCAGCAGAATAATCCGCCACCAGATGCGTCGCCGCATTTCAGTCTCGAAAGGCGGAAGCCCAAGATAATCACCATCCCTATGAAGCCCCATCTTCTGCGCAACTCTCACGGTCACGCCATTCAGGATCCACGCGGCATGCCGGTCATATCGGCCAGGGAGAGAGAACTGAGAGGATCCCGTTAGTTTACAAGTATCTAGGTAGCTAAGGTAAAAACCCCCGTGCGTACCAAGAATAGCACCATGGCCTGTAGGACAACTAGGTCATAGTTTTTTAGAATGCCGATGCGCATCAAAGCCGAGCGACAACCTTTGGAAAAGCGACCATATGCCTCATCCTTGGTGTATCCAAATCGCTCTATGCACTCCTCCTCGGTCAAGGCTACTGCAGCCAACAAGTAGATAGAAAATAAAAGAGCCTCGATGTTTCTGGGTATGTTTGCTCTGCTTGACGCTGCTTCAACGAGCATGGGCTGAACTGAGGGCACGTGTATTACTTTGGTTAAGGGGTTGACTCTTTCGAGGAATATCTGCCACAAGCGAAAGACATGGGCTGGCTGGGGATGTAGTTCTTCCAAGTTGGTAGTGGAGGTGTCAGTTAGTACCAAGCCTGCGTTCAGATCGGAAACTTGAGAATCGGCAGGAGTGCAAGGGTCATCTATCATCTCTTCATCCTCGATGATTTCGCGCATCGCTGCGAGCTAGTGAGGGTGAGGGAGTAGAGTTAAAATCTAGGTCGTCAAGTATATGGGCGTAACGACGAATAGGTAGATAACCATGTGGGAATGAGGAGATGTGATAGGAGGTCAGAAACTCACCTCACCGTGAATAGTGACCCATAAGTAACTATCCAAAAATTTGATATTGCCATCGTCAAGTATCAACTTCCCGGGGGTCCTCCAAGGCTCCTCTTGGCTTGGGGACTCCGAAGACGAAGCGGGTGGTTTCGCCGTAGCATACTCTGATAATAGTTCCTCGCACCGCGCAAGCCTTTGTTGTAAGTCTTGATTGGGCCTTCTCCTCTTACGAGCGGGCGCGGGCGTGCTTGGTGTGCATGTGACGTTGGCCTACGCGTAGTACGTTAGGGGATATTTTGGATATTATGAGAAGAAATGAAAAGAGAAAAGATGATAAAAGAAGAGAAGGGAAGGGAGAGGGAAAGGGGGGGTGAACATAGAAGAGACTCTCACACAAGACTCACCTTGAGACAATTGGAACAAGGTGTTTTGCGATCACATTTGATCTTTCTATTCTGACATAATACCTATATAACAGATAAAAATGAGAACTGAGAGCTTTGCAAAAATATATAGTTGGCAATATAAATTACTCACACAAGCGAGCACCCTGGGTGGCTTTCCCGATGAGCTGGACGACATCATTGGTGCCAACTGGCTGTTACTTTCTTTTTTGGAATTCCGTATCCCGTATCCCGTATCCCGTATCCCGTATCCCGTAGCCCGTAGCCGATATTCTGAGCTGGATATGAAGAATACTAGACTCCCCTCACTGAATCTTTCGGGGTTCGGGGATAACTAGACAAGTAGATTTAGGGGATTCTCTTACGAAAGAATGAAAGAGAGGTGCGATGTATATGATGTGTATGATGTGTGTGATGTATGGGATGTATATCTATATGAATGCCCTTTTTTTTTTTTTTTGTGAACCTAGAAATGTCAATATCTTCTCGTCAAACAGGACCAACTGGATCAACTGGATCAAACTGGATCAAACTGGATCAAGCTGGGCTGGTCTAAGCACGTGCCATAACGAGCGAAACGCTAGGGTAAGACTCGTGTCGGAGGGGTTTGGACTTGATAGTAGCAGTGTAGTAGGTAGGTAAATAGGGACGTAGGTAAGTAGATAAGTAAAGTAGGTACTATGTAGGATGTAGATAGATAGATATTCAAAATGATTTACTCACCGAGTGCCAAATGCCAAATGCCAAATGCCAAATGCCTGCCAAATGCCAAATACCTGATGCTTTTGATTGCAGTCAGTGTGTAAAAAGGTGAGAACTTCAAATGTTTAATGTTGATATGTAGTTACTAAGTTTTACTAACATTGAAATGATTGAACATTGAACATTGAATACATTATCTAGGGTAATTAGTATGTACGTACATCCAGGGATATGGGATATGCACTATGCTATGTATTATGTATAGGTAGGCATCTGAAAGATTCTTATCGATTCTGTCAATATCAATTGATTTTCTAAGCAAATGCGTTAAAATGGCCTGCCGGCTTCCTGGACCTTGTAGCGATTGACTCTTACCATGCCTACTTTGTATAAGGTACCTTAGGTTGGCAGCATTTTAGTCTGACGCATCATTACATATACGCATACATATAGTATACATTACATTCGCGGAATAGTTTGATCCGGCCATGCTACGTGTGTGGAACAACATGTACAACAGTTGTACTAGTCACGTCAACTGACGGCCAACGGCCAACGGCATTTATTAATATAGATTATGTAAGCAATGCTACTTGTTTTTTCAAGCTTTTCTTTTTCACATTTCGTTAACCATCCCAGCCAATCAGCTTCGACTTAATTATGTGAAAAAGAAGATACCATGTAGTTACGTAGTTAGTTAATGATTAAATTGGTAGAATTTTTAAAGAAAGAACGACTAAGAAAAAAAGAGAAAAAAAAGAAAAGAGAAAAAAGAAAAAAAAAGACCGAAACAAAAACTACAGATAATATTCAATGTCTAGCTAACAATATTTGAAGCTCTCTTTTCTTTTTCTTTTTCTTTTTCGTTTTTCCTTTCCCTTTTTTTATACACCGTCGCGTCGCAATAAATATACATACATCTTATACACCTTATATACCTTAGTAAGCTCAAGATACCATGACCCGGATGTCATAGTTGGTTGTCCTCTAAACAAAATGCGCCGTCACATGGTACGTCAAGCTGCCTCGAACAATCTGTATCCAGTCCAATTCTTTAAATTAAATAGTAACTTATATGAAAATTATTGTCAGCAGGCAACATCAACAGTGACGAGAGCTGCCTTCGCTTCTCGTTGTCGTCATGCTGTCTCCCGTCCTATAATATGTCAGTCACTATTGGCACGCTCGTTTACTGCCTCCTATCGACGACATAGCGCATTTCACTCCCAATTGGAAGACCAATCTTCCTCAACCATACTTCCTTCCTTCAAAGCAACCTCTACCACGCCACAGACCTTGACTGAGAAAATCGTCCAGGGATACTCGGTTGGTCTTGCGCCAGGTAAGAAAGTGAAGGCAGGCGACTATGTGACCCTCTCCCCCCATCACTGCATGACGCACGACAATTCCTGGCCTGTTGCCCTGAAATTCATGTCCATTGGCGCCTCCAAGGTTCATAACAACAAGCAAATTGTCATGACCCTAGACCATGACGTACAGAACAAGACCGAGACCAACCTGAAGAAGTACCAGCAGATTGAGAACTTTGCTAAGCAGCATGGCATCGATTTCTACCCTGCTGGAAGGGGAATTGGTCACCAGATTATGGTGGAGGAGGGCTATGCCTGGCCTGGCACCGTGACTGTCGCCTCGGATAGTCATAGTAATATGTACGGGGGCGTAGGATGTTTGGGTACTCCCATAGTCCGGACGGACGCTGCTAGTATATGGGCTACCGGAAAGACGTGGTGGCAGATTCCTCCCATCGCAAAGGTCACCTTTACCGGCCTTCTTCCCCCGGGCGTGACTGGAAAGGATGTCATCGTTGCCCTATGTGGACTTTTCAACAGCGATGACGTTTTGAATCATGCAATCGAATTTACTGGATCAGAAGAGACTATGTCGAGTATTCCTGTAGATCACAGACTTACTATCGCTAATATGACTACCGAGTGGGGTGCTCTGACTGGTCTTTTCCCTATCGACTCTGTTTTAAAAACGTGGCTTCGTGCCAAGGCTACCACATCAGCCATTACCGGTGACGGCGTTGCTCTAAACCAATTCGCTCACACGAGGATCGATGACCTTATCCAAAACCAACTGATGGCTGATCCCGGTGCCACGTACGCCAAGTCGTTGTATTTGAACCTGTCGACTCTGTCGCCCTTTGTTTCGGGGCCTAATTCCGTCAAGGTGGCCACTCCTCTTCGCGACTTGGAGGCAAGGAATATCAAACTCAACAAGGCCTATTTGGTCTCGTGCACCAACTCAAGAGCCTCTGATCTGGCCTCTGCAGCCAGTGTCTTCAAAGAGGCTGCCCTCAATGGCAATGAACCCAAGGTGGCCCCTGGTGTGGACTTTTACATTGCTGCTGCATCTCTCACGGAGCAAAAATTCGCTGAGGAAAACGGTGACTGGCAAGTCCTCCTAGATGCTGGCGCACAGCCTCTACCATCAGGATGTGGGCCTTGTATCGGTCTCGGCACAGGTTTACTAGAGCCGGGTGAGGTGGGAATTAGTGCGAGCAACCGTAACTTCAAGGGACGCATGGGCTCTACCGAAGCCAAGGCTTACCTGGCCAGCCCTGAAGTTGTCGCAGCTAGCGCCCTACAGGGCAAAATCGCTGGACCAGGTTGGTACCAGAAACCTGAAGGCGTCGAGAAAGTCATCATCGGTGAGGGCAATGGCAACATGGAGCAAGATAAAGCGATGAGTATCGAAGACGCACTCGAGAAGCTTATCGCACAGGCGGACAGTATAATATCTGGAGCGGAACAAAACGTGAACGGCAGTGAAATTTCGGACTCGCCTGAAGGTGAGGAGGTACTTACAGACATTCTTCCCGGCTTTCCCGAGAAGGTGGAGGGCGAGATTGTGTTTTGCGACGCTGATAACATAAATACGGATGGCATATACCCAGGAAAGTATACCTATCAAGACAACGTTTCCGTCGAGAAGATGGCCGAGGTCTGCATGGAGAACTACGACAAGAGCTTCCAAGAAATTGCTAAGCCAGGCGATATCCTTGTCTCGGGCTTTAACTTCGGATGTGGTAGCTCGCGAGAACAAGCCGCCACGGCCATTCTCGCCAAGAAAATCCCACTCGTGATTGCAGGAAGCTTCGGAAATATCTTCAGTCGCAACAGCATCAATAATGCATTGATGGGCGTTGAAGTCCCCAAACTGGTACAAAGGCTACGCGAGACATTCAAAGCTGCAGGTGAGGAGGGGAAGATGCTAACCCGGCGTACCGGCTGGAAACTACTCTGGGATGTTAGGAGGAGCAAGGTCGTGATCACCGAAGGCGAAGATGGCCAAACATGGAGCCAAAAGGTCGGCGAGCTGCCGCCTAACGTACAAGAGATTATTGCCCGCGGTGGCCTTGAAAAATGGGTGAAACACCAAATCTCGTCGGCATAGATATTAACGACTGCCTTTATGTACTATAAGCCTGGCATATGAGGTAGGGTAGGTAGGTACATACGTACATGGGGCATGGCAAATTACCTAGTAGTAGGTAAACCAGCCCTAAAGATGAACAAAGAAGAAAAAAAACGTTGTAATATGTACCTATACATATCATTTTCGAAGTTGAATCTAAGGTTACATACCTTGTTAGGTATCTATATAATGACCAAGCCCACACATCATGGCCAAGTCCAGGTGGCTAAAAGAATGTGCCGAGGTACCTACATAACTGGTATATCCATCCAAGGCATATATACCGAGCCACCGGCTGTCCCACCCAAGCCTCGTTAAAATCCCGAGACGCTCACCAGACGCCCTACCTAGTACTTTTATCAGGAGTACCCTTATTTTTCATTACCCCCTACAGCCGTGATTCTATATACCGAGACTTTTTACACAAGCCCAAAGGACCACAGGCACGATGACGTTGTCATTACCTCCAGTCAGTACGGCCTCCGTAAGGCTAGCCGTCGATGCACATATTCCCATTTTCTGAACTGCCAGCCCCCAAGTATCAGAGTTACCGTTCGTTGCAGACCATCCACCTATCTGCAGCCATAAGCGGGCTATGGCGAGACCGAGGAAAACGGCAAAGGCAAAAGCCACGCTACCCTCGAGACTCTTACCGCCGCCCCACAGCCACTTTCTCTGGCCGTAACGTCTTCCGATGAGAGAAGCGGCCGCATCACCTAGTCCCACACACACGACACCAGATACCATGCTTACTTCTCTCGTGGGAACTTCCCAGCCTTCGAGGTAGCCTGACCCAGTGCGCGGCAGGGAACCTAGCGAGAGCCATAAGGGAATAGCGCATCCGATGAGAAGGAAGATATGTGAGATGACAACTGGGCCGCGAAGGTCCCTCCCGTCTACATAAGGGGCGAGGAAAGAAGCTAGTGGTTTCGATAATGGCGGAAGTTGACTGGCTCGGAGGAGGTCTAAAAGGAGGAAAAGGGCGAGGACGATAGAGAGTGCTAAAGCCGCGAAGGTAGGATCTACGTAGGTTGCCGGTAAAAACATGGCGACCATCATAAAGTGGAAGACTTTTCGTCTCGTGTCTACCTCGTAAATAGGCGACAATCGAAAGACAACCATCAGCCCAATCGCGATGACAGTCACAAAATACCCACTTAGGATAAGACGGGTGTTCGCTTGGCCAAGACGTAACTGACGAAAATGATCGACCTTGCCCATCGAACCAGGGGGGAATTGATCAACGGCATCCTGTAGCCTGGGAGGGAGGCATATCCACCGTTCGAGGTTGCGGCTAACCACCTCCCACCTGAACCGCGGTAGATCTCCGAATAGATAACCCAGAGCCCACCCGACCGGTTCATAACCACCAAATGCTTCATCCCCTACAACCTTTTTCACACCAATGAAAGGGAGGGGGATGAAAACGGCCCCGAATATGCATGTATATACATATATTGCGTAACCCCATTTTCGAATTAGAGCCTGTTCCTGGGTGAGTGAGAAAAAGGCCCGGACGGATTGAGAGGCAGTTCGCTTCCTACGGCCAGATGGAGTGTGCGTGTGAGACTTGCGCGGTGCATTATCTATGCTAGGTAACGTGTGTCGACGGAGGGTTATTGATCCAAGCTTCGTGTCCGCCAAGTTGGATGGAGCCTTATATCCTACATGAATAGTACCGGTTGGGTTTCCCTCGGCCTGGAAAGAATCGTTCTCATCTAACATAGTCTTCGCGCGAGGGGGGCCGCTAGGGGCAGATCCCATGATGTCGCTATCTTCAGGATCATCGAAGGCTTCGCACGAACTACAGGACGAGCTATCCACTGACGCATGGAACAGATCGTGTCTTACTCTCCTCCACGGCATCATATTATAAAAGAAGGCGGAAGCAGGCTTGGATGGACCATTTGATCTCTTAAAGCGCCATTTAGGGACGCGAGCCAAAGCAATCCCCCACTTGATAGCCTGACTGCATGAAACAAGGATATCCAAACCCCCGACCCATAGTAGCGACTTGAGAATTATAGTCTGTGGTGAAGAGGAGAGGAGCAGGAGGTTGATGAGCGCAATGGATAAGATTTGCAGTTCAGCTTGGAGGAGACTAGTCGTGGTTAGGGTGTGTAGCACTCCGTAAAGGTTCTGATGTAAGGGGTATAATAAAATCGCGGTTTCGAGTGGAATCGACTCTAAAAGGTAGCTGGTGGTTGCTCTTGTAGTAGTTTGAGCTATGGTGTGTTTCCAATAATCTCCTCTGAGAAGTAAAGGCATACACGAAAGAAGCCAATGCAACACGTCGCAACCTTGATCACTGCCAGAAGTGGTAGGAATTAAACTTGGCGGTAGAGAACAAATGGCAAGTATTATGTTAGGTAGTACTACCCCTTCATTATCGACGGCGAGGAGTAGCGAAGCGCATATACTAATAGATGGGGGATATAAGAGCGGTGCTGGATCGAATGATGGAGGTAGAGATATCGGTATCTTTCTCAGAGGTGTTCGATGCCGGTATGCCCAGATTATAAGCCGTAGAGGATAAAGGAATGCTAGGGATACCACAATTCCTATCCAGACATAGAGCTCTATTATTACATGCTGGTTAGCACTCTTGACCAAACGGTTCGGTCACAAATACGCACCTCGATTCCACCTCCAAATAATTGGCCGAACAGAGCTATTTGAATAAAGCACGCCGCCGAGGAAGCCAATAATAGCCAGCTCGGCAACCCGACGAATAAGCTCCTTCCTTCTCCGCAATCTGTCTGCGGGACTCTGTAGCTTTCTACCTAAATAAGCTTCCCTCCTTAAGCTACCAGATGGCCGTCGACCTTCCTCCTCGAGGAGGGATGGGGAAGGTATTGGGGTGGAAGTGCCGGAGAGTACTTCATTGCGTCCTCGCAATCCTTTGCGCAACCTTCTAGGAGCTGGTAAGCCTTTGAGGAAGTGTTCGTCGTCGGCCTCAGTACCGCTATCGTCAGTCGGGGAAATTTCTCTGGAGGATCTAAAGGGCGCCAAGGATGTGTCTTGGGAATGTTGGGGATGTTGGACTGAAGTATAGGCGACGTGATCGGATGGATCGAGTAACTCGGAGTTTTGGTGATGATAGGGATGTGGGGATCGTGAGAGCAATCTCAAAGCAGTGTGATCAGAGGATTCAAGGTACTCAGGCATCATCAACAGCCGGTGGCCGAAAAGAAAAGGCGCCCGTAGACCTTGAGGGGGCGCGAACGAGCGCGAACTGGACCTCGAGGAAATTCATGCAATCCCTGCTCGGTCTCCTTCCGTCATATTCGGCGGGTCAATTGTAATCTTTTTTTTTTTCGGATGACGGACAGAAATGATGATATGGGTGGTGGTGGTTGCGGCGGCGTCGGCGGCGGGCAATCGTGGGGGTCTACAATAGGTCCAGTACTGTGCGTATGTGTAAATACGTTAGACTTGAATGTAATTGAGCTTTTTTGATGTTAAGGTACGGTTACATGTGTAATGTGTACTAGGTAATGTGTAATGCGTAATGTGTAAGTTAATGCGTAATGTGCAGTATGCAATGTGTAATATGCACAAGTATCGTATGTATAATGTGACAGAGTAACATGTAGCACGGAAGAATTCCGCTGGCAGGGGTAGTCTCTCTTATGATCTTATCAATGTTGATTTTCATGTCTTTTTTCATTTTATTTTTAGGTTTTGGGCTTGGTGCTGTAAGCAAGGTATTAGGTATACATATGTGCCTGTAGTAGTATGAAACTTTACTAGGTATGTAAGGTTTATAACTGTAGATAATGCTAATGTCAACGGTATATGTATATTAACTATGTATATTAGATTTACATATACGTACATATTTAAACTGACTTTAATGTTAATAGATACCGTTGACATCGATATGCAAATGCTCTCAGGAAGAAAAGTCAAACCTTAAAACTATTGCTATTAATTATTGCTAAGTTGGTACATACCTACTATGTAATGCGATGCCGAGCATTCAGCCCTATAGCCACAGTGACATCGTGCTAGTGTCTCGAGAGCAAAGGGACATCTGGAACAAACTGTCAAGAAAGCTTGTGACAACTACACGCTTTGTTTAAAGGTATCTACATACATAGGCATGTCTGGTATGCATATGTACAACCTTATTATATTTATAGCAAGCCAACCTCTAAGACGAAATAGTTATGTACCATAGTATGAAACGAAATATCAGCTTCAAATGTTCCTTGTGATGTTCTTTGTGATGATACGCGGCTTCGGTGACTAACATGAAAGATAATCCATATGCTTACCTACAAAAGTCTTGTGTGAAACGACTACCTGTCTGCCTACATGTAGATACATACACCGCGATACACGTACATTATGTAGACAATACATGAGATAGTGCCTCGGCCCTCAACTAGATCTAGTTACACAGTATTATTTCAAAGCTGCTTGGATCCCCCTGGTTTCAAAGGAGGCTGTGGCCGACCCAATTAGCCCAGTCAAAGCTGAATAACCTACCTAGTACCTACCTAACACCTACGTACATAGTTCTCACTAGGCAGTGGCACTGTGGCATATCTACATAAGTACTTACACTACAGTATTGGCATACATACATAGGAGTGGAGCTGATGAAACTGCGGACACCTCGTATTCCCAACAAGAGGCAACAAGAGGCAATAAGAGGAGACGTCATTATGACCGCAGTACGGATTATATGTACATATGTACATGTATGTAGCAAATGCCAAACATTGAATGCTCCATCAATGGTGATACGACTTATATACGGGACAGATGAGTGGACACGACAGCTTTTGTGTACATTTATCAATCCTTTGACGACGCAGTGTCGGAGGAGACTGGTCTTGAAATAGTTATTTATCTATGTACGAATTTACGTACTGCATACATATAGTTAGGTATAATTAGTTAAGTACACATGTACATCTGATGTGCCCCATCACATACATATGTACTGTAGATTTAGTGTAGAACATCTGGAGTAAGAGCGATGGAGCATCATTGGGGGCTCCATCAAAACTAAGCCCACAAGCCCATCAGCCACGACATCTTATGTTGTCACTAGTTATCTAACTAGTTATCTCCATTAAAATACTAAAATAAGAGAAATAAATCCATTTTTTTTTTCTTCTTTTGCAGTATCATTCCAAGTTTCCACAACATCCGACAAATTGGTACGAACGAAGCCAGGCTACCAGCTATCTAAGCTATCCAGGTTCAAACTGTGCGTGGTATGCCACATTCATTGTTGTATACACTACATACATTGTAGTATGTTGTATGTACGTACGTACAATGTATGTATGCATGTATGTACCTCGATATCCTGAACCTGAACTTTGCATACTGTCTCGTCTTTCGGTCTTTGGTTCTTTCTAGATTGCTTGTCGGAATCTCGTCAACCTTAGTTATTAGCCCACTTCCCCGGCCCAGTCCAACTTTCGTTTCGTTCGTGCTACTACAACACGGACTCCCCTCCCAGTGATCGTGCAGTAAAAACTCGTTGCGGATCTATCTACCTACAGATGTACGAAGTACGGTACTGGAGCCATCATTCGTAAATCTTGCCGCCCACTCCTAAGCATCTTCTGCAGTAGCTTGCGTTAGCTCTCTCGCTCCTCAACTTGACCCATTGGGCTCGCCTCATAAACGCCAGTGTCAGCCAAAAACATTCATTCTTTTCCCCTTCAACATGCTACCGACTTATTCCCAAGACCATCTTCTGGATGAAAAGGCGGCTCTTACATCTACCCAAGCCCTCCCTCCTCAACATCGTGTGCCAAAAAGAATGCCTTCCACTCGACGCTTTTTCATCACTCTGCTGTTCGGGCTGCTCGTCACCGCCGGCTTAGCAAATGCCTTCCTCAAGCAAGAGCCTATTGGCGAAGACGCGGCTGAAAGTGAGGATGATCATGTCGTACACCGTGATGACTCGACTTTCTCTCGGCTGCTAAGTTCGGCTTCTCCCCAGGCTCTACACTCCTTCTTACACACGTACTTTCCCTCTACTTATCAACATGGCGTTTACGACTCGGATCACGCAGCCATGGAGGCTGTCCACGCGAATGATCCAGAGTTGGCAACTTCCATCGTTCAGATGGCGAAAAGGCAGTCTGGCAACGAGACCACTGCGTCTACGATAGTTTCTTCTACTACTACAGACTCTGGTGGCTTGACTATTTCGAGTACTACAAGTGAAACTAGCACAACGGAGGAAACGACACCCCCTGCCTCAACTTCGTCCACAGAGACGACGACTACGCAGGCAGAGACTTCCACGGCTACCACCACTAGCACGACACAACAGTCCAGCTCGGATACAATGACATCAACTTCGGAATCCAGCGAAGTCATTAGCACACCTGGTAAGTCCACCAGTTCTTCCTCTTAGCATCCATGTTCTTCTATCTCTTAACTGCATCATCGCCATCGTGTTCTGTTCCTCCGCCTTTGCTACATATCATTCTCCTTCCCGAGGGCACTACTACCGTCAAATTATTGAATTGCCCTTGCCCTTAGTTCACCGAAGTGTGTTTGCCTCACTGTTGGCATGATTAGGTACACTACCCTGAGATGCATTATACTGACTAGTTAAAAGCTTCAACTTTGTCAACCACAACTACTTCTGGCCCTACTACTACAAGGCCACCTAGAACCTCTACATTCACATCGACGCTTCCCGGGGGCGCTCAGGTATGTCGCAAAACTAATTTCCTTTTCCCTCCCTTCAGATGCCTTCCGCCCCAGTTCCGCGTCATCCCAACAACGTTGGATACTCGGGCCTTTGAGACCGAATTCGCTTAAGCATTGATCACGAAAGGCAGCAAACCATATAATAGAATGAACTTACTGACACAAGTGGAATAGACTACGATCACGTCAGTTGAGGTGGTCACTCCCGGGGCGCCCGAAGAAGCGAGCTCAACAGCCGAATCATCAGGAAGCCTTCAGTCTGGCTTGGCCATGCCTATTGCCAGGAAACCGGTGATGAAGGTAGTCATCGGCGCCGTTGTTGGCGGAGCACTCTTTGTATAAGAGACTTCTATAAATGATATTTTTTTAATGTCATCACCGTCAGGGATTGGGCGTTTGTAGCATCCGGCAAAGTAAACGTACTTGATAAGTCGGGGTCGGGATTGCATACACGGTATTCTTTTTAGCGACATTTACATTCCTTTGGACACGTATGGGAATTCGGGATAGAGAAAGGCTTGGCTCATAATTGGCAAAGCTTTACAGCTACTTAGATACGGATCTTACGAGATTATCTTGCAATTTGGTTTTGGGATCGTCTTAATAATCTAGGAAATCATAAAAAGGAGTGCACATGGATAACATGTACTTGTTTCATAGCAAATAATAGTACACATACAGAAGCATCGTCGACTACTTAATTTTATGATGTATGGGTATACTGATACTTGAGTGCGAGTCGATGATGGAGCGGTCATGGCCAATGAATATGCCCAGTGCCTTGTAGCATGTATCGAATGATGACGATGGTGGCCAAGTGTGTACGTGAACTATCCGGGGCCAATCTTAGGCATGTCGTGGTGCTCGCTCAGCTTGGATAAATAGGTGTTGAGGCCTTCAACTCTCTCCTTGTGGGTTTTACGAAATTCCGAGGCCAACCTGGGATCCTCGAGCATTTTCATCATCTGAGTAGCAACCCGAAATTAGCGGAAGTTCGGTGCGTTTGTTGAGCTTTGGAGTATGAGCAGAAACGGCAATGTACCTTCTTTCTATTCGCTTCTTCGTGACGCCTCTCAGCCTCAGTCTTGTGCTCGACTAGACCCTCGACACTGTGGTCGGTCTTATTCTTGCTATCATCTCGTTGTGTTTGCTCGACTTCCTTGATAGCGGTGTTGTCTTCGGTAGAGAGGGAGCGTTCAATAGTTAATTCCTTGCTCTTCTTTTTCTTTTTCTTATCCTTCTTATTCTTCTGCACCTTTCCGCCCTTCAGTTTGAGAGCACCACCTCCGGCCACGGACGCGTACTCGTCTGTTGGCATACTGTGTCGTGCACGCGCATGCTCATGAAGGCATGTAGTGACTACGAGTGATTTGACAATGAAGAGAAGAAGTTGGGAGATTTAAAGGTTCAAGTGACACTAGCAGACTAGTACGGCGCGCACACGCACACGCACACACTAAGCTGATAAGGTTGGTGATAAGGTTGGTCCCACATACCTACACTGCATCCCTATGATAGTTACATATGTATAGTTATGGGCATATATGGTCTATAATAATGATAACCTAGTATCTGCATAACAGTAACAGCGTTACATAAGTTACATACATAGTGCTACTTACCTAAGTTAGGTAGTTATGTAATTATTAATATGTCATAGTAAGAAAAGAGGTGTACTAAAAAAAAAACTTCACGCTAATTAACTAACCTTAATGTTGGTAGGGTAGGCAGTAGCCCCACTAGAGCAAGCTCCCAAAATGAATAAATAAACGACATGCGCAACACAAATTTTCTTCCTTTCTTCTTCTTTTCTCCTCAGATCAAAAAGTATTCACAGAGTAGCCACGACCGTCATCTCGATATCATCTCGATATTATCACAGTGACGTGTTGCCATTCTCATCTGAGAATCACTCTGGAGATTAAATTCCTTATTAGGAAGTCTCCCGGACGTCTTTGGACCATGTGCGGGAGATGTCGAAAAACGAGGGTACATACCTATGAATTCATGAAATGTTGAAATGCGTAAGCCACGAGGTCACCGAACCTCTATTGTCTCATTAAAATGCATTTGTTTGTTGTTTATATATTTATGAGCAACTATGTGTAGGTGGTTCTGCTAAGCATTATGTACGAAGTAGTGTCAAGACTCAAAGACGAATGCTATGTTATGTTGCAGAACACCAGTGGACTGCTTCGCGTTTAAAATCGTCGATGCAGATCAATATGGCAGGTTTCAGTTGCGTGTCTCAAATAAAATGGGAGCGCGTCGAGACTCATTCCCATCTCGCTACTCAGCTCAGCATCTCCTCAGTCGAGCCTCATTGTCCATGAGGAATGATTCGCAATTACAGGCCATTCTTTGGATGTGTAGATCATCTTGTGCTGTTTGTGATTTCTAGTCTATCAGAGAAACAGTAACTCTTGACGCGATCACAACCATGATGGTTATTCTCGGTCTCGATTATAAAAATGCCATGGACTCTTGGGTATTTTCAGTTCTTGTGTAGAAGCATCATCAGTCATTCTTTCAGCCCACACTCTTTACAGCCATAGTCACTCGTTTCTAGCTACCTTCAGCTACCACATTCATTTGATCCATCCCGCGCAGTCACTCGTTTACAGTACAACACAGCCCGTACACTTATACCGATCATAGATCGATATAGCCATTACATTCATTAGAGAAAGAATCACGAAAGCAAGCCATCAAAATGCCTTACTATAACGTATCATCGTCGGCACTTTTCCCCTCGTACCACACAGCTTCGTCCTTTCACACATCCATCTCATCGGCTCACCACACGTCGACCTACCACACGTTGACCCCGTCGCATCACATGACAACCCCGTTATACCACACTTCGGCTCCAGTGACCCACCCCACCTATCACCACTCAGACCCGGTGAAGCCAACGGCTATGTCGGCGGTCACGGAGACACTGTATACTACTATATATGAGACAGTGCTCCCGGCTGCTTGTGAGACTAGCTCATGGATGGCCACTTACACGATTACTGAGACAGTTACTGGTAAGAAGGAAGAGTACAAGACTCACGACAAGCCCCCGGGATTTGTCGTCACCACTGTGTCTTGCCCTGCTTGCAAGCCTACGGAGATTGAAATCACTTGCCCCGGCGCTCAGCCCACTGCTTCTGGGGAGCCAAAGCCTACGGTGCACATCACCGGCAACGGTGTCACTGCTACGATCACTGCATACCCGACTAACCCTCCAATGACCAAGAGCAAGAGCATCGAAATGGAAACCAAAACCAAGGAGATGGAGGGCAAGCCTAAAGATGCGGAGGGTAAGACTAAGGAAGTTGAGAGCAAGCCCAAAGAATCACAGACCAAGGCCACGGAAATGGAAAGCAAGACTATGGAAAAGGAGACCAAGACCAAGACCAAGGAAACCGAAGTCATCCACTACAGTACACCCACAGCCACTATGGTGAACAGCAACTACCCAACCAGTACTCCGTCTTCGCAGCCCAGCCCATGCTCTGGTTCGGGTTCTTGCCCTGGCTCAAGCGCCGGGCTTCGCCCAATTCCCAGTGTCGTGCCCAGCAGTGGTCCAGGATGCTCCGGCTCAGCATGTGCTAGGCCTAGCTCTAACGGCACCACCGGCACCACCGGCACAACCAGCACTCCGTCGCAGATTGTCACAGCTGGGGCGCCGTCACTCAAGAATGCCTTTGCCGTTTTCTCAGGCCTGGCTTTCGTCGCTGGACACTTCTTCCTTCTGTAAACATGGGGGGGGGGGGGGGGTTAGTAAATCGACCCGGGCATTTCTTTTTGAGTGGAACCTGAACTTTTTTTTTTCTTGGGGACGATGCCTCATACTTCCTGGATATGGTTTCTTTTTCATGGTGGCTTGTGCGTTTTCTTTCTCTACGAATCTTTGGTTATATAGTTCTAAATGGCGGGAAGTTTGGAGTACACATGTGGATTTAGGTTGTATACGCGGTGTTTTAATTGATTTATGATAATCCTACTCTACATGATTATATCTGCCTCGTTCTTTGAGTATCGTAGATGTGAGATTATCATGTGTCGATATTGAGCCTTTGCCTTTACCTATGTATATGACATGATGTTATATAGATTTTCAGTAGTTCCTCTGTCACTTAATACGACTAGATTGTATTCTTGATACCATCTCTGCCTAACCAGACATATGTATCAACAGTATTACATATGTACTGGGTATTATACTTGCGTTGTATTTTGTAGTACATATGTTATTTTGTAGTACATATGTACATACATATATCAATGATGGACCTTAGGTATGTCACTGGTATGCATGTATGCACCTTCTGCTTTTGGTGAGCGACTTACTATGCACCCCTGTTCCTACTTCCCAGCTGTAACTTGAATGTAGTACCTACTGCTACTACATTAATATTGATGTATTGTACTATGTAGTCGGTAGGTACCTGATAAGAGGCCGTATACCGTATCAGCAGGATATACGTGTAATCACACAGGTGCTTCTTCTACAACGCCCATCACGTCAGATGCTCTTGTTTATGCCTACATACATCAATACATATAGGTTGTACTTACATATATGTATCGGCCATCCTACTCCCATTTAAAAACCCAACCCTCCCCCCCCCCCCCCCAAAAAAAAAAGAAAAAAAGAAAAAACACCTCTTAAGCTTATTCAAGGATGCTTTCTTGTTGAAGAAAAAGAAAGGGAGTCATAATCTATCGTCGTCAAAATTTGGTCTTATATTGGCTTTTTAGAAAAACTCACAAGAAGATGAAATTCCTAATCTCGGCCTCTCTGTTCCTGGTTCGCAGTGCATTTGCCTGCTCTAGTTGCTATGGCCCAACAAACCAAATTGAACATGTTCGACACGTGAAGCGCATGCAACCAGGTGCGGCTAATGCTACCTACGGACCTACTAGAAGCTTGGAAGTCAGTATACCTCCCTACTCAGTAGCCATAGTCATAGTCATAGCCGTTGTCGTTGCCAAAGATAACAAATATACTGACTTGATGTTGCTGCAGTGGGGCCAATTGAACTTCTTGCACACCGTGGGTGAGATTCAGCATAGTTACCCGTATACCTAATACCTACTCTACAGTCTCTACTGCCTAATGTCCATTAGGTACCACAGGTATAGGGAATCGAGTAGCCCAGCTTGCTAACCATCATGGGATGCTAAGACCGATACTCACGGATGGTTGGAAGGCCATCTAAAGGAAGGCAGCTATGGGGCTGACTGGGGCGACTTCGTCAGTTTCTCGGCTCATTTCAAGCGTCAGGCTAGTAAAATGGATGTGGATCTTCTCCTGGTAGATACTGGTTCGTCAACCTGATGTTATATCCCTTTAGAGTGCGTCAAACTCACGAAGTCTCCCTTTAGGCGACCTGCACGACGGGGCCGGCCTGAGCGATGCTACCACCCCGGATGGCGAGGTCTCAATCAAAGTCTTCGACAGGGTGGAGTATGATATACTAGCTATTGGGAATCACGAATTGTACCTTGCCGATGTTGCTTATCAAGCTTTGAACGAAATCTCAACCTACTGGGGTGACAAATATCTAACTTCAAATGTTCAGATACTTGACCGAGACACGGGAGAATGGCAATATATTGGCAAGACACACCGATACTTTATAACCCCCCATGGCCTTCGGATCATGGCTTTTGGCGTGTTGTTTGACTTTACTGGTGAGCTGCCCGCCTGCCCGCCTGCCCGCCTGCCCGCCCGCCTGCCTGTCTGCTAGTAGATAGACAGGTGTAGAGTAGATGAGGGGAGAACACTTTACAGGCTACAGGGAGGGCATTAACCTTTTTCTAGGCAACACAAACGTTACCAAAGTCATACCAACGAAGACTATGGTTACCCAACAATGGTTCCTAGATGTTCTTCATTCCACAGAGCCCGTAGATATTTTCATCGTCATTGGTCATAACCCGGCACGCCCAAGTGACACTCAGAGCACTTTTTCACTTGTGTTTGACGCGATTCGTGCCGTTCATCCAGATTCTCCTATTCAATTTCTGGGTTCGTATCCGTCTTGCCAGCCAAGGAACCATCAGATTTATACTGACAAGATACCTTAGGTGGCCACTCACATATTCGAGACTTTGCAGTATTCGATTCTAGCAGTACGTCGCTAGAGTCAGGTAAGTCAAGGGTAAAGTCTAGGGCGACTGCCCGATGCGCCTAGGCTCTGACATAGTGACAGGTCGTTACTGTGAAACTTTGGGTTGGCTATCTATGTCTGGGTTCGATAGCCAAAGCAGCGGGTTTACTGGTGCTATTCCTGGCCCGGCTGGCGTTCCTAACCCGACTCGTAAAGCGACGCCAAACTCAACTTTCCCGTGGGTGTATTCTCGGCGCTATCTCGACTGGAATCGGCGGACTTTTGAGTTCCATGCCGCCACCAGAAGCGATCGCAGCTTTGACTACCATGATGGTCTAAACACAACGGCCCTGATCACGCAGTATAGGGAGCAGCTTAATCTCGGCGAAGTATACGGATGTGTCCCGCAGGTCAGCAACCAGGGAAAGCAAAGAGCGATTTGCGCTCATCTACTTAGTGGATATTGGCTAATTTGATCATACCGACGTAGGATTATTGTCTAAGCTGCGCGCCATTCAACAGCAGCGGGAGCATCTTCCCTCTACTATCAGACGCGTTATCTGTGGCTGTCGTGAACGATTCCCGTAGGGATATCCCGCGCTACATTATCGCCAATACAGGAAGCGTCCGATTTGACATGTATAAGGGACCTTTTACGTACGACGATCAGTTTATCGTCTCGCCATTTCGGGATATTTTTCTGTATATCTCGGGTGTACCTTTTGACACGGCCAGCAGTTTGCTAACACTGCTCAACGACGCGGGTGCCAGCCAGAAGCGCAGTGTGGGGACTATACCTGTCGAGCGTGATATTTGTGTTGATCCACCGCTTGTACACTTCTCTGAAGTCAGACGTGGAGAGAACGAGGATACCTCTGGCATTATCAGACGGCAGGTGGCCGACCTAGTCCCCGGCTATACTACCAAGGACGACTTTGGTACCGACGGCGACGACACTGCACATTCTGGGCTCTCGCATTATGATATTCCTGATTTCTTTCAGGGTCAAGCTGGGTTCGAACAGGGCAATCAGCCAGACGTGGTCGACGTTGTATTTGTTGACTTGTGAGTTACTTACCGTGCCTACGTAAGTAGGAATTGTAGCAACATTTCTAATTTGGCGTGGTCGGTAGCATTGAAAATGACCTCCTGGCTATTCTTGGGCCCAACTACAGCTCTAGCGATGTGTCTTATTACATTGATGCCAACTTCACAACTCGAGATTATTTGCCGATATATATCAGAGATTCCGAGATATTTCAGACTGGGTTATCGAACTGCACATCCGGGTAGTTGCACAGGCCGTAGCGGGTATTTGTAGAGATTTGGATTATGTGTATGTAACATTGAATGTATGTAATATTCAATCGTTGATGTTGTGACTTGAAGAAGATTATTTTACATAGTACCTAGTCTATGTACCTACTAGTAGCCTGGTAGTACTGTAGACTGTAGTACTAGTAGTAGCCTAGGTTACTAGGTAGTAGTACATGTAGGTAGCCTCTAGGTAGTAGGCAGTACATTACTAGGTTAGGTATGTAAACTTGAAACTACTAGGTGCCTACATATGTACACAAGGTTCGCAGCTATTAGGTAGTATAGGTACTGTAGTAGTACTTATTAGGTATGTCATTGAATGGATCAATCACCACCACATGGCACATACATCTTTTCTCCAATGCATTTTCCTACCAATACCTAGATATAGTAGAGGCATTTACATTTATAAAATGCCTCCATAAGCATGCAAGTATACACATTTTGTTTTATTTCTTTCGTCTTAGTTATCATTCATAATTATACCAACTAGATTAGATATACACTTTACAAACACACCCATACACACATGATATACGAACAAGCATGGCCCCGATACCTATAACCATCATAACCGGCTTCTTGGGCTCGGGAAAGACGACTCTCCTGCTTAGTCTCCTCCCTCAACTCCGGGCTGCTAATCCCTCTTATCGTCTTGCCCTGCTCAAGAATGAGTTTGGAGATGTGGCCATCGACTCGCAGCTTGCCTCCTCGAGCGCCGTCTCTGGCGTCCAGGAGCTCCTCAATGGTTGTATATGCTGCAATCTAGTCGGCCAGCTGAGTACTGCTCTTGCCGAGTTGCGCTCCAACATCAGCCCCGACCGCATCGTGATCGAAACCTCTGGCTCTGCTTTCCCGGCCACCTTGGCCATCGAGGTGAACCGACTGGCCCGCGAGACCGGCCACTACACCCTCGACGGTGTCGTTAGTGTCATCGATGTCGAGAATTGGCGCGGCTACGAGGACACGAGCTATACTGCTCGCATACAGGCCCGCTATACCGACCTAATCGTATTCAACAAGTGGGAGAATTGCGAAGAGCGTAGGTTCGACGACTGTCTCGATCGCGTCGGCGATCTCGAGACTGACATAGCCTGGGTCAAGAGCGACAGAGGACGGGTACCTGTCCATGTCATCTTTGGCATCGACGGTGGCTTGGCAGCAGCTTTGACCGAAGACCCATTGCCCGCGAATAACCACAACCATGGCCACGACCCCGGTCACGGTCATGGTCACCAAACTGAAGTAGAGGTCCTCTCCGTCACCCTCACCGGAGGACCGAGCGCTGCCGTTAATACGACAAAGCTGATGGCCCTTTTAACATCAGCACCCAAGGACGAGGTATATCGGATTAAATCGGTCTTGACAGCGTCGTCGATGGTACGGAGTTCCGACATCCGACAAGAAGACGCCGCCGTACCTCCCGCAGCGCCGACCGACCACCCAGGCCGATACATCCTGAACTGGGCATTTGGTAGATGGATTTTCACCAGCCTCGACACCAAGGCGACTGAGCATGATTCGAGTTACCAAAACGTGCTTCGTATGACCATTATCCTAGCAAGGTACGAGAGCGCCAAGTGGAAAAGGAAGTTGGAAATGGGCGGCTTTTTCGAGTTAGAAGGCACGGAGAAAGGCGAGCTAGTTGTCACCAAGGTTACTTGAAGAGTCCAATCGCCTGTCTTCCCTTTTTTGGGAGACACCCTACCTAGTAATGCTTCTAGGTACTTAGTAGATAGATACCTACCCAAGCACAACTCGTACACAGCAAACAAACAATTCGTATTACTAACCCCAGTAAATAAACAACACCCCCTTCCGAACTACGACAGCTATCTATAGGTAGGCATCGTTATGTCCCCGTGACTAACTTACTTGGAAACATACACACTTCCTCTCCTCTAAAAGTCTTGTGTATCTTCATTATCATCGTCGTCGTCATTCACCACCACCATCTCGCCATATAAAATATAGGTCCGGTGTGCGTACAGTATGGGCCACCTTGACTCTTCAACGCCATAAATCTCGATCTCCCTTCTTAGCTCCGTAGCTACTGTTAGGCCGGGGCCATAGATCCTCCTTGGCATCGCTCTTGCTAACGGTACTTCTGCTACGGCCATGTCCGCTCGTGTCGTTCCCGCCCGGGACAGCTAAAAAGCCACCACCACTGGCCCCTTGCATTATGACACTCTTTCTAGCTCCTCCGCTACCTGCCTGCCACCCGGAACCAATGTCCGCGAGGCCGTAGCTGCTCAGAGGGCGGCCACCGGACACACTGCCGCGGTGACCTCTGCTTCCCCTCCCGTTGCCCGCGCCGCCGTAGGCGTCGAAGGGGTCCACTGTGGAAACGATGGTTAGCACATCACACGTCTCGTGTGAATACTGGACGTTCAGGGCTGCGCGAGAACAATTAAATCGGTTATGCTTACTCCTAATGATACCCCAGTCAAGGTCATCCTCCCCCTTCGTAAAAACCTCGAGCGTCTGATTGAGGGACAACCCGCCTAGCCCGCCCGACGGGTTGAATGCCGCAGCGAAAGGGTTATTAGAGCTGAAACGAGGGTGGGCATTGGCGAAGCCACTGGCACCGGAGGGTGGTAGATTGCTGCCTCCTAGATTAAACATGCCAACACTACTGGAGCTGCTAGGTCGTTGCTGGCCTCCCGCAAAGCCAGGCATAGGTGGTGGGAGTCCGAGGAGCATGTCCGGGAAGTTCTGATCGCGAACATACACGGCGGATAGACACGGTAGACCGCCGGCAAAGAGAGAAGAAGCCAAGTAGTTATAATACCCCCCCGTGATGCTCGCATAAGGAGAGGTAGCGGGCGAGGCCGTAATCTCGAACCGTAGAGTCTGAAGAGACCAATTTGTCAAGGGTGGTATATGTACGGAGTGGGAAGGAAACGCCGTGTCTACCTGCTCGCTGATGGACAGAGTGGTAAGTTTTGGCGCATGCGCCAACACATCGTATAGAGTGGAGGGCAGGACGCCGGTGTTGGATAGAGACAGGACTTTGAGTTGTCCTTGCGTCTCTTCTCTAGACAAATATGCCACCAGACCGTCCGAGGTAACTCTCGGGGTATTTATTAGTATTACTTCTTCTAGAGCTGGGAACGCTGGCAGCATGTCGTTGTACTTGAACACGTCATCGTCCATGATTCTGCAGTCCGATAATTTCAGAGCTCGTAGGCGTGGAAGCATCGCTAACACGTGTCGTAACGCGGTCGGATCCATGTGGATTCTCGTTAGCTCCAATACTTCGAGGTTAGGCCATATATTACCCCTGCCTATGGCCTCCAAGCTGCGCTCGCTGCCGCCGACGTATGTCATCTTCTTTAGGTTGGGACAGCGGGCTTGTACCTCGAGTTTGAGTGTATGATAGGCCGGATCGTCGCTAAACAAGCCCTCAGGCAAGTCGACGTAGCGGAGGTTAGGCAAGACGGCAATGGTCCTCGCGAGGGCTGAGGTATTAGATTCTCGTAGCATGTAGGGAGTCTTGAAGTATTGAACGAGGGTACCGAGACGCGTAGGATCTTCGCGCAATGACCGGCATAGGAGCTGTAGGCGAGCACTGGCCGTGTCTTCAGGAAGGCCATTGCGATCGAAGCGACTCCTTCGTTTTCGCATCTCGGAGAGATCTATCTCGCGCTCGCAGTAGTGCACAGAATCAATGCGGATACTATGGTACATCAACTTGACGGCCATCTTCCTCCAGACCTTACAGACCTGACCGGCATGGGAGAGGTCACGTAGATCGCAGAGCATGCAAGCATCCTCCAGAGCGCTCTGCTCGCATGTCTCGTAGGATTCATCGCAGCAGTGGGGACATATAAAGGAGAACACCCTTTCTAGTATGAGAGGCGGAAGCTCTAGCCAGGGCGCGAATATGCTGCTCCTGTCGGTCGCGTACTGATGGTGATCGCTCTGGTGCGGATTATAGAGACGGTACTTGTCTCGCTCCGAATCATCCTGGGTAGACTTCTTGGGAAACTTGGACTGGGATGTCTTCTTGCTGCGCCTGAAGAACTTCATGGCAGCAAACTTCATGATGACAGGCGGGCTTTAGCTAAATCCTACCTAGCAGGTAGTAGGATTAGTCAGTACTCGTCTACTATGTATATCCTATATATCGCATGCTGGGGTATGAATACCCCGAGCTGCAAGGGTTCATGTAAGATATAAGTGAATTAGGAAAAGGAGGATGGGGAAAGAAGAAGATGAGCGTTCGGATTACAATAATGAATATGTTTCGCGAGGCTTTCGGCTTTGTTCAAATTACTTTTTTAGTAATGAAATAAAAACAAATGGGCGGCTAATAAAGGGCGGGGAAATTCAATGTTCTAAAAATACATTCAGGGATACATTATTGGATGTATTGTACGTACTATTAGGTAGTACCTACATAATACTAGGTACTCCACAATGAGTCTACATACTACCTAGTAGGTACATACCATATGTAGGTATGGCAGTACTGAGTAATAGTATGCATTCAAAAATATTATGTAACCTGGTAAGTAACCTGGAATTATTACATCAACGTTTGACTACACACATACCGTGGCCCTAGGTAATCAATGTACTTACTACAATCATGTATGTACTATGTATCTACATAGTAGTATGTAGTAAAATGCTTCAATGCTTCATTGCTCCCTCTTTTTCTTTTCCTTTTTTCTCAACTCAACTTACATACCTAGAAAAAAAGGATATAAGAATATGGTACAAACTGCCACAAACTGCCTGTCAATGCGTTGCTATGCAATCAACATAAAGCAAATTCCCTATTGGCTGCGTATTCCAATACCAAATCCACCTCCAACCAACGGGGATATATGTATATGCATAACCACCAGCTCACCCGTCACGTCAACCTATCCGTCATCACATCGTGCCTCTGCCTACTGGCCGCCATTCATTTGGACCCCATCAAGAGGAGACGCCGGCCCTGAGAAGTTCGTCTTTTTTGTTCGCAATGTCAACGGGAACGGATACTCATCAGGATCTTCCTCCTCACTGTGTTCTTAATGTTAGCCGTTATTGCTAATTGCGTGTTGTCAAGTTACTCACGGCAGCTTCCATGCCACATAGTCTTCCGTGCTCAAGCCCTCCCTCCCCTCTTGTAGGCTTGCAAAATCTCCAGGGGTCATCATGCCTGCGCGGTCGCGAGGGGACCCCGGAACAGAGAACGGTCGCGAAATCTTCTGCTCGACTCCTGGGATAAAATCATCTTCCTCGTCACCCGAGAATGAGCCCGGATACGCTCGTCGTAGAGCCAATTGTCGAGCCTTGACGTATTCCATACCCATTCTCTTCCAGTCCAAAAGATCGCTAAGTCTCTCGGTTCGGTTTCGCTGGTTTATTCGCTGGCGTCGGCTCTTTTGGCAGAAGTCAAACATGTGAGACGTGAGCTGATTGACCGAGTCATCGACGCCTTTATTACGCCGGTCCACAATGTAGATACCGTAGTCAGCAGAGTTCTCGATTAGCTCTTCCATATAGCAGCCGAATCCTGATAGATTAGTAGTGATACTCGGGACACCCATAACTGTACATTCGGCAGGGGTATAACCCCATGGTTCGTAGTATGAGGCGAAAACGCCTAGATTTGTGCCACGCACAAAGTCATCATAGTCCAAGGGGAGAATAGGGTTCGACGAGTTTAGGAATTCCGGATGGAAAATAACCTTGACGCGATCCGTAGGATGGTTAAAAAGGTGCACCCGCCGTATCTGGTTCAGAATGGGATCATCTTGGTCATTCATCATATTGTGTGTGACAATAGGAGGCAATCCGTGTCTTTTCATGGCAAAGAGACGGCGACGCAGAACCACCCTGTCGGCGCTGGTGATCAGCTCCTTTTGATCAGGCATCGGATCCCCATCGTGCCACTTCAAGGAGCGCTCGAAAATGCGGCGACCAATGCCTCGTTCGATGACATCAACAGTATCGCGGAGGGACTTGATGACAGCCTGGCCTTTCAAGGCCTCCACCGTTAATGAGGTGGTTTGCGCTGGCATGATGACAAATGCCACTACAGTGGTCTTGCTTCCGACAGCTTTTAGTCTATGGTTGAGTCGAGCAAGAGACTCGATAAACATGTCCACACCCTTATTACGAAACTCGTACCGCCCGGCAGTAAAGAAGTAGAGAGTATCCTCAGGCACGAAATCGTAGTGCCCGTAGAAGTGACCCCGAACAAAGTCATGAATCTTCTCCTTCGACTGCTGGTGCAAATTCTGGAACTCATGCATCGCAGAGAATTTGGTAACATTGAGTCCATTTGGTAGCACGCCATCGGGCTTGCGTTTCAACAAATGCTCACTCTCATAGGCGGTAATATGCGAAACGGTGGTGAAAACGTCACATGAGTGAGCGGCAGCGCGCTCTATGCAATACCGGTGATAAATGCCACGCTTCCCTGCTTCCGCATCGACATCGAACCATTGTAGATTGTTGTAAAAATCAACGGAACCAGCACAGAGGTAGCGGCCCAAAAGAGTTGCGTGCGTGGTAAAGACAGTGGTCACATCCAGGCGACGCTTCCTAGTGAGCGGGAGAGCAACGCCGGCAAGCCACTCGTGGAAATGAGCAATGACAGCCTTTGTCTTTTCGTGTGAAACAAACTATGAAAAGACAAGTCAAGTCAGTTGCTATAGCCTAAAACAAACTCCACAGGAGTTCGGACATACCTCTCCGAGGAACCAAGCAACCAAGTATCCAAATACGATAGCCTCGTTTGTCTCCTCGTCGCCGGGGGGGGCCGGGATACTGGCTACGTTCCACAAATCGGCCTTCCATTCGTCTAAGTACTTGTAAGCAGTCTTGGTGTCGATCAACAATACTCGAGGGGCGCCCTCAATAAGCCATCGTCCATAGAGTATGCCAATACCCCGATTTTTCATGGCCTCTATACTCTTGGCAAGTTCTGGGGTAGATGGCTCTAGTTCTTCAACCTCGACTGCGGCCTACTCTAGTTAACGAGACGAACAGAGGATACAGCTTCCATGACAATACAACATACGGACTGGTGGTTGAGAGGGCCAATAAGCATATATCGTTCGCCATATTCGGCAGTGGTCACGGGTGCCTTGGATTTGATAACTGAATAGATACCACCGACTAGAGAGGCCATTAGTTCGAGATAACCAGCCCCGGAGGGATGTAAGACATACCGCGATGGGCCACCTCGGTTGCGATTTCAAATAGTATATGATTTTTTACTTCCCGAGGAGCTCTATCAATGCTTTCGCTAGCCATCTCGATGGTAGACAGCGAAAGGGTTTAGCGACGTAGGAAGGGCCAGATCAACAAGAGCGTGTGAGTAATAAGTGGCAAGTTACTATACCATAGACCCAAAGGGTCAGAGTTAGTCTAAAATAAAGAAGTGTGTGAGATGATCAAATCCCCCGAGAGCCCAAGTTTGCGAAGAGGTACCAGCTTTTTGTTTTGTCTTGTCCTGCCTTGTTTTGCCTTCGTGAGGGATATGGTTGGACTCTCCTTGTGCTTTGGATTGGATGGGATGGATAGAGATGGGCCTCACCTTTTCAAGCCCAGACAATAGAGCCGCGTCGATGGAATCCTAACAACTGAGGTGATTCGATGGAAGAAGACGATAGAAACGGAGACTGGGAGAGAGTGAGGGGGGAGAAGAAAAAGAAATTGAAAAAAAAAAATTGTACTATGCAGGTAGGTAGGTATGTAAGGTTCAATGTTAGTAGGTACCTAGCATACTCAACTTCCGTAGTAGATGTGGAGATGTGGAGATGGGCTGGGACGAGACTTGGGATCTCAATGGAAGCTGGAGCCCATTGCTCGTTGGGTTTTGCACTGGGCAGCCTGGCAAACTGGGTGACAAGGGACGACAAGGAATTTTATTTACTAGGCAGTACCTAGCTAGCTCTAAAGACCTCAGGCTAGACTCCTCTAATCCCACAATCCCACAAGCATCTAGTATTCATAAGTAGGTACCTAAAGGGAAGCTTCAAAGTTCCCCAGACAGCCTAAGAGAATAGCAATCCCCACTTCCAATCTGCATGTCGCACCGCAATCGGAATGGCTAGTTGGGTAACTGCGGATGGATCGAAGCTACATATGTATGGAAAAGAGTACATAGGTACTACATATGTAGAGCCTATAAGGCCCTATATATGACGCAATAACAGGTAGTACATACTACCTAGTGTGTACATATACGTAAACGGTAGTAGTACCATACCTAGGGTACTGTGCGTACTATGTACTACATAGTACCTAGTATGTAGATATGTAGATGCAACCTGACAGTGTACTAGGTACATATATTGCCTTGGGCTGGAAAGTGCTACTGCATGTATGTATCCATGGATGTAGTGGCATACTACTACATAGTATGTATGTACTGGCAGTCTGTAGATAAAGTTCGATAGACACCCAACCTTACCTACTAGCGTAGGTACCTAGGCATATCTACCTAATTACCCAGATATAGCTACCTAGTTAGACTCTAGTAGGTAGGTATTTGCTTTCTCTCATCAAACGCTTAATACCTAATCTACTACATATGTAGTATTAGATATCCTATGTTGTTATCTGCATATTTACACGATCCGTATAATAGCCCTGTCGGAGACAGATCAGTAAAGCTTAGTCATCATGACGAAATGGCTATAGTTAACTATGGGGATATGAATAGATATGCTCCATGGGTTAGAGGAGGGGTTAGACGAGGCCAGGGTGGGGGATGATGTAAGATGACTACCTAGTTTATGGAGCGCGGGGTTCCATGTTCAAGTGCTACATGTAGATCATTAAATTTTTAAAGAATCACCACACTGTAGCTTAGGGGATACACTTATGTACGCACATATAGACGAATTATGTACAGACCTACATATGTAAGGTATACATAGTATATACATACATATGTAGTATATACATACTGACCTAGCTACAATCTGCTAGGTTAGATATGTAGGGAGGTATGCGTCTCATCTCATGGAAGGGAAATGAAAGGAAGGAAAAGAATACGCCTAGCCAATGTACATCGCCCCCCCCCCCCCCCCCTTTTTTTTTTGTACTTAAACATGCCAATCATATGCCTTGAATTTTCCGATATGATGGCGGTTTCATCGTTCTCCTGATCAACTTTCCAGCATAAGGCGGGACCAACGAGATCGAACCGATGGCGAGCACGCGCCAGAGGAAACCCCTGCCACAAAGGTTAATACATCAACTAAAAACAATAACCATACCCTCTGATCAAAATTTGCTTACCAGCTAAGAAGGAAGTCAAGATCAAAGTATCCGCCCAGAAACGGCATTGATCCCACGTAGAATAAGAAAGTCCCGACGATACACATAATCATCACTGGATGCCAGGTTGTGATTTCGATGGCAACCATCAAAAGCTCATTCAGAACGAGCACCGTGTAACTAACGGCTACCATCCTCGGTCCGTCTACTTCGGTGAGAATCTGGGACAGACCTTGAATCATACCACCTTGGTATATTGATACAAGAACCCAGACGAAGAAAGTGCGATAAGACAGGGACCGACCAGACGTCAGTTCCTTGTATAGCTCGGGGTAGAGATTCGCTAGATTTTCATCGACGTCTTTGTCGAGAACGAGGGAGAGTACAGGCGCTGCTGTGTAAACGGTGGCATAGCCGACAAGAAGCCAATCCTACTAACATCAGGCGGCGCTCCTTCAAGTTGGGATAATGAAACTAACATACCTTATACAAACCTTCGGGTTCGAATTTGATGGCAATGCTATACATGGTCTGACAAACGGCGATAATAAGTCCACGGTGGATCACGAACTGGGCGAGTTTGGCGCTTCGCTTATAGCTATTCCGGCCGTGCCACACCAGCAACTTGGTAAGATGACAGAATTGCTCTATGGAAAAATCCGCTGCGAGACTGGCTTGCCGGCCTTCCTTGCCAACGATGCCAACACCTACATCCGCGGCCTGAATCATGGAGACATCATTACCACCATCGCCGATGCAACAAACCCGCTTGTTCGTGAATTCCTTGATCAGCTTCGCAATGTCAGCCTTCTGCGTAGGTGAGCATCTGCAAGCTACCACCGTGGGTAATCGTACAGCCACAGATATAAACTCGACTCCGAAATGCGTTAGGTAAAGTGTTAAGCTTTCGCCATCAATCAGCAAGCAGGAGTCGGTTTTGCTTCGGAGAAAGTCGAGATGGTCTTGAGCATTATCCTTGTGCTTGAGCCTCGCGACTGTATATATGTATTGACCTCGGGCAACCAGTTTTGAACTAACGGCAACGCATCTGGCTGTCTCGACCTTGTCACCGGTCAACATCCAGATCTTAATGCCAGCGTTCCGTAGTAGCTCTAAAGATGGTTTTACATCTCTCTGTAACTTATCCTCCACACCGGTGACCCCAAGGAGTTCGAGGTCGTGCTCGAGGAACTCGGCGACGACGCGTTGCATTCCCACATCACGACCGTTAATGGCTATAGATGCCTCTTGGTAATTGGTCGCGAAGTTTTCATACTGTTCGGAGGACAGCCTCTTACGGCCAACAACAAGAGTTCTCAGGCCCTCTCGGGCCATGTTTCCTGTTTCTTCATCCAGCCAATCATTCGCAGCCACGATGGACCCCATCACCGTGTCAGCACCCTTCTGATAGAACCAGATTTCTGCGTTGTCTGATCCGGAGGGTTGTGGTTGTTCGTAGAACCGAACAATTATGCCCATACGTTTACCGTCGGAAGTGAAAGGGAATATGTCCAAAATCTGAACCTGTACTACAAATTTCCCCGTTTCCGTCGACTCGAGAATCATCTTCTTCCGATCTCGATACGCAAGACGAAGACCGACCGACTCAGTCCATTGTACGATAGCTATCTCATCTGGAGAAGATGCCTGATATGAGGTAAGCGTCTGGCCATTTTCTTCCTCTGTGGTAGGCGTCACATTGTGACAAAGAGCCAAAGCCAAGACCACATCGCGAACTCTTGAACCAATTTCGCGCCGTGTTCTAGTCGCTGTGACTCCGGCTGTTGTGTTATATGAAGAAGAAGGCGTGACGAGTGCGTTGTCACTCAACGTTCCAACGAAGCCGTGTCTAACATATGCTGCCACCTCATCCATCGCCTCGTTGGCGTAAGAGACGGTGCCTACATGAATTTTCTTCATTTCCATCTCATTTTGAGTCAAGGTGCCTGTCTTATCGCTTAACAAGTATTCAATGCGTCCAAGGTCCTCAGGGATCGTGCTGGTTCGTACCACTGCACCTGGAATGCCTGGGTCTCGTTGAATGAATCTTGAATAGACACTTTTTCCAAGGTCAAGGTTGACTCGAAGACTAATGGGCACAATGGTAGAGAACAATACGAGGAATCGCATGATCTTCACATACCATATATCACCTTCAGTATTACTAAATCCCTCCAAGGCGACCAAAATGACAGATAATGCTAAGGTAAGCGCACAAAGTATTTTGGTTAGAGAATTGATCTCATATTCTAGCAAACCCGTCTTAGACCGTGACAACGAAGTAGAAAGGGCAGACCGGGTTTGCGGTCCAGTATAAACGATAACAGCCACAGTGGTACCTTGCGATGCGATGATGGTGTTTGCCCATGCAGTATTATCGATTGACAAAGGGGCAGACTGGCTTCTTTCATCAATACTACTTTCGTCGGAGTGGCTATTGAGGACATCTTCTTTCGTCGCCATCAGCTCAACCTTGCCGACGAACTCGTTTACCGCTTTATCCGGCTTTCCGCCCGTGACTTTGATACGAACAAGCTCTTCCTCGGGAAGAGATTGGGTCAAAGCAGACGCTAGTCGAAGTTTCCAGTCGGTCTCACCATCAAGCTGATCCGTTCTAATAAATGTCTCCCCGGTGAACATTCCTTCAGGAACGCTCGAGCCAGGCAATTCGGGACTCTTCCCCTTCCAAGATGTCTGATCTGCATCGTTGTCCAAGGGGTGAACTAATAATGTCTCTGGCTCCATGCTGCTAGATGGCTGATTTGGGGCGTGTGTGCTTTCTGGTGCCGAACATTTTAAGATGACAACATCCGCAGGTACGCGTTGACCTTTACTAAGTTTTAGAACATCACCAACTTTAAGATCTCGGGATTTCTTGCTCATAGGTTGTGCAACAGACGACGGGTACCCCCTCCCTTGGCATTCTACTTGTTCCTCTTCCTCCTGAATATCTGACAGTCGGTCCATCTGAGCTAATGGTTGGCGCTGTATTTTCCGTAAGGAGGTTGGTTTGAGGTTCTTGGGAGGGCGTAACGTGGAGTTCGGTCGTCCTAGTTCCCCAAACTGCAGTACGGTGTACTCCTCAGAATTCGCCTCATTATCCCTTCGACGTCGTTCAATATCATCATATGCTTCCTTCCCCATAGTGATCATAAGAACAAAGGCAAGTGGGGCAATGTAAGTCGACAAATAACCTATCCTCAGAGCTGGGATAGCCTGTGATAAAGCAACGAGCAAGAAGTACATGTTGAAGAAAAACGAGAACTCATTGTATAAGGTTATAGGGAGGAAAGTAAAGGCTGTGTATTTCGCATTCGAGACTAGGTTCGGGGGGTAACGACTAGATTGAGTTGAGCCAACGGCTATGATTCTTGAGGCCGAAGAATCGTCTTCCTTGTTATCAGCATTCCCCATACCATCCCGCCCGTTAATAGAAGCACTCGACATGAAGCTAGGCAATCTCAAGGATGATCCGAGGTGAGTTAGATTATGAAGCCTATCGTTGGCGAAAGACCGCTTCGGGGGGCGAGAAGTATATCCATCCAAAAGAGGTGCATCATCGCTGTCGTGGCGGCCACTTCCGTCAGAGTATCGTTGACTAGGCACATCATCGTCAAGTAAGCCTACAACATCGCCATTCCCATCTCTACTCCGGCCAAGCTCGCCATAGCTGCGACCTCGATTACTCGGCCGCCTCAAGCCGCCCATGCGAATATTCCGTAGGGCAATACGGGGAGCTCGTTGCTCGGGACCTATATTGTGGCTTAGTGATGGCGATGTGTAGTTGTGAGATGAGGTGGTAGGATCTAGCTCGTGAAGGTCGAGGTCGAGGTCGACATCTGAATCTGAGTCGTTTGGGGGAGAAGGAGAATCTGGATGCTTAGTCGGGCGGTACGGAGTTAATGGCGGCATTCCCGTATTGGATTCATGCTCCCGAGATAAGGAGCTACTTAAGAAAGGCGAAGGTGGTTCAAGATGTTGCTGGTACCTAACTAGTGTAGACAGTGAAAGCTCAAAATTTGGATAAATCAGAGTTGGTCGTGAGACGTGGCTGCGTAGCTGCGTAGCTACGTGTTTAAGCTTGTTTCGAGCCCAAGTTGGGACGCGCGTAACTTTTGAGATTCGATGGGACCGGTATGTATGATAGATCTAATCGAGATGTGGATGAACGACTTGGAAGTTATTTGATAAGTTATTCGGTTTAACATGAGGCAAAAGAGTAAAACGTTGAATGGAAATGAAGAGCTACATTACATACATACGTATATTAACATTGAAATAGTAGCAAGTAGTTAGTTACATTCGACTTCCGTACATGTCATGTAGAGCGGATCCACCGGTCAGGAATTTGAAGGGTACCGGGTACATAACCTCAAGGCTTAAATCAATGATGTATCCACATCCATGCATTACATAATACATATGTGTCTACATAGGTATGTACATTGTACATACATATGCAAGTATACACATGCATGTGCAGCGTTCAGGCTACAAAAATAATAGTAGGTACCCAATAGTTACATTATACGACAATACTTACATAGAAGTTCGATAGAACTACGCCGTACATAGTAGGTATAGTACTTGCACACAAAATGTACCTCATCATAACTTGAATAACTTAATAAGGTGTACGAGATGTTTTTTTTTTTTTTAAAAAAAAGGGAAAAAGAAGAAGGAATAAAGGTCAAGTAAATGGATATGCGTGAAAAAGACTCAGTTGAATAACCCTAAAATATGCCCTAGGCCAGATTTAAATGGTCAGACAGGTCAGGTGCCCAGTTCTGTTAGAAGGAGTGCTTGCATCATCTGATAATTATATTATCGGATACGTATGCAAAACCTCTTGGTGATGTCTTCAGCTATTCCGACAACCAGATGTAATAACAAGGGGCTTGAGGATGACTCTAGGGCTATCTACTACATAGTACATCCGTGGATAGTAACCTAGGTGTTATTCATTAGACATACTACCTCTAACCGGTGACCAACCAGTCTTCCACCAGCCACCAACCAGTCAGTTAGTTTTGAGAGTAGGTCGGCAGTGTACGCTTAGCTTGTTGGTGCTAAAAGCACGCAAGGCCACATTTGCGTCCTTTCCCTTCCCCTGTTCTCCGTATCAACAAGGCTTAACTTTAAATCCCTACTCCTTAGCTTCGTCCACTATCTTATCTTCCAAGCTCATCTAATGGGAGATCTGCCTCATCTTTGCCAACGATCGAGTCAGCCACTTTCCAGATCTGAAGCATGTTGTCTTCGGCTGCGCTCGCTACAAGCCAAGGATCGTTCAAATTCCAGCTGAAATCCGCGAGGTGGTTCGTGTGGCCACCATGCATGAACAATCTACAAGGAATTAGCACATAGGTTTCTGGGAAGTCAAAGAGAAAACCCACAATTCTGGAGGTCCATCTTCCTGCTCATCAGGCTGCTGCTCCTCGCCAACCCTGCTCAGATCCCAAAAGATAATGCGGCGATCGTAGCTGGCGCTACCAAGAACACCAGCCTCATGCGGGTGCCAAGATAGCGAGGTGACAGCGTCTTGGTGGCCTTCTAGCGTGTGAACCTTCTCTTTAACATTACGTAGATCCCAAATGCCTATGGTCTTGTCGGCAGAAGCAGTTGCCACGAGGACTTCAGTGGACGGGTTAAAGGCAAGGGAATTAATAGCATCGCTGTGCCCATCTTTGGCGACTAAAGAGGATTGTGTGTTGGATGGCTGTCTGAGGTCCATTATTTGTAGGGTTAGATCGTCAGATACACTGCCGATGAAGTTCTTGGAGATAGGATGATACTGCACATCATTGACGATGTTGGTATGGTGAGTAAAGCGGCGTGCGGGACTAAGGATGTGGCTACCACTCTGTAATGACTTGAGATCCCTTCGCGGTGGCAATATATATTAGTTATGTCTTAAGTCTCAAGATCGAGACCAGATAATAGACGAGTAACGTACCAAAGGCAAACTGTCTGATCTTCGCTCCCCGATGCCAAAGAGCCCTCGGAATGTGGGCTCCAGTTAAGACCAAATCCTTCTTGCCTGTGCCCCTCCAGAGTAATTTGAGGATTAACTTTGCCATTTGGCTCAAAGCTGTGTTTGGTTCGGTCGAAGATGAGAATACGACCGTCGACAGCCAATGTTGCGATAAGATCCGGGTTCTGTGGGCAGTAGCGGGCCTTGTTGACCTCACTGGGGTGGTCAATCTTCTGGACAATGTTCCACCTCATAGCCGCTGGCGAAGCGGCAGCTGAGGACTTTCCATAGCCACCTATCTCACCATGCTCGTCATCAAAGTCATTGGCATTGGGGCGAGCCGATTTAGGGATTTCGACCTCGGCGATTTGAACGTGATTCGGATTTCCCTCGGAAGTATGTGTTCCGATAAGAACTCGGTGAATGCGACAATTTCTTCCTTCGGGTTCCTTGACATCGGGAAACCACTGAACAGTTAGAGTAGGCCATGTCAAGGCAGTACTGCTTTTTCATTAGTACAGAGTATGCCTAGATCATCGATCGTGCCTTCGTAGGTAGTCTCACCTCAGGATCATATCGTAAAGGAAGGGCGAGTTCTTCTTCCATGTTTTGTATTCTAGCAAAGGAAGAAGGAAAAAAAGTTAGAGGAAAGGGAACGCATATCAGCTAGAGAATCAATAGTACTATGCGAGTTACCTTCATTAATGAGTCTTTGTTCCTCATCTTCGTCAACCTCCTGCAACGCCATGTCCACTTACATTGTGTATTAGTATGCAATGCGAAAAGGGAAAGCTACCTGGAAAAACTAACCGTCAACATCATCAGCAACAGGCGCGGGAGCCATCTCGGATTGGCGTTTCGCGCAGGATGGAATGAAGAAAATCGAAATGAGTGTGTTTGTAGTGCAGTAGGGAAAAGATGAGCTTGGAAGAAATTAGTGCGAAAGAACGCGATACGCGTAAAGCACCAGCCCAATTAATTCAACAACTATTAATTATTATTCTACATACTTATGTAGGTACCTAGTACCTAGTAGTTATGTACATAAGGTACTACTAGGTACAGACCGTACAGTCTACATAGTATCTAGTTAGTATTACGATGTACCTTCAATGTGATGTGTAGGTGGGTACATGTACTCATTACCTACATACTAGGTATGAGCCTAACCTAGAGTAGTACATCGTATGTACATAAAGGGTATTATGTAGATGCTGGTGCCGGGGGCATAGTTATGTAGGTTATAGGTAACTACCTAAGCTAAAATTCAATCACCGTTGAATGTTCAAAAAGTTGTAGGTAGCCTTGGTAGCCTTATAACCTAGTAGCCTGGTACGCTCTACCCACTTATCACTTTCTACCTTACACTATTATCTCCATCCCGAATTCAACCTCGTAACCCCGATTCCAGCTTGAGAGCAACTGTCTATTTTTGCCCTAAATGTATCATCTCAGTGGTGCTTTGGAAGGTTTGCATCATATTGTTCGTTCCATATAGTGTTTTGTGTTTTCTTTTGACATATATGCATACACACATACATACCTTTCTACCTATCTACCTAGGCCTACATACACACAATCATTGATCTAATCACAACCGATACTTTGTGGTTTCTTTCACCAACTTCACCAAAAGATTTCAAGCTTGATCAGACTAGCCACTTGCCATACCTCGATTTCGTAGTACAAGGCCCTTTCTATAGTTTCACCTAATTCATCCCTCGAATTCCGTCTTACTATTTAAGCGACTCTTCGTCCTACATTTCATCACATCCTCTAAGGCGCCGAACCGATTTATCATGGGGTACGTCTAAGCTCATTTATGGGTATAATATCTCACTGAATCTGCTAACTCTGGCTCAGCGTCCCCAAGTTCTTCAGATGGCTCTCAGAGCGATATCCTGCAATATCACAGCTCATTGCAGAGAATCGAATCCCCGAATTCGACAATCTTTACGTGTGTAGCCCTGTCAACTGCAACCGTCATTCATCATTTGCTAACCTATATTAGTTGGATATGAATGGTATTATACATAACTGTACCCACAAAGACTCACATGATACATCGTTTCGTCTTAGCGAAGATGAGATGTTTATACGTATCTTCAACTATATCGAGCACTTGTTTGGTAAAATAAAGCCAAAGAAGCTGTTCTTTATGGCAATTGACGGTGTCGCGCCCAGGGCAAAAATGAACCAGCAGAGGGCTCGTCGTTTCCGGACGGCGCTGGATGCTGAATTAGCCCGCGACAAGGCCATTCGAGAAGGTCAGGAATTGCCGAAAGAGGATCCCTTCGACAGCAACTGCATCACGCCAGGCACCGGGTTCATGGCAAAGTTGACCCAACAGCTCAAGTACTTCATCAACAAAAAGATATCCGAGGATTCCGATTGGCAGGTCTGCGACATTGTCTTGTCAGGTCACGAAGTCCCGGGTGAGGGTGAACATAAAATCATGGAGTACATTAGAAATGCGAAGGCTCAACCCGACTACCACCCCAATGTTCGGCATTGTCTGTATGGCTTAGATGCCGATCTTATCATGCTGGGGTTGTTAAGTCACGATCCCCATTTTTGTCTCCTCCGCGAAGAAGTCACTTTCGGTCGCGCTTCGAAGACTAAATCCAAGGAGTTGGAGCATCAGAACTTCTATCTAATGCACCTCTGTATAGTTAGGGAATACCTCGAATTGGAATTCCAGGAGTTGAAAAAGGAAGGTACCATCAAAGTGCCTTTCAACATGGAGAGAATCATTGATGATTTCATTCTCATGGCATTCTTCGTCGGCAACGACTTTCTTCCTAATTTGCCAAACCTTCACATCAACGAAGGCGCTTTGGCAACCATGTTTCGCATTTATAAGCAGGTGCTTCCCCAGTGTGATGGTTATATCAACGAAGGAGGAGTAATCAACCTCTCTCGTTTAGGGTTATTATTGAAAGAGCTATCCAAGGAAGAATACCGGTATTTCGAGCACGAGCACGCCGACTTGAAATGGCTCAAGAGCAAGCAGCTGTCAGGGTCTAACGGCGAGGAATCTACCAAACACAAAGGGAAGCTTGTCATGACAAGTACCCAGAGAGAGTTATGGAAGAAGATTCGGAAGTTTCTCAATAATCGATCATCTACTCCTCTTAACCTCGGCCATGAGCTCATCGCTGCCGATCGAAAATTTGTGCAGGATACTGCTGACAGCCTCCACATTGACTGGCGTACTGTCGAAGACGACGACGGGCAGCGTAATCTGTTGCTAGCAATGCCCCTAAAACCGGGTGGTGATGATAATGAGGAGGAGGAGGAGGAAGGACATATGGCCTTATTTCGCGTCATGAAGCGCTACGACAATGCCCACGTCGTTGATCTCTCCGCCGAAGAAGCTCAGGCCTCCGTTCAAGCCAGGTATCAAGAGAAATTTGATGAGTGGAAAGACAAGTACTATACAAGCAAGTTTGAGTGGACCGCGGAGACCAAAGAGAGAGAACTGACAAAACTTTGCGAGAACTATGTCCAAGGGCTGCAATGGGTGCTATACTACTACTACAAGGGGGTGGCTTCTTGGCCGTGGTTTTACAGCTACCACTACTCGCCCATGACATCTGGTAATTCATTCTGGTACATAACACCGAAGCAACCGAATCAGCTAACAAGGTCCGTGTAGACATTATGAAAGGAATGAATGCCAACTTAGATTTCAAGCTCGGTCAACCCTTCCGACCGTTTGAGCAACTCATGGGCGTTCTCCCAGACCGAAGCAAGAAAATCGTTCCAGCAGTGTACCATGAGCTCATGACAGAGGCGAAATCGCCAATTATTGACTTCTACCCTCGTGACTTCAAACTCGACATGAATGGTAAAAAGATGGAATGGGAAGCCGTGGTCAAGATCCCGTTCATAGACGAGAAGCGTTTGCTGTCCGCAATGGCACCTAAGAACGAGCTTCTTACGCCAGAGGAAAAGGCCCGAAATGACTTCGGAGTTTCCTTGAAATTTACATACGATCCGAATCTTGACTTCATCTACCCATCATCCATGGTCGGAATCTTTCCAGATATTCCTCATTGCCGTTGCGTTGAGAACATATTCGACTTACCTACAACCGAGGGACTCGAATTGTATGTTGGTTTACTTGATAACGCGAAACTCGGCGTAGACGCCCTCGCAGGATTTCCCAGTCTCGCTACGTTGCCTTACAATGCCAATCTTGGCTTTCATGAGGTCAATGTCTTCCAGCAAGTGAGTCGCAACGAGAGTATGGTTGTCACTCTAGCCGACGTTGAACTCCGAAGCAAAGTAGGGTTGGCCAAGGCCAAAATAGGGCAAAGATGCCATGTTGGGTATCCGTTCTTACAAGAGGCGAGAATCGTACGGGTGTCAGACGAGTTATTCGACTACTCTCTCGCTTCAGATGGCTCTGGCCAAGTCATTCCGACTCATCATTCTGGCAAAGACATAGGAGAATGGAGCAAGAAGGCATCTCGTATAGAAAATTTCTACAGCAAGCGCCTTGGCATCATCATTGGCCCCGTTGAATCTTTGGTCCACGTGGAGATGTTAAAGGGGCTCACAAAAACGGACGAAGGTGCTACTGTGAAAGAATATGGCCTGATCCCAGGCATGGAAATAGATTACGCTGCGCAGGTAATTGTTGACAGGGTTGTCAGCGAAGATGAACGATTTATTGAAAGAGATGCGTTGCCGTTTGAAGAGGAGTTCCCTGTTGGGTCCCATGTTTTCTTTCTCGGAGATTATGGGTACGGACGCCCTCTTGAGATTTGCAGTCACAATGATAACCGAGCGGAAATCATTTTATCGGTACCTGTGGCAAGAGAGCCAGACTTCGCTCGGTCAATCATTCGGATTGCTGAGCAGCAAAGTGGTTACCAACCATCTTACGTGATCGCGAAAGAGTTGGGACTTCACCCGCTTGTCCTAAGCAAAATTACTTCTTCTTTCTTTGTTCACACAATTGGGGGCAGCATGAAGGTCAACTTGGGATTAAATCTCAAGTTTGAGGCACGGAAACAGAAAGTATTGGGTTATTCAAGAAAATCGAATTCCGGATGGGAATTCAGTCCTGCCGCGGTTCGATTGCTAGTAGAGTATATGACCCGATTCCCAGATTTCTTCGCTGCAATCATGCGGAACCCTTCGGGAAACGAGTTTCACGAGACAGACCTTTGGCCGGATACACAAGCTGCCAGCACCAGAACCAAGGAGATCGGTGCGTGGCTCAAGACCGTGGAAACAAGCAAATTCGAGCGAGTTCCCCTTGACGCAGAGCAGCTAGACTCTAACGTAGTCATGGAACTTCAAAGAACGGTAGACTCACTAAGAGAATCGGCCGAGCAGACTGAACCAAAAAGACTGAAAGGGGTTCCTCGGTCCGCATTGCTCAACCCTAGGGATGCCGAGCAACGGCTCAGTAACCAGCGGTTCGCCTTAGGTGATAGAGTCGTGTACGTACAAGCCTCTGGGAAGGTGCCCATCGCTTCGAGAGGAACTGTTGTCGGCATAAGCACGGTTGGCAACCACCATATGCTTGACGTACTATGCGACAACGCATTCATGAACGGTACAACATTGGCTGGCAGGTGCGAGCCCTTTCGAGGACAGACCGTTTCGGCAAATTCGGTTCTCAACGTGTCAAACAGGCAAGTCATAACGAGCTCAAAGAAGAGTAAAGAAAAGCAACCCAGCTCAACGGAAGCACCTTTATCTTCCCTTGGCTACGGTGCACCGGGCGGCCGAGGTGGCAAACTACGAGATGCCCCAACGCCAGGTCCTCTTAGGGGTTCTTGGCGAGGCGTAGCGAATGGCGCAAACCGACAATCAGCCCAGGGACGAGGTGCTCATAATTCACACACATCCAATGATATTCCCCATTTACAACCCAGTAGCTTGGTTTACCGCCCGATGCCCAATCAACCGCAAACATCCAATCCGGGAGCAACACAACAAATTGGTGGTCAATCTTACCGCGGCCGTGGTGGTCCACATTGGAATGGACGTGGAAACCGGGGCGGCAGAGGCGCCTCAATATCTCCGGGCAACGATTTTTATGGCTCAAGAGGGCCAGAACCCACAGGGCCCATTCATCACCAGTCTTATAACGCTATGCCACCACCAGCTGGGTTGAATGCTCGTGGTGGTGGAGGTCGGGGGCGTTCACGGGGTCGTGGAGGAGTACGTGGACGAGGTGTTCGCGGCACACCAACTGGGAATTAGATTAGAAGAGGGATGTGTTCATTTTAAGACAGCTCTACTAAGTCTCGTCTAGATTGCCTTTCAGGTGACGTGTTACGGATCTAGAAAGTAGGCAACACATGTAACGGTGTGAAGATAGCCACATTATAATAGGTTTAGGTCTTGAGCATATTAATGCCCTCGGTTGTGGACAAGTTGTGGCGGCCATTGCTCATGTTAAAGACTAGCTGGATGTTTACATAGGAAATAGGTATCTACATGCAACCGATCACTCGGACCTTTTAAGCAAGGCACACATAAAATTGATCGTTTTGCGAAGTAAATAGGAGAGCTATAGCAAATGAAGCCATGTTCAACCACACGTGAGTGAGGGAAGTGGGTGGCAAAACGTTAGAATGTTGATGCCAGAAAATAGGAGTTACACATACCTATAAGTAGTGTACATATTATATCCTATTAAATCAAACTCAACTTTAGGGGCCTGCGGATTTCGAAGTCAATCTTTTAATAACAGCCTCTCCAAATTCGAGGCCAAATGTCAACAAGCAGGTACGGTATAAGTATATGTCAAGCAGTCAGAGGAGCTAGAACGAACACACTAGGTTACGATTTCCGCTCAATACATCTCCACAAAGAGAGGTATTGTTGAAAAGTGTCAGATGAAAGTGTCAAAATGTCTCATCCACATCAGAATCTTCCCCAATGCATTCTCTTAACCACGATGGACCGACCAACCAGCCAACCAGCCAACCAGCCAACCATTCATCCAGCCAGCCACCCCTTGCCTTGCCGTCAAATAGATGGCCTCTCTTTAACAATGAAACAATAAAAGACGAATGAACAAAGATACAAGAAAAAGAAAAGAAGCAGCTGAACTATGAGGCGAGACAGACAAAACAGGACGAGACAACAAAACTAGATTTTGCAACGGCGTGGCAAGAGCAAAGACGGAAAGATACAATAAACCCTGAGGAATAAGTATGGGGCATGTGAGAAACGAGGCCAGGTATTACCATTTACACTCCCTGCGCTATGCACCGCCATTCAGTTTCCACCCTACTACAGATATCCCTCCATTTGTACAAGTTCGTCCGTCCATCGAGGCCAGAACGTTCAATGTATATCGGGCAACAAGGTCGAGAAAGGTTCACACAGTAAAGTAGCCCACCACCACTACCAGCCAAACCAGGCCCTAGATATCCGTTCTAGAAATTGGGCCGATCTTTTGTCTTTCCCAGCTCCCCTCCAACATTCCAGTAACTTTTTCTCTTTTTGCTCAACGATAGAAAAATAAAATAAGATAAAATAACAACGTTCCCCGCAACACCCTGCTTTAATCCTTAGGTATCCTCGACTCCCCCTTATACCGATCTTCAAAAGTGAGCCCACCCTTTGAAAGTGCCATTTACGTCCAGAGAAGTACCGCCAAGGTTGATATCTGCCGAAGGATCACCATCCACCGTTAACGCTCCAAATACGTTTGAAATCGGTTACAATCAAATTGGACACTGAAAATCCAGTACGAATACCGCGGACAGGGGCAATGTGTGATGTTTAGGCTGGCGACTTGCTAGGGGGGGCGCCGGCACCATTTTGGCGAGCGTCTCCGCCACTGACAGATAAACTACCAATGCCGGAAGAGAGGAACGCAAACGGGTCATTTTCTGTCTGGGACGAGTAGAAATTGTTAGAAGGACCAGCGGAGGCTGGGCCGTTGCTCGCAGACTGGAAAGCTGCCTCGGCAGCACGGCTATCAAAGGGTCCAGCCGAATGGGAGCCAGGCGCAGGACCAAAGTGAGTGTTAAGAGATGGATACGGTGCCGCACCCCCACCAATACCGGAGGGCAAGGCGTAAGTGCTCGGTGGGCCTCCAAAATGATGTCCATAGCCACCAGACGCTCCAAAGGGACCAGCAGCAGACGCAAAGGGCCCAGGGCCTGGTGTTCCGGTCATAGAACCAGAGCCCATACCGTAACTAGAGCCACTATCCATGGGAGAAGGATAGCCCGAGTCAGCAACTACCGCAGCACCTGCACGACTGGCGCCACATCGAAGACAGCAGACGTTCTTGGCGAAGTTATGATAGCCACAGACTTCATTGCCACACTTCCAATCACCGGCCCTGAAGGGAACAACGCCGCTACCACCCATGCGGCCGCCTCCGTGATGGCCCACGTTTCCGTGATGGCCACCATGGTGAGGTGGGGGGCCCATCATGGCCGGCGGACCGTAGCCATAACCATAACCCATGTCACCTTGTCCTCCAGCACTGACAGCAGGAAATGAGCAGCGAAAGCAGGCCGTTCGTCTTTGAAAGTTGGAGAAGCCACAGGAAGGACATGTCCAATCGCCGGGACGGGGTCGGTTTTTGCTTGGAGGGAACGGCGTAAGGATCTCGGCTGCGCGATCAAGCACTCGACTAGAAGATGGTGATACTTCAATTGCCTTCTCATTCAGAGCACGGCCGTTCATGCAGAGGCTTTCGGCGGCCTGAATCATGGTTAATGCACAAGCAGTGATAAGGGAGTAGACAAAATGGAGCTAATAAGGAGAGCAATCCAGCATACCTCTTCATGAGACGAAAATACAGCAAAGCCAGTACCGGTGGGTTTATGCTGTTCCGGGGTGCGCAGGGTCCAAAAAGCAATAGGGCGGCCACCGAATTGAGTAAACCAACTCTCAAGTTCAGACTGTGTTGTATCGTGGGGCAGTCCAGACATGTGCAGGACCTTACTTCGCTCCGACAAAAAGGCACGAACGTCAGCACGAGCATCCATGGGGCGTGTTAATACGTCAGGATGGTCTTGTGGTGGCTGAGATTTCCTAATCAGACCGCGTAAGACTCTGGCGAGAGTAACGGCTTCTTCCATGGCGCGTCTAGGGGAAGCTGGAGCGAGAGCCTGTAGGTGGAAGGGTAGATTGTGTTTGATAGGCGCGCTAGATTGCACTGGCTCAACTTCAAGAGCTGCGCATATGTTGGAGAGCATTGAGGGGCCAAAGGGAAGAGATTCGGGATGATGCTGTTGCCAGCGCTGGTACTCGGTACGCAGATCAAAAGTCCTCGAGTGTTGGAGGTAAGGGGGCAGTACGACGGCCTTATCGCGAGCCTCGCGAGGAAGCTGAACACGCAGATCCCATGCATCAAGGGTAACAAAGACGAAGTCGAGGTTCTGAGAGGTTAGGTGCTCAGATGCAAAGGCATCGAAGCGGTTGACAGCATCTCGAAAAGTTCCCGCATTTCGGACATGCTCCCACGTTAGGGTCGTCAAGCTAGCTGTAGACACAAAAGGAGGTAGATGTATTAGCCTGCCATGTCACAGCAACTAGAGATCCAAGGCGGAAAAGGGTTACGTCGATTTGGGGGGGGTGGAGGGGGAACAAGAAAGGAGAGAGTGCCGGTGTAGTTATAAAGTACAAATGCAAATGTAGATGCAGATGTAGGTGCATGTGTAGGCGAAGGTATGTTGCTGCAGCTGCAGATGCAGTGCTGGCTGTAATTTGCGACTTACTGCATAGGGGAGTAATAGGGGTGTTGATAGGCTTCACAAGCACACTTTCACGATGAATCTAGCGTCAAATAGAAGACTCGGTCAGCAAGCAGGACTTCTATATTGCAACAGCAACACATTTTTCTCGACTCTCCACTACCCGTATCCATACCTCTTCAAGTGACTTGGCGTCTAATAAGATCCAGCCAAGCTCAATCACCTCAGCAGAGTCCTTCGTCACATAGACGCCGTGCTCGTCGCAGGTGGTTGCAACATGGATGACCACATAACGATCGATATGGGGAGGTGGAGTCTGCTGGTTCGACATATTGGGCAGACTTGGATTCCGAAGTGAACGGTGGTGCTATGCAATCTTGATGTATTTATTGAATGTATGATACAGATATTATGATCGGGACTCGAGGCGGTGTTGGCGTTGCTCGAAAATTAAGACAATGGAGCGGGTTCTAAAATCGGGACGGTCGAAAAGTTGTCAAGGAATCGAGTCGTAAAATTTTGGCATCGACTAGAAAAGATGTTCTAGGAATAGTTGGTCGAACTGAAGCTACAACGAGCGACTGGAGCTCTAGTTGGTCCCCTTTTTTCTTTTTTTCTTTTTTTTTGGGGGGGGGTGCGGACTTGAGGATGATTAATAAGAAAGAAATAACAATGCCACAAATGCGAGGGACCCCAACAGCGAAGAACGGTCGGTGGTGTATCTATCACTCAAAACAATTTTAGTTGCAAAGTCGATCGAACCTAACAGCTCCTCGCAATACCGCAAAAGCCGATATGAAGAAAAGACAAATTGGGGAGAAGATGGAGAGCGTGGAGAGTGAAAAGGGAAAGAGAAAAAAATAGAAGAGAGAAAAGAGGATAGGGGGAAATGATGTTGTGGAGTGGGATGAGAGAGAGAAGAGAGAATGTCTGTGTGTGCGTGGGAGAATGGAAGAAGTAGGTGAGAGGGAGTTTAAAGACTAGAGACAACTTCAGAGAGAGAACGAGACGAGTCACGAAGAAGAATGAACAACCCCAGAAGTACACTACTATTGCATAGGGTGTTTAGCAGTTAAAAGCTGTTGGTTTTGGGTAATATGCATGGTTGATTAATCTCGTTACGATTGTGTTTTTTTTTTCTTCTTCATTTTACCTTTTACCGTTTCCTTTTAATATTATGTATATTTGCATAACCCCTTTTTATCTTTTTTTTCTTAAAACTATTTTTTTTATTTTTTTAAATTAAAACTTTAAAAATTTAACTCCGATTTATTTAAACATATTTCTTTATAAATATATTATTTTGATTTTCTTTTAAATATTAAAACATTTTCTAGCATAAAGCTATCAACCCTCGTTAAGTGTATTATACATTTGTAAAGGTTAGTTTTAGCTAATAAGTGCATTTCTACGTCATCAAGGCCGCCCGTCCCGCGATCACTATAAGTAGTCCCGCATCAAAGAGAGGAGTTAGAAAGAAACAACAAAGCAAAAAGTTGGAGTTAATACCTATTATATACATACATAATAAGTACATTACATATCTACACATATCGCCTGATACTTTCGATTATCATTTTTTTCCTCTTAACTATGTATGTAACAACTTGAACATCATTTGTCTGCCTACGTATCACATTCGAAAATTAACTATCTTTATACTTACATATTGATCCACACGACTTTACTGCTTCAAGTTATTACCTATAACTGTACGCAGCTACCTACTCTGTGCGTAGTATAGTCTAGAGTCCTTGAGAGTGTCCAAAATGAGCGCCGTTTCTGCTGTATTCATCGTCCTCATTACCATCCTGTGTAAGCAAGTCAAGCTTCGGTGGGCTGACAGCATTGAGAACATAACGATATTGATTAACTCACCCACTACATAGTTCCTCCTATTGGCGTCTGGGCAGTTGCCGGTTGTGGCGCGGATCTACTTATAAACATCTGCCTCACCGTCTTAGGGTAGGTAACGAGACCTAGAAGGGCACTGCATAAATGGTAATCAGTCTAACTAACATTTGGGTAGCTACATTCCAGGTCACATACACGCCTTCTACATCGAATATGTCTACTATGACCGTCGAGAGCAGGCTAGGGAGGGCCGCTACGCTGCCCGTCGAGCCCCGGGAGTGTATAGCGACCGTGTTCAGGCGGGAGGCCGCGGACACAACACTATACAGTAGTTCAACCCACCCATTGAGCAGCGTACGGAGAGCAAAAGACGCGTGCTAAGTTAACGAGATGTGGTGGGATGCTACAATCATTAAGAAGCTTAGAAATCACCATGCCATGCATCTTGCCTATGCGCAGTTACAAAAAGGAAGTGACATTGCCCATAGTAAACTAATAAAGATATTATGTTGCCTTCAGAAGATGGCTTTACACCAATGATATTATATCATGATATATGTATGTACTGCCAGTAGAGTAGGTACACAGTACGTAGTACATACCATAGTATATACACATGTACCTAATAGTTATTTGTACAAGCATAACCTTCTATTATATACATAGTATCAATCATTAATGATAGTGTATGTACATAACGTCCCGGGAGTTGTTATCTCCAACGACAAACCTTGAAGTAAACTGTGGGGGTGCCCCAGGTAATTTTATCCACTTAAACAACACCACGACTTCATTGCAGCTCTCTTTCCCTGGTCGCCTTTCCACCTTCTCCTCCCTCACAGCTTCGCAACCAAATCACAGCCGATTCTCATCCAAAAAGGAAAAATAATAATAATAAACCCCCCGAAAAATCATTTGGCATTAAACAAGCTCATCTCGGTCTGAAGCATACGTTCCATCTTTGTGCCCTCGCCCTCGAATCATTATACCTATACCCACCGCTAAGCCAACCAACCCAACGAATCCTATCCATTGACCTCCCAAAAGTGTGAAGCTACCGTATTGGGCATCCCATCACTTAGCAGCAGCCCAGCCATCAGGGCTACGACTAGATTGCTTTTGTCCTCCAAGCCTCTCGCTGCGCGCGTTTTTCCTATATACATATACTAGACTACCACCCTCCCCCCTTCAAGGACATGGCAAACTCTACTCTAGCTTTTCCATCTTCTGAGCCTCTCAATCACTCCCCTCCTCCGCGAAACGGTAATGCTAGTAGAACTACCAGAACTTCCAACTCCCGCCGACATTCTTTGCCTTTTGCCTCTCCCCCTTTCTGCCCAAAGATAACTACATCATCCACATCTTTGATATCCAGTACCGCTGAGGGAAGACCAATCCCCCTCGACGATTCTACAGCTGCGCATCGCACTACTGCCTTACGAGAGCTGAATCGTTCTCAACCCTCTTCCAATTATCGGTGCGCCAGAACGACTGGCTCTCAGAGTGCCAACACGACGGCAAAAGCCTATTCCCAACCAGTCATAGTCCGCACATATTCAGGCGCACATCCATCACCAACAACCAGGGGCTCCCTCTCTGTCTCTCCAACCCCGAACCCATCCTCTCGCCGTCCTGCTCGAGAAGTCATGACAATAGGTATGAAGCACCACTTAAGAAACGAAAAGGCCCGCGATGTGGCCACCGATGCCAAGTTCCCGCCTCTTGAATCATTCACCTTCCAAAGCATTATGAGAGGGATACAGCAGGATGTTGGCACAGATTTAGATCGGATAGCAGAGATATGCGCGGGCTCAAGGTATTCTCTTAGCAACCAATACGAAGTTCATATAGCGCCTCAGTGTTCGGGAGCAAGTTCTTTCAGGCCAGCATCTTCCTCGTTGTCGAAGAAAGATGTTTCCTTGGGGCCCACCCTCCAGGTAATATCAAGCGATGAAGAGCACATGGGCTCTATGCAAAGAACGCGGAGAAATACAGCCCGGAAGAGGAGCGCTGCTTATGGCACACTGGAGACAATAATGAGTTCTAGTCGTTCCTCGGACGAAGACCGGGATAAAAAGAAATCAGCTGCTGAAATTGTAGACGAACTACGGGGACGTGAAGATAGTATTGCTAAGGACGATGATGCAAGTCTTGCCAGCACAGGAGCTCATGCCAACAGCAAACAAGACGGCCAGGGACGACAAATCATACCTACCTCATCCCTTTTCGTAACAACTATGATTAACACTTGTCGCGGTCAAATGCAGGATGATATTAATACAACCAAAGAGCGAAAAGTAACTTTAATGAGTGCACCTTCGCATCCACAAACATCACATAATTATTTACATATAATGACTTTATAATAAAAGTTTTATTATTTACACCTCTTTTTTTTAATAAATAAGCTTTATTTACATTTTAATATATATTATAATAAATATAATTTTTAAAGCTTAAAATTATAAAAGTAAAATTAAGTAAAGTTAATATATTAATAAAAATATATTTAATTTAAAGCTTAAAAGTAAAAAAAAAAGCTATTTTTATTTATTAACGTTTAATAATTTTATATCTTATAAAAGGGGATTATATAACATTTAAAACATTAAAATTTATAAAGTTTATAAGGCTTAAAAAGCCTTATAAAGTTTTAAAGTTTTATAAAAGTTTTAAAATCGCATTTATTTTTTAAGTTTTAAATATTATTTAAAATATTTATATAAGGTGTTAAAATAAATAAAATAATTTTATAATAAGTTTTATTATTTACACCTTATAAAATTATTATTAAAATTTATCCGCACTTTAATATATAAAAAATTAACGTTTAAAAACCGTTAATTTAAACTTTTTAATTAACTTTAATTAAAAGATTTAATATAACTTTTAATTTAATTATTAAATTATAATATATTTAATATTATTAAAACCGCTTTAATTAAACGATTTAAATAATATATATTTTAAATTAATACGATTAATAATTATAAAATTATTTAAAAAAAAAAGTGAAATAAACGCCTTATCGCTAATATAACGTTAAGCGAAAAGCATCACATAATGCATAAATTACTTTAATTTATACCATTTTTAAAATAAATTATAATTTTTTAACTTAAATAACTTTATAATTACCGGTTAAATTAATTTAAAGTATATATTATTTAAAAACTTTAATTAAAACGATTTAATTAATATAAAAATATATAATTTTATAATAATTAAATTATTAAAGCTTAAACTTTTTATATTATATTTTTAAATATATTAAAATATAAATAAACTTTGATAATAATTTTATAAAATGCAAATAATAAAACTTTTTATAATTATAAATTTTATTATATATATTACTTATTTTTATTATTAAACCTTTAAATATATTATTATTAAGTATTATATATTTTATAAGTTTTTTAAAACTTTAAATTTAAAATTATTTTAAACTTTTTAACTTTTTATTTTAAATATTTTTTTAAAATATATAATTATAAACGTGTAACCGGATTTAATTAAAAAAGAATTTAATTATTAATTAATTAATATAAGTTTTAAATTAAAGCAATATATAATTATAAAATTATTTAAATAAAATAATAAATTAAGGTTATATAATTATTTTTAAAAGTATATTAAAAACTTTTAAACCACGTTAAAAACCTTTAAATCACTTAAAATTAAACTTTATTTAATAATTTTAATTTTAAATAATTCCTTAAAATATATAACTATTAATATATAATTAATTTTAATTAAAAAAATTTAATTATTAATTAATTAATACTAGTTATAATTTAAGGCGATTTATAATTAAAAAATTATATTAATATTTATTTTAAAAATAATTATATAACATTTTTTAATATAACTTTAAGTAATTTTAAAGCTTTTTAATAACTTTAAAAGCTTTTAATATAACATTAAAAAGTTTTAATATAACCTTAATTATAATTATATACTTTTTAAGTTATTACTTTTTTACTTAAATAACTTTATAATTATATATCGCTTTAATTTAAAACCGGTATTAATTAATTAAAAATTAAATATACTTTTAATTAAATCCGGTTACACGTTTTTAACTTTTTATTTTAAAAAGTTATTTAAATTAAATTAATATAAACAATTAAAAAACGTTAAAAACATTAAATTAAACCTGGATTTAAAGATTAAAAACATGTATTAATACTTAATAATAATGCACTTAAAACCTTAATAATAAAAATAAATAATACATATAATAAAACTTATAATTATTATAATAAATATAATCTTTAAAGCTTAAAACTTTAAAATCGCATTTATTTTTTAAGCTTTAAGCATTATTTAAAGTATTTATTATAAAAAATTATATAAAAGTAAGAATATTTTAATAAATATTTCTTTTTTTCTTTTTTTAACTTTTTTATAATTAAATAAAATAACTTTTAAATAAAAAACATTAAAATTTTTATCTTAATTATTATTTAATATTATAATAATTATAAGTAAATATAAATAAAAAGTTAAAATTATAAATATAATTAAAGTTATTAAATAAAATAAGAAAATTAAAGATTTTTTTTTAATTAAAATAAGTTATAAAAATAAGTATAAATTATATAAATTATGTAATTATTTTTTATAATTTTTATATTAATTATTTCTTTTTATATTTATTTATGGGAATTATAGGAAATAGTCACGTGACCCACATGGTCCGTGCTTATCTTTGTAACTTATTTTAATTAAGAAAAAATCTTTAATCTTTTTTATTTTATTTAATAACTTTAATTACATTTATAATTTTAACTTTTTATTTACACTTACTTATAATCACGAAACCACCTTATTTATTTTAATATTATTACTTTTATTTATTATTTTATTTTTATTTTTATCTTAATATATTAATTTTATTTAATTTTTTTATAATTATAATATAAAATAATTAATATTAATAAATGTTTTTAATGTTTTATTAGTTTTTATTTTAATTATAATATTAATTAAGTTATTTTTTTTTAAATTTATTAAACTTTTATAATTTTTTAACGTTTATATAATTAACGTAATAATATAATATTAATTATTAATGTTTTTAATAATATTTATATTAATTTTAATTAAATATTATAAAAGTAAATTAAAAAAGCTTATATTAAAAAACTTAATTAAGATTTAAAAATTTTAATAATTTAATTATATATTTAATTAATTTTAATAAAAAAACGTTTAAAAATATATAATAAATAATTTTATTATTACTTTTATATATATATTTTTTTTATATGTTGTTAATTTTAATACGGGTATCGTGAGATTAAATTAAAAAAGCTTATATTAGAAAGGTTAATTAAGATTTAAAAATCTTAATTATTTACTTATATATTTAATTACTTTTAATAAAAAAAGCGTTTAAAGGTATGTGATAAATAACCTTATTACTACCCTTGCACCTTTTTTTTTTTTATGTATACCCGTAATTAAGAATTATTATAATTTAACTAAAACTGTTAATTTAAGCATTTATCCGATCTATTTAACCTTTTTTAGCCTTTTCCGCTTTTTTTTAACGATATAAACCATTTTTTAATTAACTTATTAACTATTTAAAAAGATTATAATAAGGGTATTAATGTTATGTGTAAAGGTTAGTTTATCGGTTAAGTTTAATTTTTTAACTAACTTTAATTTATTAAAAATAAATTAATAACTTTTATTAAACTCCTTAATAAGTTATACGGCATTTTACATTAAAAATGGTTTTAAATATCACTTATTAAATTTTAAATCGTAACTATTAATAAGTATATACGTATAATAAAACAAATAACAAATAAAGCAAAAACAATAAAGGTAAAACTGATGTAATATTAATGTTTAAAAAAGGAGGTTTAAATTTAAAAGTAAAAAAGGGATTTAACTCCTTATATAATTTAAATTACATAAGTACCTCCTCCAGCCATATACGTACCACGTTAATACGTACCCTTATTATACAACCACTAATAACCCTTTTAAAACATTAAATATTTTAACATAAGACGTTTTTTAACGTAATTAATTTAACGTTTTTTAAATCTCTTAATTTTATATAAAACTAAGTTATTATTATCTTTATTAATAAAAACTTAACTTAATTTTAATTAACGCTTTAATTAAAGGTTCGTATTAATAAGTGTAAAAATAAAATAAGTAAATAAAACGATACGATAAATTTATTAATGTTATAAAATATTTAATTTATAAGTTAAATCTTTAACCTTTTTTATAATTATAAAAAAATCCACACGTTATTTAAATTATTTCTGTTTTAGTTTTTTAAATAAATGGTAGTTTTTATAAAGTTTAAGGAAAATCTCTTTTTTAACGTTAAATTATTAAAGGTTTTATTTAATATTATAGCAGATTTTAATATTAGTTACGGCGTAATTAATAACAGTTTAAACTTTTTATTAATATATGTTCCTTTAAATTTTAAAGTTTATTATATTAATATCCATTTTTAAGATAAATAATAAGGTATAAGGCTTAAAGCTTAATATAACTTTGTTTAATAATTTCTTAAATATTAAATAAGAGTTTTGTTATCCGTACCTCCTTTTTTTGATAAAAGGGCCTTATTTGCACCCCGGTATATGGGAAAAAAGCAAAAGAATGCCAGTCGTCTAAGTGCTTCAACTAGTTTTAAACATATTATCTTGAATAATTTCTAATCTAAGAATCGGATTAAAGTGTATCTAATTCCATTAGAACCGTCTTAATTAGACGATCTAAACGATATATGTTTTAAATTGATATAACCGGTGGCTGCAAAGTTATTTAGAAAATAGTGAAATAAACGATTTGCCGCTAGCCTGGCGCTAGGCGAAGCGCATCATATGATGTATGGACCATTTCAATTTATACCATTTTTAAGGTGGAATATAATCTTCAAACTCGAATAACTTTGTAGCCAACGGTCGTATTAATCTAAAATATATATCGTTTGGATTGTTTAATTAAGCTGATTCGAACGACATAGGATGCATTTCAATCCAAATCTTGGATTGGAAGTTGTATTGGATCTTTTGATAGAAGCTAGCTTTAAAGCTTGGACCTTTTGCGCTGCGATCTTAATATACCGGGGTGCGAATAAGGCCCTTTTATCAAAAAAAGGGGGTGCAAATAACAAAATTCTTAAATAATAAAAGTTATTAAAGTTATATTAAAAGGCGTTTAACATTTTATCTTAAGAAATGTTAAGAAAAATAACGCATTAAAATTTTATTATAATCTTAACATTTTAATTATATTTTTTATTTATACCGTTCGTTTAAATATAATAACCCATTATTATAACAGTTTTAATATTGTTATAACGCTAAAATATTTGCCATATTTTATCGATAAACTTTCGGTTTTTATTTATAATTATTTTTATTA